TGCCAGGCAGGCACTTGTGCTGCTGAGCTAAACTCACTGTCCTGCTCCAAGGTTTTCAAAGAGTATCATCCTTACTTTTTCAACCAAATGTTTACTTAGTATTTATAAAATATTTAGAAATGGGGAGGGGTGCATTCATGCAATCCCAGCACTTGGGGAGGCTGAGACAGGAGGATGTTTGCATAATGCTGATGCATTGTGTATGTTGTAAAATATTTTAGAAGTAGAAAATCAAAAGGATGATATAATAATAAGGTAATTTCAGTAGTGGTTTTTAGGAGAAATAAGATGTTTGCCCTCAGAAAATTTTTTAACTATAATGTTTTCAAGAGAAAGCAGTGGGGTCATGTGTAGTTATTTTTGAAATCACACATTGCCACTGTGTGATATGGACATCGGACAGTCTGGTTCTAAAATGAGATCCTTTGAACAGTGTTGGTCAGAGCAGAGAGAGGTCAGCACACCCCAAATGCACATAGCAGGAATGAACCCCAGTGCCCCCATTAAGACGTGCTCGACCAGGGAAGCGCATCTGAAGAGGAGGAAGTTCTTTCCTCCCTGGCTGCTGTACCTCTGTCTCCCCTGTGCAAACCCCGAAAAGCCCCCAGCCCAGCGTCCCAGGGCTCCTGTAGCCACTGTCGTCCAGCGTGGGCCCCACAGGGCTGTGGGGCACTCAGGAAGCTCAGTTAGGCAGTGGCCAGGTTGAAGCTGTGAGTGACGTGATGACAGGGTCGCCAACCTGATGATGTATTAAGATAGTTTGACACACTTGAGTTTCTTACATGCATTAACAAGAAGAGCTGTTTTGATATTAAAAACATAAAAAATGAAAGGAAACCCATGCTCTGCGCTGGGAGAACAGGAGAGACACCATGATGGCAGCTCAGGAACTGGCCAGATTCCAACTATTGCAAGTGCAGAGATGTAAAAGTATAAAAGTGTTCCAAAGCAGGTGTAGTGGCACACATCTGTAATCCCAGCCTTTGGAAGGCTGAGGCAGGAGGATCACCAAGAGTTTGAGGCCAACCTGAACTGCATCCTGCAACCCTGTTTCAAAATAACAAACAATTTGAAAAGTTTTGCTTTGAGAAGAGAACCCTGATTACTTGGCATGAAATAAAAAGTATTTGCACATGTTCAGCCATCCAGGCTCTCAGAAGCTGCTGCAGCTGTGGTCTGATGGGCCCGAGGATTCTCAGGGGGTGGGAAACCTTGTCTCCCCCATGTGGTGCTGATGTTGCTAGGGTCATGGAGGAGTCTGCCCAGTTTCAAAGACCAGGAAGGCCAGTGCAGTGTGTCAGAGCCAGAGTCCCTAATGGGACCCCCAAAGGGCAGTGCATGAAGTTCTGAGAGTGAAGATGAAGTTGTAGTAAAGACCTTAGGAAGTTAGAGACGCCAGGAACACGGAACATGGAATGTGGTACGTGGAACATGGAACGTAGAACGTGGAACATGGAACATGGAACACCCACCATGGAAAGTTTTGGGCAGCAGGCAGAGTGGCCTGAGAGGCACCTGGGCTCCGACTAGCAAGGCCATGGGGTGGGGCTGCCCAGGCCTGTGAGAGCCCACATGCCTCCCCTGTGCCCTGGGTGCTGACCACAGAGATGCAGAGTTTGGCCTGTTGGGCATCGGTCCGGCTTTGGTCCAGGTCCCTTCTAGCTCCCTGTTCCTCCCTTGGGAATGGGAATATTTACTCTGTGCTATTGTATCTTGAGGATGTTACTTGTTTTTTTTTTTTTTAATTTTTACAGAGGTTCACAGCTGAGTTGCCTTGAGTCTCAGAGGAGACTTTGGACTTGAACTTTCAAGAAGTGTTGGAATTATTGGGATTTTAGCAACTCTTAGAGATGGACCGAATGCATTTTGCATGAGATGGACATGAGCCTTTGGGCCGGGGTGGAATGTTATGGCTTAGATGAAAAATGTCCCCCCAAGGCTCGTGTGTTCAGAGGTGGGGCTTTAGGGAGCTGATTAGACCCGGGGCAGTAACCTCAGCTCTGATGAGCACACAGCCGCCTGTGTTGTCAGGAGTTGGGTCCAGGCTAGAGGAAGAAGGTCCTGGCACACACTTTTGTTTTTTTCTTTTTGAGACAGGGTCTCACTATGCAGTTCTGGCTGGTCTTGGGCTCACTTTGAAGTCCAGGCTGGTCTTGAACTGGCAACAATCCATCTGCATCAGCCTCCCGAGTGCCGGGATGACAGGCATATACCACCATGCCTGGCCTGGGGCACAGTTTTGAAGGGCAGATCCTGTCCACAGTCTCCCTTTCCCCCTCCTCTTACTCTATCCACCTCCTGGCTGCCTGGGGTGAGTTATGTGGCACCCACAGCGGAACACGGGCCCACGCCACTGCTCTATGTCATGCTCAATGGAACGCTGCAGGAGGCAGCATCATACCTCGGATGTCAAACAGGGATGCTCAGGTGTAGGTCAGTGTCAGAGCGCCTGCCTGCCACTGCTGGGCCTTGCGCTTGAGTCCTTGTATCTCCAAAGGAGAAAGTGGTGCTCTTCTGACATTCAGCGCACCTGTTCACTTTCCCTGCTTCACTACCACGTGACTTGTGCCATCGAGTCCGGAGTGTAGGCCTTCCCTGGGGAGTGCAGGCCTTCCCTGGGGCAGGTTCTGGAGGGTGACCGTGGGTGTCTCTGTAATGCCCAACTACAATCAGTGGAACGCCAGAAATTCCACTGGCTTCTCATCATTTCTTTTACCCAGTTGCCGAGCATTTTTTTTTTGTCTTTTTCTTTTTTTATCGGTACCAGGGATCAAACTCATGACTGCCTGCTTGCAAGGCAGGTGCTTATGCCGCTGAGCTAAATTCCCAGCCCCCTGTTACCGAGCATTTTATAAGCCAGATTCAAAGCAGGCAAAAGAGGGCTTGGACCCATTTCTTTCTGGGATCGATGCTGACCCCACTGGTGCTTTCATCAGCCACGTGGGACTGGTGAGGCACTTGCACTGGGCTTGGCTGTGGGTCGTCGATCTTCTTTTTCAGTTTCTGGGAAAATCACTGACAAGACTCCAGGGAAGGGTGCCAGTACCAGCTGAGCGACAGGGCCGCACTGTTCTCAGTCCATCTGCAGACAACCGCACCTCTGCCATCAATTTCACAATTGAATGTGCCTCTGTCTCTCTTCTCCAGAGCTACACTTGGAGCCCATGGTGCTGTCAGTGCAAACTTTTCTCACTGAAACTGTTGCTTGACGTCCCATGAACTGAGCTTGTCAAGAAGTGCAATATTGGCTAGCAAAACTTGTTGAATACCGTCAGGCTTTTTGGCATAGTTCAGAGACAAAGACAGAGATTAAAAAAGAAAAGAAAAGAAAAAGCTTTTATTGCTGGCATGGGAGGGCTGCATCACACACATCTGTTTTTGTTCTCCAAACATTCACCTTCTAAAAATGGAGACGCAACTACTCAGAAAAATAATTCACAGAGACATTTCAATTCGGACCTCGTCAGCCAAAACGTACACCCTTACTTCCTGCGCATCACGCGGGGTTGTACTAGTCCTGGTGGTGGTGTTTTTGCATAGTGTTCCTGACCCGGAAGCTGCAAGCTGGACAACTCATAACTAAAGCAAAATGCCTGTGATCGCAGCAGTCGGGAGGATGAAGCAGGAGGATTGCTGTGAGTTCCAGGCCAGCCTGGGCTAAATAGTGAGTTTAAGACCAGCCTGACCCACATCACAAGACCCTGTTTCAAAAAACAAACAAACAAAACAAAAAAAGACAACAGGTAAATAATGCAGCAATAATAATTGGGATTTTCTTTTTACAGCACGATGGCACAACTAGTAGAGAAGTCATAAAAAAATTACTCATGTAGGATGTAGTGCAGTAAAGTGACGTGCGCTTGTCTCTGGATTCCTCCTCTACCGCCGCGAACTTTCATCCCTCTCTGACACACTCAGAGCCGCCAGTGTGTGCAGCAGTGACTAACACTGTGCAGCACGTGGCGGACTCAGCCCTGGGGAGGGGCGTGTGAGAAATCAGACCTTGATGACCCCCAGCGGAAGGTGAGATCATGCTCCGTTCCGACCGACCCAATCACCGTGCAGTAAAGCGTTAAACAGTTGGGTTCGCGAGCCTGGAACACGGGGCAGAAGTCGGGCAGCGGGAGATTTTTCGTGTTCTCCATTCCTACAGAGGAGATAAAGAGGAGCAGCAAAAGTTGAGCCCTGAGACACCTCCACATTTAGACTTGGTGGTGGGGAGGTGGGAAGATCCCGCAGGGGCCTGAAAGAGATCAAAGAAAACCAAAGGAGACAACAGCTATCAAACGTTGCTGGGGTCGCGAGGGTGGCGTCCGCGAGCCGGGCCCCTATTTGCTGACTTGGGCAAGAATGAATCAAAGCCATGACTGGCTTTGGAACAGACCAGGAACGACAGGATTACAGGCACGCGCTGATCAAGCTGCCACGCCTACTATTATTCAACACTACTGCGGTTCACACTACCACTTAGCTACATCTTTAGCCTTTTAAATATTTTTTTAAATTTTGAGACCGGGTCTTGATAAGTTACCCCGGGTCGTATTTGAACTTTGTTCCTCCTGTCTCAGCCCCCTGAGAGCCGGGATCACAGGGCTGCCCAGCCCTACACCTACTAAGTGGCAGAGTTAGGGTGAAGCCGCAGCACATGTCATCGTTTATCACACCGCATGCTTTTCTGTTCATTGTCTTTTGTACTGCGGTTTCTTAGGATGGAATGTGCACTTCAGGATTTTATGTCCAATGGACAGACGGGGTGACGTCCTCTTTGTTGACCTGGACTGTCTTTTCGGCCCCTCATCAGTCACAAGGCGATGGCAGAAATACCATACACCTAAGGGGAAAAAAAAGCCTCAACTGCTTCTGCTACCCAGCAATTGCTGTGTGAATTCCTTGAGGGTCGCAGACGCTACCCGGAGCCGGAGAAGCCTTGAGCTTCTGGCCCCGCCCCGCGCACTTCAGGCCCCGCCCACCAGCCCGGTTCCCGCCCCTGCGGTGGGCGTTAGGGGCGGGGAGGTCCGGAGAGCCCGCCCCTTTGGGAAAGCACGCTGCCGGAAGCGGAAATAGCTCCGGGCGCCGGCGGAGTTGCTGTAACAGCTGTCGCGATGCCGAAGGGGCCCAAGCAGCAGCCACCGGAGCCCGAGTGGATCGGGGACGGAGAGAGCACGAATCCTGCCGGTGAGTGTGGGGCGAGTGAGGAAGCGAGAAAAATAGAAGAATCGGGAGAGTCCCGCGCCTCAGACGTCACGCGTGACTGCCAGGCCCGCTGGTGACTGCGCATGTGCGCCGCGGGCCGGCTGCGCTAGCTGGGTTGTAGGGCTCGAGCCACGCACGCGAGCGAGCCTAGGCGGGACCGGGCAGGGCCGAGGAGAGCCGTGGTGCCTAGCGGGAGCGGGGACGAGGCGAGAAGGGCCCCGCTTTTGGAGCCCAGAACACTCCTTGAGCCCTGCCTCGACTTCCCTGCTCCTCCCGTGAGCACCTGAGGCGCCGTGATGCCACTTGTTTCTCGAGAGAGGAGGACCCTGCCTTCATGAAGCGCCGCTTTGGAATGGCTGGAGCAAGTGTGGACCTTGAAAGTTAGGGCGGGGGGCCACGCTTCGCTTACGGGCTCAAATGGCTCCGCGGTCGGGCACTTGCTCCCCGCGCACTAGGTGCTGGGGGAGCTAAGGCCCTCTTGAGAACAGTCTGTGTTTACTGAGCCCTTGTGTTTTTTTGTTTTTTGTTGGTACCAGGGATCGAACTCACGACGATGCGCTTGCTAGGCAGGCGCTTATACCGCTGAGCTAAATCCCCAGCCCCTTGAGCTAAATCCCCAGTCCCTGAGCCCTTGTTTTAAGTTAAGCACTTGATAGTGTATTGGGGGAGTGGAAAGAAAAAACAGGAAGACATCCTCCAAGCTTGAAGTCACTTTAAGGGATAGGTAAAGTGAACGCAAATAACTACCCTGCGCGGGTGACTAGTGTTACGAGCAAGCATTTATGGATGCCAGGTGTATGCTGCGTACTGTTCAGAGGAACAGGGAATAAAGCTACGCCAGGAATATCAGCACTTTGCCAGTCTGAGGCAGGAGAGGCCCAACCGTAAGCTGTCCCAGCCAGCATAGTGACTTAGCACTGCCTCAAGGTGAAAAAGGGGCTGGGGAGGTGGCTCAGTGGCAGAGCACCCCCAGATTGAAGCCCACCCCCAAAAGCTTAGGCGGCTGAAGCACAAGGATTAGTTAAGCCCAATAAAGAGCAACTTGGGCAGCATAGCGAGACGCGTCTTAAAAAAAAATCAACCAGTTCCTGGAGGGAACCTTTTCCAGGGGAAGGGACAGAACAGTACACTGCTGTGTTCGTTAAGTGTGGTGAGCATGCCTAGGAACTCTGCGGGGCTCTACAAGGAGAGGGATACCCTGAACCCCCAGTGAGCAGTAATAGCCAAATTCCTCCTTCAAAAGTCTCTGTGAGTTAGCAGGGAAAGCATTCCAAGTGAAAGCTGTAGTTTGTGCAGAGATGAAGCTAGGAGTGCGGCTGGTTCCCACTGGAGCCTGGTGACGACTGGGAAGGGGTTGGAAGACATTTAGGGGAAGCTCCGGAGACTTTGGGAGAGCCCATTCCAGAGCCTGAGCATCGCATTTTGGCAACATTGAGCATCGCAGGACAAGGCAAGGCTGGCTGTGCAGGAAGCCCTGGCGGTGATTCTGTTGAGACAACCTAAGGCACTGATAGGGAACCATTTGAGGCTGTCAGTGCTATAAACAGCCCACTGCTTCAGGGCAAGCTTAAGGGTCAGTGGCAGCTTTGACAAAAGTAGTGTTCTCTAGAGGCATTAGCCATGTCAGATTCCAGTACAGGCTGGGTGTTTACCTGAAATGCCCAGGACCAGAAGGATCCTGTATCCTGGACATTGATTGGGAGGTACATAATGAGCTGCCTTGGTGGTGGCACCCAAGTCAAAACATGAAATTTATGTTTCCTGAACACAGAGCTTGAAGGTATTTTTTTTTTCTCCCTCAAAAAAGCAGTGGCCAAGAGCTGGGGATTTAGCTTAGTGGTGTAAGTGCCTGCCCTGGCAAGAGTGAGGTTGTGGGCCAGGGATTTAGCTAAGTGGCATAAGCGCCTGCCTTCCAAGTGCACGGTTGTTAGTTCGATTCCTGGTACCAGAAAAGGAAAAAAAAAGAACGAGGTTGTGAGTTCAATTCCTGGAGTGAAAAATTAAAAAATGTAAATAAAAAAGCCTTGGGGCTGGGGATTTAGCTCAGCAGAATAAGTGCCTGCCTGGCAAGCATGGGCCATGAGTTTGATCTCTGGCACCAAAGAAAAAGAAAAAAAAAGTAGTGGCCATGTTTATTTGAGAAAGTAAAATCGAGAAGTGGGGAAGAAACAGGCTTTGCAGAGTGAGCTTGGGGCAAGTAAAGAGCAAAAGAAACTAAAAGCAAAAATAGAAATTCACCCCACTTTGGGAAACACAGAAGGCTATCTTGGAAAGTGATGATAGCGTGCAGTAATTTTATCCAACCCCTTAATGATTTTGTGCAAGGGACAAAGTTTCTTGATGTTAAAGATTATAAACGCACACCTATAATCCCAGCAGTCGGGAGGCTGAGGAAGGAGGATCGTTGTGAGTTCGAGACCAGCCTGGACTGTGTAGTAAGCTTGGGGCAGGTAAAGAGCAAAAGCCTGAACCACATAGCAAGACCCTGTTTCTAAAAGCACACCCTCAAGAAAGTGTCTTGATGTGCGATTCTACTTGTAATGTTAGATTGGCACTCACAACACTTCATGCACCGTAGGGCATTTTGGATTTTTTAGAAACAGCCTGTGTGTTTAAAAAGGAATGGGGCTGAGAGGGTGCCTCAGTGGTAGAGCTCTTGCCAGCATGCACGAAGCCCGAGCACTATGAAAAGAGAAGACAGAAAGGGCTGGGAGGTGCAGGGTCGCCGCGGTGACCAGCGCTGTGACCAGCGCTGTGAGCCAGCAGAGCGGGAAGGAAGCAGTCATGGGGACTGCGAGTGTTTCCTTTTGCTTTGGTGTTCAGGGCAACTTAAGTGGTGAACGGAAGCCTGTCTAGCCTTTCTGTTTGCTCTTCTCAGTCCTGGGGGCCAGATCCGGGGCCCTCACCCTCAGCTATGCCCCGTGCCCACCCCGCTGGCTGGGGCTTGTGCCGTGTGGCCCAGGCCCGCCAGCGTTGGCTGTCCTTGGTGACGTGGTGCTGACTTTCACAGCTGAGCCCAGGCAGCTTCTCTGCCTGTGAAGGTAGCCGGGAAAGCTCGAAGTCCTTGTGTAATTTAGAGCGTGGGGCACTGCGGGGTGGCTTATGCGTTCCCAGTGTACTCATGGCCTCTCAGTGTCCCTGCGATTAGACCCTTGGGCTAGCGCATGAAGCCTCTCATTCCTGCTCATCGACCCAGTCCTGGGAGCGGACTTGGACCGAGTTTGGGTGAGGACACAGATGCAGACAGGAGCGGGCCTGGGGTTCCCTGAGGAGCAGTTGGAGGCCAGCGTCCTGACCATCAGGGGATAGGAGAGCAAGGGCAGGGCCCCGAGGACAGCAGGGCCACACTGTGATGTGGGGCAGAGTGGCCACCCCCTGCTTCCCAGGTAACTAGACCTTCCAGGTTGAATTCCTACCTTCTTCCCTGCTAACTCAGCACACAGCAGTGAGGGGAGCCTGGGAGGCCTGCTGCCCTGCTCCCGCCGTCTGTGCTCCCCTCCCCTGCCAGCAGGCTGAGTACTGAGTGCAGGTGATGGTGCCGTAAGTGCCCGCCCCTCATCCTGACAGAGGCCCTGGCCCCAGGCTCTCCCAGCCCGTCTCCCTTCCCTGGGCTGGGGCATGCCTCCTCACCCCACCAGGAGGCTTTGCCTTCCCTTCTGTGTTTCGTTTGGTTTTGGAGTTTGTTCACTGCATAGCCCGGGCTGGTCTCAAGTTCCTGATCCTCCTGTCTCAGCATTCTGCGGGCGGGGCTTTCCAGAGTGCAGCACCATGCCCAGCCTCGGTCTGCCTCTCCGTAGTACCTGCACTCCCGGATGGCCTGTGTGGGCGTCTGCCCCGCAGCGTACTGTGTCCCAAGGAGACAGAGGTTGAGACCACGCTCCTGCGGGCAGTGTGCACCGCTGCCTTGGGGGCACCAGCTGTACTGGATAAGCGGCAGCATCGGGGTTCACGCTGCCTGTTTTATCTTCCAGAGAAAGTGGTAAAGAAGGGGAAGAAAGACAAGAGGACCAAAAAGACGGTGAGTAAACAGGCTTCGGCTGAGAACTGACTGGGACTTTAGGGCAAACCAAACAGGTGTGCGCAGAAGGTGGGAGGGCTGGGGGGAACAGGGACTGAGGGGGGCAGGAGCAGGGCCGGGGTGGGGGAGCAGCCCAGGCCCTCAAGTCCTCGGGAGGTGCAGGAGTCTGTACTGCCCCAGCAACCCAGTGAGAACCCACTGCACCATGCCAGCCCGGCACCTGCCTGTGTCCCGCCCTCTGCAGTTCTTTGAGGAGCTGGCGATAGATGGTAAGCAGGCTGGCGAGGAGGAGAAGGTGCTCCGGGAGAAGAGGGAGCAGCAGCAGCAGCAGCAGCAGCAGCAGCAGCAGGTATGTGCAGCCCCGCCAGGACTAGGCAGAGACTCGGCAGGCTGGGCACGTTGCCCATGCCATGTTTCTGCAGCAGCAAAAAAAGAAACGGGACACCCGGAAGGGCCGACGGAAGAAGGATGCGGATGACGATGGTGAGGAGAAGGAGCTCATGCAGCGCCTGCAGAAGCTCTCGGTGCCAGCCAGTGACGAGGAGGATGAGGGTGAGGGGGCTGGGGTCAGGCGGGAGTGGGACTGCTGTGGGGCTGGGTGAGGAAGCCTCTCACCGCCATCTTCCCCCGTCAGAGCCTGCTGCACCGCCCCGAGGAGGGAAGAAAGCCAAGGTGAGCTGCAGGGGAGCAGTGCCCAGGTGCCACCGTGGCTGTGGCTGTGGCCGTGGCCGTGACCCCAGCCCCACTGAGCTCCGTGCCCTCTTGCTCTAGGGCGGTAACGCTTTTGCAGCTCTGATTCAAGATCAGAGTGAAGAGGAGGAGGAGGATGAAGAGGAGAAAAAGCGCCCTCCTAAGCCTGCAAAGCCAGAGAAGAATCGGATCAATAAGGTGACCATGGTCTCCCAGCTGTCCACACCCTGCCCGATTGCCCTTCTGGCCAGGCCATGGCCGTGCCTGACACACAGTGTCACGTCCTCTCTGAACAGCGCTCTTCGTCACTGGTTACCACAGGGGGTGGTTGTGTCCCTTGGTCTTAGTGTCTAAAGCCAGGCTTTCGTCCTTGCCCTTGCACCTGGTCTGGCCCATCCCTCTGCACAGCCGAGGTCGCAAGTGCAGAGAGACCTTGTCCTCATGCTGCATGCCCTCAGCCCTCATCCAGCTGTGCTGCCCCCTGTCACATGTCTGCGTCTGTGGGGGGCAGGCTCAGTGGCGCCTGGTGTGGTGAGGGAGCGTGAGCATCTCTATGTGTCCATACTCCACAGGCCGTGTCTGAGCAGCAGCACCCGGGGCTCAAGGGCAAGAAGGGAAAGGAAGAGAAGGCCAAGGTGAGAGGGCACCCGGGCACCGCAGGCTCCGGTCCCACTGGACATTTGTCAGTCCTGTCTCTTCCCCGTTAGCCTCAGAATAAATTTGCTGCTCTGGACAATGAAGAGGATGCAGAGGAGGAGACAACAAAAGCAGAGGAGCCTCCCAAACCAGGGCAGGAGAAGAAGGCCGAGCAGGTGCCGGTGCAGGCGCAGGCGCAGTCCCAGCGAGCCTTGCTCAGGGTGGCTGGGCACACGGCGTGGTCATGGGTGCCGTCCCTGGGCAGTGTCCTTTTTTTTGTTTATTGTTTACTTTTTAACTTTGAAGACGAGAGCGTCTCTCTGGCATGGGCTGCACAGCACCAGGTGTAGGTGGATGTGGCCGGGGGGCCAGCAGCGGTGGGCCTGGTCCTGAGCACAGGGGCTGTGACCTCAGTGTGTCCTCCTTGGCCTCTGCCCTGTGCCCTATGGGCTGCGCCGGGCCTGTGCGGCACTTTCTGCCTCTGGTTTAGTGGACTTCAGTGGCAGTAAGTGCCAGGCACCTGTTGCCTTATGGTGCCCTCCCCTGAAACCACAGGCCCGTCCTCTACCCCGGCGACTTGGCCCCCTGGATGGCGCTGTCTCGGGCGTGCTTAGGGCTCCTTCCCCCGAGTTGCCCACAGCTCAGGACCAGGTGGCGCCGGCTGTGGGGCCGGGCAGGGAGGAAGTGGAACCTGGGGTCCCGCTCTGCAGGACTCTGCTTCTCATCAGCCCGGCGCTCACAGGGCTCCGAGGAAGGAGACGAGGAGGGCGAGAGCAGGGCAGACGACCCCGGCGCTCAGCTCAGCAAGAAGGAGAAGAAGAAGCTGAAGAAACAGGTGGGCCCGGGCCAGTGTTGTCAGGTCGGGGGCCTGGAGTGGTTCTGCTTTGACTGAGGAGCTGGGGCCTGGGAGCCGGGGAGAGCCTGAGGGCTGCGGTGAGGGCAGCCACCGTCTCAGTGCCAGCTGCCCACAACGCGGCTGTGTCCCTTCCCAGATGGATTATGAGCGCCAGGTGGCTTCACTGAAAGCAGCCAGTGCCGCCGAGAATGACTTCTCCGTGTCCCAGGCAGAGGTGTCTTCCCGCCAGGCCATGCTGGAAAACGCATCTGACATCAAGGTGAGGTGGAGGAGACAGGGCGCCCTGCTGCCGGGAAGAGGTGGCCCCTCACCCACTCTTCCCTCCCCTCCCTTGCTCCCTTCCCTCTCCGCCCGCCCTGCAGCTGGAGAAGTTCAGCATCTCGGCCCACGGCAAAGAGCTGTTTGTCAACGCAGACCTCTTCATCGTGGCCGGCCGCCGCTACGGGCTGGTGGGACCCAACGGGTGAGGAAGTAGGGGCGGACGGGCTGCGGGAAGGGGCTCCCCAGGGCACCACGGCTCACAGCTCTTGTCCCCAGCAAGGGCAAGACCACGCTCCTCAAGCACATCGCCAACCGTGCCCTCAGCATCCCCCCCAACATCGATGTGCTGCTGTGCGAGCAGGGTGAGGCTGGGTGGCGGTATCAGCTGCGGGGAGGTGGGGAAGACGTGACCCGCACACCACACCGACTGCTCTCCCACCCCAGAGGTGGTTGCCGACGAGACCCCTGCGGTGCAGGCCGTGCTCCGAGCGGACACCAAGCGGCTGAAGCTGCTGGAGGAGGAGCGCCGGCTGCAGGCGCAGCTGGAGCAGGGGGACGACGCAGCTGCCGAGAGGCTGGAGAAGGTGAAGTGACACGGGGACGGGTGGTGGGGAGACCTGGGTCCCTGGCCTTCGGTCCCACGTCCTCTCCCTCCTAGGTGTACGAGGAGCTGCGGGCCATGGGGGCGGCTGCAGCAGAGGCCAAGGCCCGGCGGATCCTGGCTGGGCTAGGCTTTGACCCCGAGATGCAGAATCGGCCCACACAGAAGTTCTCCGGGGGCTGGCGCATGCGCGTCTCCCTGGCCAGGTGCGTGGCAGCTTCTGCCCTTGCTGTGTCCAGAGCAGTCACTGTCCTCCCTGCCCCCCCCCCACTGTGTCCGTGCCCCCTGCCCCAGGCCGCTCTGAGCCGTGCTCTCCCCCTTCAGGGCACTGTTCATGGAGCCCACGCTGCTGATGCTGGACGAGCCCACCAACCACCTGGACCTCAACGCCGTCATCTGGCTCAACAAGTGTGGCCCCCTGCCTGCCTCCGCCCTCCTCCCCTCCCGTCGTGACCCCTCTCGCTCTTCCCCTCCCTCCCCTCCCTGTCGTGACCCCTCCGCACTCTTCCCTAACCAGCTACCTGCAGGGCTGGCGGAAGACGCTGCTGATCGTCTCCCATGACCAGGGCTTCCTGGACGACGTGTGCACAGACATCATCCACCTGGACGCCCAGCGGCTGCACTACTACCGGGGCAACTACAGTGAGTGGGGCCAGGCGCAGGGCTGCGCCTGCGGGGCGCCCTCCCCAGGGCGGGCTCTGAGGCCTGGCTTCATCCACAGTGACCTTCAAGAAGATGTACCAGCAGAAGCAGAAGGAGCTGCTGAAGCAGTACGAGAAGCAGGAGAAGAAGCTGAAGGAGCTGAAGGCCGGCGGCAAGTCCACCAAGCAGGCGGTGAGTGCCATGTCCCCGGCCTGGGGAGGGGCGCAGGCCTGGAGGCAGCCTGGACTCAGGGCTACGACCTGTGGGGACCCTCCAGGAAAAGCAGACGAAGGAGGCGCTGACGCGCAAGCAGCAAAAGTGCAGGCGGAAGAACCAGGACGAGGAGGCGCAGGAGGCGCCCGAGCTGCTGAAGCGGCCTAGGGAGTACAGCGTGCGCTTCACCTTCCCCGACCCCCCGCCGCTCAGCCCCCCGGTGCTGGGCCTGCACGGTGAGGGCGCCACCTGCGAGGGCCGGGTGGGCGGCGCGCGGCGCTCGGGACACGTGCCAGGCGCTGACCCACTCTCCTGCTCCATGCCACCTCTCAGGTGTGACCTTCGGCTACGAAGGGCAGAAGCCACTCTTCAAGGACCTGGACTTCGGCATTGACATGGACTCAAGGAGTGGGTTGGGACGGAGGGTACAGTGTGGGCGTGGGCAGGGCCTGCTCCGAGCCCTGGTCATCCTGTCCTCCTCCTGCAGTCTGCATCGTGGGACCCAATGGTGTGGGGAAGAGCACGCTGCTACTGCTGCTGACCGGCAAGCTGGTGCCGGTGAGGCCCGCAACAGGGTGGGGGGCCCTGTAGCCCAGGTGCAATCCCGTGTGGGCAGGACCAGGGGAGCACAGCTCCAGCAGTGCAGGAGAGACCCGGGCCTGGTGGGGTCCAGTGCTCGCTGTAGTTAGCAGTGCATCGCCACAGAGCGTGTTTGAAAGGCTGCCGGTCCTCGTCCCCACACCAGCCTCCCCTGGGGAAGCAGTGCCCGCTGCTGTACTGCGGCCGCCCGGTCCCCCTCCTCTGCTGCCCGGCCCTTGCTTTCCGGTCTGTGCCTGCGGCCTGTCCCTGTGTGCACCGGCTCCAGGACTCGGTGTTGTCTCTGCAGAGAAGCAGGGATGCAGAGCAGGGTCCCTGCTCCCCTCTGCCCGCTCCCTGTTCTGACCTCTGCTCTTCCTTTGCAGACGCATGGGGAAATGAGGAAGAACCACCGGCTGGTGAGTGGGCTTCAGAGAGGCAGGGTGGACATCTGACTGGAAGTACGGCTTTAACCACTTCCCTTCCTCCTTCTCGGGCAGAAAATTGGCTTCTTCAACCAGCAGTACGCGGAGCAGCTGCGCATGGAGGAGACGGCCACCGAGTACCTGCAGCGCGGCTTCAACCTCCCCTACCAGGATGCCCGCAAGTGCCTGGGCCGCTTTGGCCTGGAGAGCCACGCACACACCATCCAGATCTGCAAGCTCTCCGGTACTTACAGAGTAGGGGGGCACCTCCTCACCTGCCTGCCACTTGGGTGCTGTACAAGGCGGCTGAGTTCCTCTTCCTTCCCTGCAGGTGGGCAGAAGGCCCGGGTTGTGTTTGCAGAGCTGGCCTGTCGGGAGCCCGACGTCCTCATCCTGGTGCGGGGCGAGGGCAGGGGAGGCCTCTGGTGGGGTTGTGTCCTCAGTCAGGGATTGCTCCTCCCTCTCCTCCTCCTCCCCCCATCCTTCTTCCCTCTCATCCTCCCGTTACCCTCACCTCCCCTCATGTCCTCCTCTTCCTGCCCCTCATCCTCCCTCTCCCTCCACCGCAGGATGAGCCGACCAATAACTTGGACATTGAGTCCATCGACGCACTGGGGGAGGCCATCAATGAGTACAAGGGTGGTAAGTTGGCCCCCAGGGAGTGCACCAAGGCATCGCTGGGCAAGGCTCTCCCTTTCGGGTCCTGATCCCCTTCCTCCTTGCTCTCTGCCCTGTTCCTCGACATCTCTTCCAAGCCGTGATCATTGTCAGCCATGATGCACGACTCATCACGGAAACCAACTGCCAGCTGTGGGTGGTGGAGGAGCAGAGTGTGAGCCAGATCGACGGTGACTTCGAAGACTATAAGCGGGAGGTGTTGGACGCCCTGGGGGAGGTCATGGTCAGCCGGCCCCGGGAGTGAGTGCCCCTCAGGGCGGCCCTTGTGGGACAAGGCGTCCCAGGGCTCCCGGCAGTACAGTGACATGACCAGGAGACTCGTGGACCGCCTCTTTTGCTTTGAGACCATGTGTGCTCCTGTGGCTGACCCAGCTGGCCTCCCCCTCAGCACCCTTGCTGCAGACTTCAGCTCAGATCGGCCCCTTGCCGAGCTACTGGGAAGCTGCCGCCTGGCCAGCCGGGGGCTGTACCTACCACTCCATGCTCAGCAGACTGCATGCCCTGGCGGGAGGGGAGCTCAGCCTGTGCTGAGACCAGGCCAGGTCCTGGGCCTGCGACTGGGCCTGGGACTAATGGGCAGGACGGGGTGAAATAAAGCAAAGGGGCTGCCACTACCCGGTGCTGCCTGGAGATTCCTGGGAGTGGCTCTTCTTGGGCCTGGTCCTTAGCCAGGCTCCCAGCAGCCTTTCCAGATGCCTGAGCTTGCTGTGCACATGGCACCTGCACAGCCGGTGTCTCGGGGTCCTCCCTCCACAGTCTTTCAGACAGGGCCTGGCTTTCTGTCTGGATACTTCTGTCTCTCTCTCTCCAAGCTAACTACACAAATGAGGGGGTTCTGTGCCCTACAGTTAGGGCTCACAGTACTTACTTCTGAAAAACTAGCCAACCTGAGGCAGGCATGGTGGGGCACACTTGTAATCCCAGCAATACTCCAGAGGCTGAGGTAGGAGAGACCCTGAGAGTTCAAGGCCAGCCTGAACTACTTAGCAAGACTATCTCAAAAATTAGTGTAGTGATGCTGCCTGTCTTCATACTGCTTGGGAAGCTGAGGCAGGAGGACTGAAATTTGAGGCTAGCCCGGGCAACTATAATGTAGACACTGCCTCCGAATACAGTAGATACATGCGCCTTACCATGAAAATTGTTACGCAGCTTGTGTGAGGGCCTGGGTTCGTCACCAGCATGCAGCGAAGGCCTGCTGCCAAGCTTTGCTGTGCTGTTGAGTTTGTGGGCAGCAGGCTGTGCTTTTTGAGTAAAGTTGAAACCCTATGGTGCTGCACACCTAAGCTGGAAGCTGCAGTGTGGCCCGGGTTGCCATGGGCGTTGTGCACGGGACCCGGTGCTTCCCAGGTCACAGCTCCTATGTGCTTGAGCCTTGGGGCTGCTCCAGACCAACACCCCAGTCCCTGAAGGCCCGTGTCCATCCTGTTCTGGGGCACCTTGCCTTCCCGGGAGTCCGACACAAGGGGAGCTCTTGGCTGTGAGTCCCTGTGAAAAGTCCCCGAGGTAAAGGGCTGCAGGGAGAGCAGTGCTGTGCCCTGTGGGGAGGGTGCAGGGAAGAACCAGGCAGCACAACCATGAGGGCGGGGGGACACCGCCTCTACCCAGTCCGCAAGGGTGAGCTCCAGAGCTTGGCAGGCCACTGCCCTACACTTCAGCCTGGGCTGCACAGGCCCCTGAGGTTTTCCCTGGCCAGCTCACTTCCTGCCTTGTAACTCAAGCAGGGCTAAGTTGTGCTTCCCCGGGCCGTGCAGAGCTGCCTGGTGCTCTGAAGTCAGCTGAGTCCACAGCCAAGGATACCCACTGGCCTCTCTCTGGCAGAGTGTGAGCTGCGGACCCTTGGATCAATCCGCTTTCTTCACTGGCAGAATCCACTGCCTGGAAAAGCGTTTGAACTGACTCCCAGGCCTGTGTGGTTCCTGTCTTGCCTTGGTATCCCTTTCTTTGTTTGAAACCTAATAAATACAGTTGTATAACAGGGCTCTTGTCTTTATTCCAGAGTTCTGACTTCTAGGTGCTCCAAAGTCACACTCCTGATTCCTGTTAAGCCACCAGCTGTCCACTCGTTCAGGAGGTGGTGGGCCTGATTACCCACAACTCCGACTTACTGGTGCAGCCTTGAGTGTGGCCCTTGGCTGACTGCAGGGACTTTGGTCTTGGACAGTACACATTGTCTGGCTTCCCAAGGCCCATGTCCTCCCTGGGAGCCTGTGTGACCCTGTAACTGACATTCCTGCAAAGCCAGCTTCGTGGACACCAGGGTCAGCAAGGTGAGCTCATAGTAGTCAGGCCCACATGGACCATGGCTGCAGTGGCCTGCAGGACCTGGACAAACAATTTTTTTTTTTTTTTGTCTTTTTCATTTTTATCGGTATCGGGGATCGAACTCATGACTGCCTGCTTGCAAGGCAGGCGCTTATGCCACTGAGCTAAATCCCCAGCCCCAACAACTTTTTTTTTTTGGTACTGGGGATCAAACTCCTCAGCCTCCTGCTGGCCAGGCATGATCTTAAGGCGCTGGGCTGAATCCTCAGCCCTGGGCAAACAACTTGGCAGCCCTTGCATGTAGGGTGCCCTCACCTCAGTGAGCAGTCAGCCTAGATGAGAGGGTCTGGCCAGTTCCTGGGATGCTCTGGTGCACAGCATGTGGCTCTTTACAGATCCTTATTACTTGACAGTGAACGTTCTCCCTGCTTCCCACTCCCAGGTAGCTATTGTTTACTTTGGACATTATCCAACAATTCATCAGTTTGCGCATCATTTCTATTCAACTCCATTGAATAGAATCTTAGCCAGCTTTACCAAAAAAAGACTGAAATCCATGCATTTAGGAATGAAGAGTGAAATTGCAGTGGACCCTGCAGAGATCTAGATCATCTATACCTACGTTGAGAACCTGTATGCTAATAGGATGGAAAACAAAACAAATGAACAGATTCCTAGATACCTATGCATTACCAAGGCTGAAACAAGAAGATACAAAAATCCTGAGTAAATCAGTATCAATCCATGAAAGTGAAGCTGTAATTAAAAACCCACCAACAAGATCTGCCAGCGGGGCGGGTGGAGACCGCTGCAGGGAGCCAGGGTTCTTGGGCAGCACAAGATTCAGCCTCGGGGCTGGGGATTTAGCTCGGTGGCATAAGCGCCTGCCTTGCAAGCAGGCAGTTATGAGTTCGATCCCCGATACCGATAAAAATGAAAAAGACAAAAAAAAAAGACTCAGCCTCAGGAGAAAAATGCCAGAAAGCAGGCTGGACAAAAGGAGGAACAAGGTCGTAATCAAAGGGCAGCTGCCAGAGCTGTAGTCCAGCTTTACAAGGGAATGGATTTAATGCAGGACACACAGTTTATAAGATGACCATATTCACGCAAAGCATCAAATGCCGAGGAGTGCGGGAGACCTGTCCACACGTGAAAGGCCCAAAGAATCCAGCTGAGGGCTGGGCCCCACAGCAGTGTCCTCCATGAGTCCAGCCGGAGGCCCAAAGCCCACAACAAGGATTCATGTAAGTCTGTAACAAGGATCTCTGTCAGAAGGCCCCAAGGCCAGTGATGAAGGATTGCACCAGCAGCCTGGGCGCTCTGCACTGCAGCCAGGAAGCGAGCTCCCCAAAGAGAACTACAGCCATCCTCAACACAGTGAGGTCTGGAGCGCCCCTAACAGTGCGAACTGCTGAGTTCACATCAGCAAGGCAGCGTGACAGCTTCTCCAGAAGAATCAGCAGCAAAATCAGCAGCAAGCGCCATCTTCCTCTCATGCCCTCTAGTTTTCCTTTTATGCTGTTGGCAACAGGCCCCAGCTGGGCCTCGTATGCCCAGCACCACACTGATCCAGTCCAGCTGGGTGTCACAAGTTGCCAACCAGTTGTCCGTCCACCGCACCACCATATACCTGCACCATCTGTAGGACACAGATGCCAGCCCTAAGACCTTCAGGCAGCACTGGAAAGCAAGCACTCCAAGCTCTTACCCCATCAAATCGGCTGATGTGTGAAGCAGAACAACGTTCCCACATGAATTCACAACACCTTTGGCTCTTGACTGTCTCAGACTTAGGTACCAAACCTGCAGCGGCACAAACTGTTAGCCAAAATAAAGGGCCACAGATACACACACTCTTATGCTGTTCTCTTTTGGGCTTCACACAAAGACAATTCTGTGTAAATGTACAGTTGACACTTGATTTGGAAATCTGAAAATCGGTCCATCCTTGTTAAAAAAATTTTTTTACAATTGTAATTATATTGATGTTCATATGATATAAAATAATTCATTTAATAAAGTAGGACTTTGGTTCTACCAACAAAGAAAAACTCAGGCCCTGAGAGATTCATGCTGAATTCTGTAAGAAATTTAGAGCAGACCTAACCCCAGTATTTCTTAGACTCTAATAAAGCTGAGAGTGAAGCAGTACTCCCAAACCCATTCCTGGAATCAAGCTACTACCATTTTTTAGTAGGTTCCTTCAATTTTTTTTTTTGTTTTGTTTTTGTGGGGTTTTTTTTTGGGGGGGGGATTTTATTTTATTTTTTATTTAAAGAGAAAACAAAACAGTAAAAGGGTACAAGTAATACAGAATTTCAAAAAAAATAAACAGTAAGAAATCACTAGTTAATAAATTACATATTGTCATCTTAGAAATAGTTGATCAAGTTACAAAATTAAGCATACAAAGTGGACATTCAAACAGTGAAACTGCAAACAGTTGTGTTCAATGATCCAACAAAAACTTAGTAATATGGTCATCTATCTTACACACTTGCAGTTATGCTCCATTAGAGCACTTTCTTTTCCTCTCTTTTTTTCAATAACATTTAAACATTTTGGGTTTTATTACTCTCACAGTTCTTATTAAGAGAATAAAATCAAATGTGACAAAACAAAGCAGAGTCGGTCAAAACAAAGGATGGACATAATACATGATGGAAAAACAGAGTACCAGGTAATCAGCAATGGTTACCATAATGCCCCTTGCTACCTTAAAAAGAATTGCCTATCCCATCAGGTATAATAAAATTGAACATAACAGTACAGAACAAAACCAATAAAACCTAAACATTGGAGACATTACTGAACTTCAAAAGAAGATAATAGTTAAACCAGGGTAGGCATCATAGTTAATCTTATTGCCTTCAGAGTAGTTGCCTGTACCCTCAAAATTGATAATATCAAACAGAACAGAATAGAGTAAAATCACTCAAAACAAGATGGTGAGAGCAATACGGGGCTTCAAATCGAGTTAATAGGAAATCAAAAAAGTTACTATAATATATCCTGCTAATTTTTAAAGAATTTTTTCCCTTAATTAAAAAATAATGGGACTGGGGATTTAGCTCAGCGGCATAAGCACCTGCCTTGCAAGCAAGCAGTCGTGAGTTCAATCCCCAGTCCGTAGCAATAAAGAGGAAAAAGACAAAAAAAAAAAAAAAAAAAAAAAAGACATGAAAAAAATAATAATAAAATAAATTTTTTAAAAAGGGGAGAATGAGATAAAAGAGGACATAACAGCATAATAACAATACAGGTCAGAACAGAACAATTTAAACAACATAGTGTTTTACCACAAGATAACCCGACTTAATAGTAGTTACCATAGTGTCTCTTTTCTTGAAATATTTGAGTATACTTCGTATACTATAGCATCAAGCATATCAAGACAGTGTGAAACCATTCAAGAGGATGAAAGTATTACAAGGTATTCAGAACCAGCTAACAGAAAACAAACAATGGTTTCTATATTATCTCTTTGCCTATATAAAAAAATTTGTTTATACTATCATATATAATAAAATCCAATAAGACACAACATGGCAAAAGCAATGGAGACAGAAGAACAACAATTTGATGGGACTTCAAAACAAGATACTAAATCAGCACTAGCTTTATGGTGTCTGGTTTTCTTTAAAATAGCTGTTCATATCATCACAGACAGTAATTTTTTTTTTTTTTGGTACTGGGATCTAACTCAGGACTTGAGCTTGCCAGGCAGGTATTTATTTGCTGAGCTGAATTCCTGCCCTTCAGGCTAGCTTTGAACTCAGTGTGTAGCCCTGGCTGGCCGGGAACTCACAGAGCTCCTCTTGCCTCAGCCTCCCAAGGGCTGGCATAGAGGTGTGTGCTACCACATCCGCTGCTTCCTTCATTCTTTACCTGAGATTTCAGTGCATACATGAGTATGTAGGCTGGGTGCGGTGCTGCACGTTGGTAAACCCAACACTCCAGGAGGTTGAGGCAGGAGGATTGCTGCAAGTTCAAGGCCAGACTGAACTGTATATTGAAATCCTGTCTCAAAAAACCAAAATAAATAAAAATAGGGGCCAAGGATTTCACTCAGTAGGTCAAACACTTGCCTGGTAAGCACAAGGTCGTGAGTTTGATCCCTGGTACCAAAAAATAAAAAATAAAATTTAAAAAAAAATATATATGTGAAATGACAATTTTCATATTCAAACTAGGACAAAAAAAGCTGGGTGTGATGATACACACTTGTAATCCTGGCACTTAGGAGGAGGTTGAGGCAGGAGGATTGTTGCAAGTTTGAGACAGTCTGGGCTACAAAATGAGGTCAAGGCCAGCCTGAACTGCATAGAGAGACCCTGTCTCAAAAAAAAAAAAAAAAAAAAAAAAAGACAAAAAATAAACTAACCCCAAACATTCGCTAGAGACCTAAAAACCCAGTGCAAGCCTCCTTCCTGAGTTCAGAGTCGGTTTCCCACTTGTAGGCAGCTTGTCAGATTCGAACTTCAGAAAATGCAGCCTTTTCTCATGATGTCTCCAGGCTCAGTTTCTCTGTTTCTAGGCCCTGTGGCTGACGTGGGGACTTGGCTCCTTGTAGAGCTCATTTCCTAGAGTCAGGTATGGTGCTGCACAATGTAATCCCAGCACACCAGAAGGCTGATGCAGGAGGGTCACAGCCCCAGCCCAGTCAGAGCAATTTAGTAGCTTTGTCTCAAAACAGAAAATGAAAAGGGCTGGGGATGCATGCCTCTCAGTGGAAAGCCTCTGGGGTCCATCTCCAGCACTGGGGAAAACAGTAGACTAAGTTGTTTTTACTTGAAGAGGAGGGGAAAAAACACAGTCTCCAGCAAGCAGGGGTCTTCGGTAAGGACTGGTCAGTGTTATCAGTGCTGGGCCTTGTCAGATTTTGTGAGTTTTCACCTTCAGGCCACTGAGAGCAGAAGGGATGAGAGACCCCGAATGCTGACTCAGGCCTGGAGGCCCAAGGGGCTCCACTGCAGAAAGGGCACCGTAGGCCAGTGGGCAAGCAGGGAAGAGACTGAAGTGGGACAGAAAGATGCCCAAAAGCACAGGAGGAGGTGGGGAAGCAGTGAGTGTTGGAGAACTGGATGAGGTGCTTAGTTCACCCCTTGAAAAAAGGAAAAAAAATTTTTTTTGACCCAGGTTCTCACTAGTTCAAATTGATCTTGAACTTGAGGTGATCCTCTTGCCTCGGCCTCCCAAGTGCTGACATTATAGGTGTGCACAACACGTCCGGTTGTTGAGCTCATTTTAAAACTAGGAAAAATGTGCTGGGGATTTAGCTCAGTGGCATAAACACCTGCCTGGCAAGCTTTAGGTTGTGAGTTCGATCCCCGGTATCAAAAAAAGAAAATCAAATAGGGAAAATGTGAAGCTTTCCTTAAAGGTTTTTGGGGGAACCCCTAACCAAATGAGAAGTGTGCCGCTCGGGTTGGGGCAGGTTTGTTCTGTCTTTCAGCTGAGCCTGTCGGTGTTGGTGTCCTCCCAAACTCATCCCCGGATGTCCCCTCTGGCCCTCCTGTCCCAGCGCTGATCTGGATGGACCTGAGCCGGCTTTCCAGGCGGAAACAGCGGCGCGGCCGCAGCCCTCGGGACCGAGCTGGCGCAGCCCGTGTGGGCAGGGCAGCGGCTGAACCAACCACCAGGGCGTGTGAGGCGAGCCTCGGGCTTTCTGTGTAGCTCAGCGGCCACCCATGGGCCCTTCTGGGAGCCTGGATTCTCAGGATCTGGCCCCGAGTGCTGCTGAACGGGAGCCCCAGCTGCTGTGGGGCCCACACCCACGCAGTCTCACAGGCTGTTCAGTGACGCACGATGCCCTCCCCAGGCAGAGTGAACTCCCCGGTGCCCAAAGCATCCACACCCCACAGCCCCCTCTCCTTCTCCACCTGGTCCTGGCAAGGTGGGATGCCCTTCTGCCCTGGAGGCTTGGAGAGCTCACCAGGTGCCACCACAAACCCCTGGAACCCCGCAGGTGGAGGCTGAGGCAGGAAGGTCATGAGTTCGAGGCCAGCCTGGGCAGCAGCGTGCGAACACCCTCGCTTCCCAAAGTGGGTCCTCTCCCTACGTGTTCTGGTCTTCAAAACCGCCCACGTCAACAAAACAAAACAAAACAAAAAACCCGCCCACGTCCCGGGTCTTTCATCCCGGCATCCAGGCCTTAAACTGCGTTCCTGCGTCTGGCAGCGGGAGACCCCGCCCTCGCAGGGCCGCTCTTTGGGACCAGCAGACAGGGTTTCCCTCCCTTCCTTCGCTCAAACTCCCCAAGTCACACGCAACTTCGCCTGCTTCTCCGAGGCTGCGCTGGGCTTCCCCACCACGCTGTCCTCCGCCCCCAGTCCACTCCATGGGCCCAGCTTGGTCGAACCCACGCCACGTGGGTACGCAGTCCGGGGACCTGCTGCCTGGCGCATGCGTGTGCATGTAGGTGTGCGTGTGCATGTGTGTGGGCGCTTGCACATCACAAGCGCTCCTGGGGATTAAACCTAGGTGTCCACCCTCAGCTGCACCCGGCTCTGGCTCCCTTTGCTTTTCTCAGACGGCCTTGAGCCGAGCTGCAGACCAAGCTGCAGAGGCTACCGACCGGGTGTGGGCCTGCGAAGTCCGGGTGCAGAGAGTCTGGGTTCTACTCAGGCTGAGGTCAGAGGCCACAAGTTCAAACCCCGCCTACTTGGGCGCTTGGGCCCCATCGCCCACAGAGAGGCCGAGGCAGGGTGGGAGCCAGGCGGTGCCAGGCCTCATTGCTTCCATTGATGCCAGGGAACTCACGGGGACGTAGGACCCGGTTCTCACCCTGTTTGTGTAGAACCAAGTTGTGAGCCAAGGCGTCGTTGTTACTTCTGTGGCTCTGGATATCCCCTAGGGAAGACGGTGGTGTCTGGCCGAGGTGGCACCGGCTTGGACCTCTGGGGAGGTCTATCCCGGCAGCAGGTGGTGGCTTCCGGGAAAGAAGGACAAACACGCAGGGGGTTAAATAAGCTGCTTCTTTTTGCACTGTTTATTAATGTACAAAATATACAAAACCAAAAGAAAAAGAAAATATCCATCCTCAAATCCATTGTGGCTCTAACCCAAGACCCTGCACAAAACCCAACCAATTCACTGTTTTCATAGAAAACAACCGATGCCGATGGGCAGGGGCAACCTGCTGAGGCCCAGGGGCGTGTAGTGTGACCCTCGGCGGGAAGTGGGTCCCCAAGTGTCCTGTGAAGTCTCCAGGATGGTCAGAGGTGGGGTAGCCCCAAGTGCTCACCATGCAGAAAGGAATCTGCCATCATCAAACCCAGCAGACTCAAAGGCGGACGGGTACAGGTTCGACCGTGGGCACAGGGCAGTGGGGCGAGGTGCCCTCCCAGGACAGTGGGTCCCCCATGGAGTCTGTGTGAGGCCCACAGATGGGAGAGCAGGCGCAGCCAGGTGGCCCTGGGCTCTGGGCAGTGGGGCTGCACCAAGGGCCAGGACGCAGGCGGAGCCGGCAGGGCCTCCTCATCAGGGTCCACAGTCCAGGCCGGCAGCCCGGCCCTGGGCCGAAGGGGTATGTACACGGACACACACCCGAGACGGGTGGGACCGGACCGCATGGGTTGAGCCTGGGGCCAGCTCCTCTCAGCTGGGAAAGGGGACATGGGCCTCACAGAAGCCATAACTGGGGAGGAGCAGGCTGCAGCGGGGCTGCTGGCCCTAGGGCAGGGGTGGCCCGTTGACCCCGGGGTGGTAGAAGGCACAGTTGTTCTCGTAGCGGCAGTTGCCCTTCATCATGAAATGCCGGCAGACGGGGCGATTGGACATGTCTGTGGGGACAGGACATGGCAGTCAGTCAAAGCAGCAGCCCCAGGGACCCCCACCCGCCACTGGACTCAGGGAAACACTAAGCCCCATGGGAACTGGCAGCCCCTCACCTCCTCCGTGACTGTGGCCTCCATCATGTCCTCGGTGGCTCCCTCCCCCGTGGCCAGGGCCATCATGGCCACGGTGCTCATGAGGTGGCCCTCGGTGGTCATGGCCTCGGTGACCAGGAACATCATGTGGCCTGTGGCTATGGGGTCCCCCGTGTCCAGGGCCTTCATGGGGCCGATGTCCACTGCCACCCATGCTACTGCCAGGGCCTTCATGGGGCCGATGTCCACTGCCACCACCCATGCCACCTCCAGGGCTTTCGTGGGGCCGATGTCCACTGCCCATTCCTCCACCAGGGCCTTCATGGGACCGATGTCCACTGCCACTGCCCATGCCCCCGTTGGGGCCATCATGGGGGCGGTGTCCACTGCCACTGCCCATGCCCCCACCGGGGCCATCGTGGGGCCGGTGTCCACTGCCGCTGCTCATGCCCCCACTGGGGCCTTCGTGGGGCCGATGCCCAGCACCTCCAACCATGCCTCCACCGGGGCCGCCTCGTCCATTTGGCGGTCCTGCTCCAGACCGTCCTCCTCGGGCCCCTCGGAATGGAGGGGGTGGTGGAGGGGGCTCATTTCCTCCTCGGCCACCTCGGCCACGATGGTATGGTCCGGGACCAGGGCCTGGACCCCCTCGCATTGGGCCGCCCCGCATGGGATCCCCTGGCCCATCCCAGAAGGGGTCACCCCCACGGGGAGGTGGTGGGGGACCCAGGAGACGTGGACCCACTGGTCCACCAGGGCCTCCATGGGGACCTGTAGTGGACAGAGACGAAAGGAGACACGTCAGCTGCCAGTGTGCCCACTACCATTCCCGGCCTGACCTCTCTGAGCCTCCCGCCCCCTAGGACCCTCAAGCCCCCACCTGACCTACCTGGCATGGGTCCCCCCGGCCCAGGGGGGAAGTGCTGCATCCCCTTGGGGGCTCCGGGGCCTCCAGGTGGGAACCCGTTGGCAATGGGTCCAGGACCCAGAAGTCCATGTGGCACTGTTCACAAAAGAGGATGAATGATCAGCAAGGGGACCCCAACAGGAAGAAGGCAGGGCCCCCTCACCTTTGGAGGGAGGGCGGGAAGCTCACCCAGCATCTGCTTGAGCTTGTCTGAGTAGTCTGGCTGCTTCAGCAGCTCCTCCGGGGGGTGGCTGCCTGGGCTGCCCATGATGGAGGTGAGGATCTCCTGCACGTTGATGCCACCCCCGCCCGGGCCCTGCGGGCTCTTCCCAGCGCCCATGCTCCCCATGAGGTTGGCCAGCACTGGAGGCAGCTTGGAGCCAGCCGCACCATCAGGGGAGCCGCCTGGGCCACCGGGCTCCAGGGCCTCAGCATAGGGGGCCTCATCCATGGCACATTCCTGGCACAAGGGAGGGAGGGGACAGATGAAACCACTGGAAAAGAGGCAGGGACCCGACCACAGCACCCACCACCAGTGTACCACCAGGCCCCAAGGCCAACTCACCTCGTCCAGAGGGATGAGCTTGGGGGGCACGGGCTCGTAGGGCTCGGGGTCGGGCTCGTGCGGGCTGCAGGGGAGGAAGTGACGGGCTGGTTAGGCTCTGGGTCCGAACCCTGCCCTTGGCTCTCCCACCCAGACCCCCAGTGCCCACCTCTCCTTGTTGAGGAACAGCTCCTGCAGGATGCCCTTCTCCCGCTCAGCCTGTACGTGGCGCTCCTGGCTGTTGCTGCCGGGGGTGACGAGTGGTGCAGGCAGCAGCAGTGGCCTTGGGGACACCCAGGGCACCTTTTCTTCCATGCTGTCGTGGCTCAGGCGCCGGGCCGTCTCAAACGCGTGCCGGTCCGACAGGATTTCTCGCTTGGCTGCCTCCCCGAAGTCCTTGATCTTATTTACATTCACTGAGGAGAGGGCGAGAAGTGAGCCCAGATCCCAGGCACCCGGTGCACCCTGCCCACCCTGCCCGCTGGGCTGCGCTCCTCACCACGCTCCGTCTCATCCAACTCGAAGTAGAAGTACTCCCGCAGCCGGGCCTCCTCGGGCCACGTCACTGTCTTCCGCTTCCGGCCTTTCCGCGTCAGCGGCCCAGGCTCCCCGGGGCTCTCTGCTGGCCGGGCATCCAGGGCTCCTGGCTCCAACGTGGCTACAAGCAGCAGGGGTGTCACCTCGGGCCCTGGCTGGCCCTGGCCCCAGTCCCAGCCCCAGCTGGCCCGCGGGTTACCTGTGTCCATGAGCTCTGGGACCTCCACAGGGGGCACCGGGGTGCCAGGCCGGTCCACGTCCATGGCCTCAGAGGCTGGGGCTGGCTCTGGGGACGCTGGCTTGGTTGTGCTTGGCTCTGCACTTGGCTTCCCTTCAAAGGGGCTGGGCTGTGACGGAAGGGGACGAGGTGATTGCGCTTGATAGTCGGCCAGGTGGCTCTCGGGGTGGTATCTGAACCCAGCTCCTACTGCACCCACCAAGAGCAGTGGCCCCTCTCCCAACCCTGCACCCCACAGAGCCCCACTCCTCAGGGCTGTACCTTGGCAGCAGTGGGTGACAGCACCTTCTTCTTCTTTTTAATTTTGATGCCTGGGACAGGAGCTGAGTTGAGTGCGTCCAGGAAGCCCAGGCCCTCCATAGCTATGGGGAGACGGGGGCAGTGAGACCAAGGCGGGGGCCCACATGTCCCTGTCTCCGTGCTACCAAGCCGTTCTGCTTTGGGCGGGACCCACCTGACCTCCCCTCCTAAGTAATCCTGCACAAGGGGAGCTGTGGTGGGCCAGGGACCAAGGAGCCCCAAGAAGACAAAGCCATGCCAGGGACAGCAGACACAAGTGACACCCCGCCTGTGCTGGGACCCCGCCTGCACTCACGCTGTGGCGGAATGATCTTCACTTTGATCTCCTTGGTGGTGTTGGGGGTTGTGTTGAGGGGCTTGTACTTCTTCTCTGCAGGGGGGGCTGCATCTCCAGGCGTCGCTGCAGCACTGCAGAGGGGACAGTGGTCAGCAGCACCCACTCGGTGGCCCTGACCCCCCGCCCCCCAAGGCGGCCCCAGGTCACACCTCTGGCGCTTCAGGGGGATGGGCTTGAGGTTGTACTTGTCTGAGACCACCACAGTGCTGGCACTCTTCTTCACGGGCACCAGTGACGGTGTCTCCAGTTCCAGCCCTGGGGACAGGGGACCCGGAGCTCAGCCTCGGCACCAGCCCCACTACCCCAGCCCCACACCTGGCTGTGCCCAGGGCTGTTTGAGCCTCACCAGTGGAGCGAAACTTGGCGTGGCTGGGCGCCGTGGTGCGCAATGACTTGGGCTTCTCCCGCTTCTTCTCAGGCACCTCCTCAGCCCGGGCCTCGGGCTTCACCTCGGCTGGGGGGCGCTCCGGGGGCACGCTGCGGCTTTTCCCCTCTTCTCTGCGCTTCTTCCTATCTTTCTCTGTTGCAGGAAAGGACCGCAGTTGGGAGGGAGATGCTGTGTGTGGGGGAAGTAGGTGAAGGAACCCAAAAGCCACACGCGGCGTAGCTATGCACAGGAAGGACCCCAGCTCACCTGCAGGCTGCGCGCTGCTCTGGGAGCGGATGACGGCCATCCAGTCGCTGACGAGGACGGAGGCCAGCTTCCGCAGCTCTGTGGGGAGAGAAAAGGGGACAAGCATCAAAATGATTTAGTAATAAGTAGCAGGCTTTCTTATTTTGTTTATTCATCTGTCTTTTTGACGCAAGGTTCACTGCTGAAACCTAGGCTGGCTAAGAACTCATGGGATCCTCCTGCCTCAGCCTCCCAAGCACTCGATTATAGGCATGTGCTACCACACCTGGCTAGAACTATAATTGTCTTTTTTAATTGGTACTGGGGATCGAACTCACAACCTCAAACCTTGCACTTGAAAGACAGGTGCTTATGACACTAAGCTAAATCCCCGGCCCCTAGAACTATAGTTTTTTTTTTTTTTTTTTTGTCTTTTTCATTTTTATTGGTACCAGGAATCGAACTCACGACCGCCTGCTTGCAAGGCAGGTGCTTATGCCGCTGAGCTAAATCCCCAGCCCCTAGAACTATAGTTTTTAAAAGAAAGAAAAAAGCAAGGTGAGGTAGAGAGGAAGGCAGGAGTGAAGGGCAGTCTGAGAGGGGAGCGAGAGACAAGTGACAGCAAAAGCCCATCAGCCCATCTGGGGATGGTCCTACCTTCATCCTCACTCGACTTGCTCAGCTGCTTCACCAGCTTGGCTGTGTTGTTCTACAAAAGAGGAGCAGCAGAAAAGTCAATGTCAGGAAGGGATGGTGGTGAGCCCTCCACACAACCTCGGGAGGTGACCCCTTTTGGTAGGTATAATTATTCCCATGTTACAGGTGAAAACACTGAGGCTAAGCTATGTAAGGTACCCCAAGCTACACACCTATTAAACGAAATAATCCAAACTGCATCGTCTCATTCCAAATTCACTCCCCAGAGGGTCTTATATCCCAGAGTGTTTTGAGGGTTGGGTAACCCTGGGAGACTGGGAGACCCTGAGGTACCTGCTTGAGGTGGTCCACCGTGAGTGGCAGGTGCTGGAGGGTCACCAGGATCTGCTGCAGGAGGGGAATGTTGTTGGTGGTCTTGGAATAGGTCAGCCAGTTGTTAAGTAGCTTGTAGCCTCCCACGTCAATAAACCTGGAGGAGTCAGGAGCAGAACTTCTAAAGTCTTCTCCCATAGCATGGTCCCCACCAGTGACCCAGGAACCCCCACCACGTCTGTGCCTACAGCCGGCAACCCCTGCTTACTTGATCAGTATTTCAGATGACCGAGTCTGCAGCAGGATGTTCAAGTATGTGCAGCGACTCACCATCTTCCGTGCTTCCTTCATCAGACTGCAGAGCAGAGGCAGAGTCAGAGGGAGTCACCCGCACCCGCACAGTCCCAGAGAGGGGGCTGAGCTCTCCGAGAGGAGAGGCTGGGGTAGCTTCAGAGACGCTGGAAACCTCAGGATGTAGGGCACAGGCGTCTGGGGAGTGCCGGAACACGGGGACTCGGCCTCTGGAGCCCATGCCAGGGCTCGCCAGCACCCCAGTCCCTCCAGAGCCTTCGTGAGCCAGCCTGGAGGCTCCCCAGGACAGACCACTTCCAGCGGGTGGTGTATGACTCAGCACAGAACCAGAATCTATCAGCAGGCTGTGCTGTTTCAGTGAGACTCCCGGGGTGGTGGATGCCCAGCCCACTTCCGGCACTCACTCCTGGATCCGGGCTTTGAGCCCTTTGCTCTTTCCTCACTCTCCCTTCCCTCTTCTAGGAGGAACACCTCTGCCCCAGCTGCGGCCACACAGAAAACGCAGAGTCCTCTACTTACAGCAAATCTGGACCCAGACCCAGGCTCACCTGAAGATCTTGGAAATCCCGTCCGCACTCTTGACTTCCCCATCTCGGTTTAGAAAGCTGTCCAGCCCTTTGAGCAGCTCTTTGGGGTCTATGGGACCAGAACCCATGATCCTGGTTTCTAAGAACAAAATATATCCACAGAATGAATGGGAGGAAAGGCAGTCCCAGTATGTCCCCTAATAAATCCCATCACCGTATTTGACAAAACACTGCCCTAATTCTATTTTTAATTAACTGTAGTCAGCTATTTCACTCAATTATACTATTTTCTAGATAAATAAGAACCTGGTTCTACTTACAGACCATCACTACTGAGGAAACAGGCCTGGCCCATGACGCATGAGGCAAACAGGACTGAATGCCAAGGAACTAAGAGTGGCAGGCAGGGTGGCCTCCCTCCTGCTGCCCTCCCAGGACAGCTGGCTCTGCCAGACACCACCACAGCTAAACTTAAGTTCCTGTAAGAAGATATTCAACCTGCACGGCTCTTGCTTATTGGTAAGCCACTTTCCTTCACTGCTGACAGATCTGCCTGGAAAGAAGTCTAGGTGATAAAAACCGCATCCATCTTAGGTGCGGGGGCTAAATGTGTCATAAGAGTCAGCTTCTCTTTATCCAAGCCCTGTGTCCAAATCACAAGTGACAGATGTGTCTGCAGAAGTGACAGGTGACAGCAAGGAAAATAACCTTGAAAAGAGAATCCCGGGGCTGGGGATTTAGCTCAGCGGCATAAGCACCTGCCTTACAAGCAGGCAGTCTTGAGTTCGATCCCTGGTACCAATTAAAAGGAAAAAGACAAAAAAAAAAAAAAAAAAAAGAGAATCCCTGTTGCAGAGGATTTGGGGAAAGCACCCAGATAATGGGTAAAAAGGATATAAAGTAAATAAAATAGGTCCTCCTAAGCCCTGAATAATGTTACTCCCTGATCAAATACTACATATGTTTTATTGTTCAGTTAAAAGTTTGTGGCTTCAAAAACAAAACCTGACCCTCTACTTAGAAGTAACCTCCTGATTCTGCCAAAAAAGCCTAAATCTAAAACTCAAGGAATAGCAGGAAAAAACTCAAGATTGGTCAAGTGCTATAGTTTCTAAACAGCTGCTCTGGACTGGGCCGGAAAAGTTCATCAAAAGCTGGACTTTTTCATGGAAGGAACAGAAGCGTGAAGCAATGCTTTAGACCAGAACCAAAATTCTAGAGTGGTGAGTTAGGCTCAGGACGGCTTTGATGGGCATTTTCTCCACACTCCCTTATCCACAGTGGCTTCTGAGAACTGACGGAGGAAGCCACGCAACAATGTCCACATTTGGATTGCACCAAGCAGAGGCCACAGATGCAACCCCAGTGGAGAGAAAAATCAGCATTTCACCAAGACAACTATAGCCTGTGCAGGACAGAACCTTCAACCTCCACAAAGACAAGTGGAACCTGAGGCCAGAGAAAAACATCCAAAGAGAATACTGAAAAATGATAGAATTCAAATTACATATATATATATATATATATATTTTGTCTTTTTCATTTTTATCGGTACCGGGGATCGAACTCACGACCACCTGCTTGCAAGGCAGGTGCTTATGCCACTGAGCTAAATCCCCAGCCCCAAATTACTTATATTTTTGAGCCAAAACAAAAAACCCTCCACGCAACAGGTCAATTTCTAAGTGTATTGTCTTAATGACTGAGGCAAACAGCAGAGGCAGAAATGCTATGGGGCAAGCAAATCCAGCCTACTACGCTGTCACTGCCACCCCAGAGCCGCCACAAGGACAAGTGGCACCTGAGACTGAAGAACATTCAATAGAATACCAAAAAGATCAGAAACTTGTGAGCCAGACCCACTGATGTACAGTAGTCACCACACAGACAGGCTTTGGGAGAAGGAAATTCTTCCCACATAGTGAGACCCTTTACAGTGATATACAGAAAACTATATAAAGATATAACAGACTTCCCATGTGTTGAAAGCTGGAAAAGCAACAAATAGTTGTAAAGTCATGGTACATATCAAAAGTAACCAAGAATCTTTTAAAATGTCTACACAAACATGCACACACCTATAAGTGAGATTCCAAACCAAAATATGTACCATTGGTAAAAATCCATGAATTAAACATTTCAAACTAGGGCCCCCTTGAACTTAGCCAACTTGGGCTGATTCAAATCCAGGCTGAATAAACATCAGCTTGGAGCATTTTCCCGCTTGCTCACTGCAGAGGGAGACAGAAAGCCATTCTTCCAAGGACAATGGACCAATCAGTACCAAGCTGCATCCACTGCCCTCTGCTGGAAATGGGAGCCAGCCACTCTGCAATCCCCATTGTACAGAGAAGCTGGAAAGACAGGCACAAGAGTCAGGAAGCTAGGAGACAAAACAGAACAAAAACTTCATTCCCAGGACTGTTTTGGAAATCTAACAGAAATTATCTTACGTGATATAGTTTCAAGTGGACTTTCTCACAGTGGCCTCTCCTTCCCTCATTTAATGAAGAGCCCTAAGCATCACAGAGCAGTCTCCTAGTTAGCATATTCTCAAAGAAGTTCCCAGGTACTCAAGTGAAAAGAAATGCAGAGCACAGTATTCCCAGGAGAGGCCCCGAGGCAGCCTTTGAGGGGACCAAGGAAGGCAAAGACAGGGATCCAGTGTCCTAGAGCCCGGAATCCAAGCTCTGGGAAGCCCTCTGGAGCCACAAAGGATCCAGGATGTGTTCTAAACAGAAACAGAAGCAGCAGCAGCAGCAGCACTACCTACGGGGGAAAGAACAGAACCCTGGCTACCTCCGGCTGCTGAGAACAAGGCCTCTTGCAAGGCTACAGGCCAAGCTGGGCTTCATTCCCAGCCTTACTGGAGACCTTGTCCTCCTCCTACCTTCACCCTGAACTCCACTGAGGGCTAATTAACCTCAGCCCAAATTATTCCACACCCAGCAATGAAACAGGAGACCTGGCTCAGGAAAAAATTCTGCGCTAGCCAAAGCCCTTTAAAGAGCTGATCACAACCACTTCCTACCAAAGGCAAAGGAGTCTCATAGCTATTGTACTCTCAAGGCCTTAGCACTTCTGGGAATGAAGCTGCTTGGCTTCTCAGTGTTCAGGAATTTCCTGATTCAATGGTGTACTGCATTATGTCTCTCAGGTGATTCAGGGACTCAGATTTCCTCTCAAGTGACAAGTATCTAACCCTCAGAAGTCATTTTGAAATTCTGATATGAAGGTGAGCTCAGTGGCACATGCCTGTAATGTCAGCACTAGGGAGGCCAAGGCCTGAAATACATAGGGAGGCTTGCCGAACAAAAAATCTGCTATGTGACCACCTCAAAAGCTTATCTGGTTTTCAATAAAGATGCGAAATCACATACACCATTGCCATACATGGAGAAGGTTCCAGAATGTAATTCTGGCCCAGTAGGATGGCAACACCTATATAATCCCAGCACTTAAGAAGGCCGAGGCAGGGGGGTTGCTGCGGCCAAGGCTATACAGTGAGCTCACAGCCACTCTAAAATATACAGCAAGACTGTCTAAGAAAAAAAAAAAAAGTCATTATGGCCAGACTACAGAGGTCAGGTTCTCTGGTAGATCTGGTTTCCCTAACCAGACTTTGCTTCCTATCTCCCACATTTAAGGAAGCTTCTCTTTATTAATCAGTTCCTGCTCACTAGAGGCCAGGAACCCCAGCAGGTAGGATGTTCAGCTCCAAAGGAAGATAAGCTGCAGAGGCACAGGGGAAACTGATTAAAAACACACACACACACACACACACACACACACACACACAAAATTTGTGGTCAATAGACATGTGGAAAAGTCCCACCCACCCAACACAGCAGTTACAGTTTGAGAATCTGTACCCAGGAGAAAATCAGCCCTAGTCTCCAAGTCACCCTGGGACAGCCGTACAAAACGGTTACTGGAAACTCCAAGCTTCAATACAGGACCTTAAAAAGTGAGAGAAGTACATGGAGTCTGGTAAGATTAAGCTGGGGGAAGAAAGGTAAGCAAAGAACCGACACCCAGCACCACCCTCAGACAGGGCATGGCTTTCAGCATGCACCCAGCCACAGCACCGCACAGGCAGAGCACCAAGGAGGGCACGGTGTTCTTCAGTAGGGAAAAAGAAATTCAAAAAAGGTGGCTCTTTGGGGAAAAGAAATGAAGGTCGTGAAATGTAATACCAGAAATGTTTTGCTTACCAGAAACCGTAGCTTGATTCCCCCTGCCTTGCGTTTACAACTGCCGCCTCCTTTCCTAAAGATTCACTTCTCATCCTAGTACCAACATACAGGAACTAAGCACTGGAGAACGTAATAAAGCACTGGACACAAGAGTTTACCCCAAAAACAGAGTGGGGAGTCAGGGCGACTTAGAAGTTCTCAAAGTACCCTCCCCTCTAGATTCTCAACACATAGCAATCAAAGCAGGAGGCTGAGGCCTAGGTCCCAAGCAACAATGCCACAGCTGTGTCATTAGGCCCTGATTGTCAATAACGTGACAACCCTTTCAATCTCCTACAACACACGCGCGCACACACAGCCCCTCTGGGAGCCCCGCAGACTGAAGGTACAGTTGAGGTGTGCCTGGCTTCAGCCCTGGGCAACAGAAGTGGGTACACTTCCAAAGCTGTGGTGATGGGTGGAGGAGGGTTAAAATAAAAGGTAACAGACTGGCTGTTAAAACATAGAAACTAGAGCCACTCGAGGCGAGGGTCACCCAGGGAACGTGACTCCCTCGAGCTTTATCCCTTTAAGAGAAAGGCTTTTTAAAGATTACATCAAAGTGGGGGGGGGGTTCTCCCTAACTGCAGAGCACACAGGAGGCGAGACCAGCAGAGCGGAGGGGTGGAGTCCCGAGGGTGGAGCAGCTGATTACATCACCGATCCACGCGGCTCCTCCCCTCCACCAGGGCTGGGGCGGCCCAAGCTCAAGATGGCAGAGGGAGAAGACAACAAAGGAGGAGGCCATTTTGTAGCCGAAGACAACTCCAAAAGCGACCGGCAAGGCTCTGCCAGAGCTGCAATCGCACTACAAAACAGTCTTCAGTTAAAAAAAGAGGAAAAAAAGCGAAGGCCGCCCCCACGCTAAATAATCTTTGACTTATTTTGAATTAGCGTAATGAAAATAAAAGCAGTTAAAATTATTTCAAAGAACAATTTTTTACGGGGAAGAAATGAATTGCAACTGAAGTTCAATTGCTACCATCGACCACCCCACCCTCCCTATACAGAGAAGGGGGGAGGATTTGGCCCCCTCTCAACAAATAGGGTTGAGATGGGAGGACAAGAGAAAAACGGGTCGACACAACCTGCAACGCCGCTTGGAAGACAAAAGGACAAGGAAAGTCGCCATATTGAAGCAGGGAAGAAAAAATTCCTTTTAACGACACAAATCCTTTAGAAAGCTAGCATTCAATTTCACTAAATGGCTTTTAAAATTATATTCCTGGATTCCACATTTCCCACCCTTTCCACCCTCTATTTTAGCTTTATCCCGCAATCAAAAAAGTATCAAGTTAAAAATTGTTATATCACTTTGCTTTTAAATAACCTATGCAATCTGCAACAATTACAAAACATTTACCTCCCGATTGTTATGTATTGATACTATTTTGTGCTAAATTGTCTTGCAATCTTTATTCTTAGATTGCCACCTACTTTTAACATACAATATACCCCAAGCAAATTACATTAAAACTGAGAGGACTTAACAATCATTTAAAGCCATAGCCAGCTATTTTTCTCTGCCCATCTCCTTACCCTGCAATCTTTATGTACAGATTGCTTATTAATCTGGCAAATTGAAAGGCGCCCTGCTTGTCTCACACACAAAGAAGTGGGACTTCTGGGCCACAAGATCCACCATCTTTTGTATGTGAGCTCATTAACCCTTTTGAAGACTGCTGCTACCCAGAGGAACGTAATCATTCCTCCTTATAAAAAGCAAACACATGCTTTGGCAGTCTGGAAATTGCCTGGATTACCAAGGGTTAACCATCAATATTCTCACTTGCTGGCCCTCCCTGCACCCTCTCCTTGCCTGCTGCAGAGCAGGGAAGAGGTAGGTGGTAGGGGAGAGAAAACAAGACTGCTCAGACCTAAAGGCCCTTTTAATGGAGATCAAGTGACCGGATTGGTCCTTCTCCAGCTCTACATTTGTTCTATGGTCTTATTTCTTCCTCCCATTATTTTTGGTTTCACAACGGGAAACGTTGATTTCTTGTTGCAAGGCTGGTTTTTGAAAATTCGACACTTACTATCCAATTTTTTTGCGACGTCAGCACCTCGGGCTCAGGGGGGGAGGGGGCAAAATTTGGAGGAAAAAAATAAAACAACCAACCAGGACCCAAAACTCGATTACTTAGGGGGCCTCATTGGATCAAAAAGTCTCTTGAAAAATAAAGGCCGACTCAGTATTCATTTCCCCCCACCCGACTCCATTTAGGGAGGGGGGTCGTAGAAAAAAATTCTGAGTGGATGCAAAAAAGTAAACGCTGAATGAGTGAAATTGGGTTGGGTTTGGGAAGGGAGGGTGGTTGATTATTTTTGAAGTATGTGGTGACGGTCCTTCGGCCACAGATCTCAAGTCCCAAGCAGCGTGGGCTGGTGGGGTGGGCAAATAGGTGGGCAGGGGCAGAAGACACAAGTGGTTGTTGGGCTGGTGGCTGCGGTTTTCCCTTTCCCCCCTCTGGATCCTTTCAAGGGCTTAGATGTTGATGAGGCTCGTTTCTGTTTTCCTCGTGGCTGGCCTGTCTTTCTCCAAGAAAATTCAAACCTGGGGTAAAAGGAACACAAAGGAGAAAGATACAATCAATAAGGGTGGTTTTTCCAACAGTCCACGCTACCATCTTTTTCATCCCAAAATACAGCCCAGTGCTCCATCCCGAATACAGCCGCTTTGGACAAGCCGCGGCTCCCAAACAGACCCAATCCTATCCCGCTTCCCAGCACAATGCCCTACTCAAAAAAAAAAAAAAAAATCAAAAGATAAAAACCACCGGCTTCTATAAAGCAGACGCCCCATAAACTTACCTCTAAACGAACTCCAGAATGGCGGCTCCTGGATCGGGCGGAGTCTTTTATACCCGGACACCGCCCGACGCGCCCAAACGTACTGACAAAGCGCCCTTGTCGCGAGATATTGTGCGCGAGGCGTGACTTTATTGGTCAACGCGAAGGACGACTCGCCAACGGATTGGTTAACTTTCAGGCAGCCCCTTCCCTGGCCCCCGTTTCCGCCTCCTTCTTGATCCGAGCGACGCGTACGCGAGACCACACCCTTAGCACCTCCTTTTCCTCTCCTTCCACCACTTCCGCCCTATGAACGTTTCTCACCCTGGATTGGTAGAAACCATCGGGCGCATGCGCAGTGAGAGGAGCCCGCTTAAAAAACGCCTTTAAAATGCTTCTAAAGCAAATAATAAGTATCGAACCTAAGAGTTATAGTGAGTGCTGCAGGGTAATGACAATTTTTGAGCCCAATTGGATTGTGACGCAGTTTAAATTAGCTTCGGCCCACAACCCCTCCCTTTGACGCTTACGCTCTGACGCAAACGCGCGGCCGCCTTCCGCACTGCGGGCGCCTGTACGCTACAGGAGTCGGGTTTCTGGAGCATGCGCAAAACCCCGTACGTAAAGATGGCGGCCTCTATATTGCACACGCTGCTCAAGCGATATCCTACCCTTTCGCCCTTCAGAGGTATCAATGGAGTTCAGGTAACTCCTTTCGGAAGGCGTTCTGTAAAAATCTCGACCTAGTTATACTTTCTTTAAATTTTCATTTAATGCCCTTCCCGCGTGCTTGTGCCTCAGCCGTGTAGGCAACACACCACCCTCTGGCCGCTACTGCGCGGCTGATCTGATCCTAAAAGCCTGCTGGTGTTATCCTGTCTCCGAAATGCTATTTCAGGAGTAACTAGGCGAAGTGACTAGATGGAGGCATTATCCATTGGGTCACTCACAAAAGCAGCTGTCAGGGAGTGTCAGAATTCGCGATGGCCTGGAGCGTCCTGGAACTGAAAGCCCCTCGTTTCTTGTAGTCTTGCTGTAAAGCCACGATGCATTCTTAGGACCTAGAAACTAGTTTCTCAGCTTTACCTTTAAACCTGTTTCTGATTAGAGCATTCGGAGAACTTAGTTCTGCCCTTTGAACTGAGATTCTACTCACCACCCTGGAGATTCTTGGTAGAGCAGGGTAGGACAGATTCTTGGTGGGGCAGGGTGCGATAGTGGCAGTGGGACGAGGCGCCACTCCCTGAAGTGGGACTTGAGCGTGGTAACAGAGGTCACTATAGAGTTAAAGACCGGCCTGGGAGCTTGAAAGCTGGCGTTGTGACTCCTTTGTTTTGCTGCGCGGTATGTTGCCGTCCAGCTTGTAAAACTGGGGAAGTCAATGACTTAGGATTCGATCGAGCTGGGTGCTCACCTGCCTCTGTTTACCCCTCCCCACCGTACGTCTTACTTTCAAGAGACTAAACACGTTCTCTTTCTTCTTCCACAGGACTCACAAAAGTGTCCTTCTGCGCTAGGTTTTTAAATTGTTAGGTGCTTCCCAGTCACCTCTCATTATTCCTTTACATGAGCCTCTTAAACTGGGTGTGATAGCACATGCCTGTAATCGCAACACTTGGGAGCAGGGGCAGGACGATCACCATGAGTTGGAGGCCATCCTGGGCCACATAATGAATTCAAGGCTAGCATGAAATACATAGTGAGACCCTATCTCAAAAAAACAAAACGAAACAACTAAACATTAGCCTCTTGTTTTTGGATCCAGTTGGGGATAGGGAGTGTGATTGTTGATTTATGTCACTTTAACCTCGATGAAAATACTACCTTCTATATCTGTTGCTGCTAAATTATGTTAACACAGTAGACATGCATTTCTCTTAGGCCTAAAATATAAGCAGAACAATTGAGTCGTGCTTGGCAAGTGTGAGGTCGGGAGTTTGATCCCTGGTACCAAAACTACAACAACAACAAACCACAGTTGAATCCTGTGAACTCCCTGTCTTATTTTTCCCATCCTTTATAGTTTTCCCTCCAGACTTTTTGCACTGAAGCCTCTTCTGGAAAAGATTCTTTGCCCCCAGCTCCTGTTTCCCCTTATGAGAATGAACCCTGGAAATACCTGGACTCAGAAGGTAGCCCTGAACGGGGAGGGAGTCAGGTGGGGCCTGAGGTGATGGACATGGATGCTTGCCCCTCAACTTGTCTGGCCTTTTGTTTCAGAATACCAGAGTCGCTATGGTTCTCGCCCCGTCTGGGCTGACTACCGCCGCAACCACAAAGGCAGGATCCCCCCACAGCGGACTCGGCAGACGTGCATTGTGAGTCGAGAGCATGGCCTGTGGCATGGGGAGAGGCCATCGGGAGAGGAGCAGATTCACTTGGACAAGGCTTAGAACATCTCCACCTTCTGGTTTCTCATTTCTACAGCGTAAGAATAAAGTTGCTGGGAATCCTTGTCCCATCTGCCGGGATCACAAGTTGCATGTGGACTTTAGGGTAAGGAGAATCTTACCCAAAATAAGGGTTTGGAGCATCTTTGCTGTAGGCACCCAGACTTCCTCACACCTTGGCATGTCTACAGCGCATTTTGTAGTGAATGTTTTTGGAAATATTAAACATTATTTTCTCTCTGGCCCTTTGCCTTCAATTACAGATTTCACTAAAACAAAAACAAAAAAAAAAACAAAAAAAAAGAAAAGGTTTATCCCATCTCTGTAAGCTATATGGTTGGCATGTTTTTAAAAAATGCCCATTTTATTTTATTGTTTTGTATTGTTTTATTTATATCTTGAGACAGGGATTTGCTATGCTGCTCAGGCTGGCCTTAAACCCACTTTGTAGTCCAGGTTGGGCTTGCACTCATAGCAGTCCTCCTGCCTCAGCCTCCCAAGTGCACTATTACACCCAACCAAAACTGTTTCTAATGGAAGAAAAAGGTTACCTTCTGTTATAACCTCAGAAGTGTATTGGTCTACTTTTCCCCCTAGTTTTTTCTTGTATCATTGTTCTGTCTGCTGGGTTTGCTGTCTTCCTGTGACTTCCTTTATTTGCTGGTCACATCTGGCTGTGCTGGGTTCTGAGGCTGGAGATGAGAGCCAGGAAGCTTCGTGTAAAATCTAAGGGACTTTTAAAAACTTCTTTCACACAGTGAGGAGCACAAGGCTTGCTCCTTGAATTGAGCGTGCATTACACAAAGGATTCATGCTTTCTGAGCTGGCAGTGAGAGTGGCAAAAGCTGTGGTGGGCATTGAGGGAATTGGGGGTCTTTGTGCATCTAGCGGGGCAATGGCATCTGCTGCCCTGACGCCCTTCTGACAAGGTCACCCAGAGATGCTTACTGGTTCAGCTTCGTGTAGTGGGTTACGAGGGAGTGGAACGGGGGACATAACCAAGAGAGCTCGCAAAGGGAGCGGCAGGGTTGGTCCTGCCACCGTGCTGCCCTCTGTGTCCTTGGCCCTCCTTCCTGTGCCTTATTTGACATTTGAGAGTTGGTCGAATCAGGCTTGTGGGAAAAAGATAACGACAAGCACATCTGTGAGCAGGACGACTGTGAAACTGCTCAGTTTAGTCAGTATGTGATTTGTTCAGTGTGTGACAGTGTTTTAGTCACACACACACCTTGTGTGACTCAGTACCTGGCCCGGTACTGAAGTATAGGACACATACGTGCAAGGGTGACAGCTGACCAGGCTGTGGAGGAGGTGCGGGTCTGGGGCAGACTGGATGGGATGGGGTGCGGGGGAGGCAGGACCGGTGGATCTGACCCGGGATCTGGCTGCTCTGGCTGCCCTGGCTGCCAGCCCAGCTCTCCCCACATTGCTGCACTGTTCTCTCTGCAGAATGTGAAGCTCTTGGAACAGTTCGTCTGCGCCCACACTGGCATCATCTTCCACGCCCCGTACACAGGTGCGACCAGGTCCCTGTCACCCCGACACTCCCTGTTCCAGTCACCAAACTCCAGTATTTGGTCGGCAGCATGCAAAGTGTGGTTGAATCTTTTGGAAATCTTAGGGGAGATACTCATGGGAAAGCTATTCCATGTGGGAAAAAGATACAGACCAACACATCCGTGAGCAGGGGCAGTGGAGTTCTTCTAAGGTACATAGAGTACCTGTGGCGCACACTGTGATCCCAGCACTTGAGAGGCTGACGCAGGAGGGTGGCCATGAGTTTGAGGGTAGTCAAGGGTAGTCCTAGGTACCTGTGAACACAGTTCAAGGATAGCTGGGACTACATAACAAGAGTCTGTCTCACAAAACAGAACAGCTGTCCTTTCACTGTCCACACCTGCTCCTGGGCAGCAGGGTTAGGGTTCTGTAGCGCCTCCAGAGCCTGAATAGGGCCACTGCAGAAAAATTTGGCCGACACCTGCTCTTCAGTAAGATAAACTTGAGAAGAAGAATCTGAGCTCCCTGGGAGCTCTCACCAGGGAGACAGGGTGGTCTGTGTGCCTCCTGGTGCCGTGGCTCGCTGAAGGAACAGCCACAGCTGATCTCAGATCGCCTGCCCCGGTCGGAAGCTGTTTCTTCCTTACCAGACCCATCTCCGGGACTGTCCCAATAAACCCAGCACTGCCTGTGATGGTGTCTCCCTCACACACACTTTTGTTTTGAGAGTCTGCGTAACACAGGCTGGCTTCAAAGTCATGGCTGTCTTTCTGCCTCAGCATCTTTAGTGTTGGTTAAAATTCTCTTTTTTGTTTGTTTTTTTGGTACTAGGAATCAGACTCATGATCTTGTGCTTACCAGGCCAGCACTTGAGCCACTAAGCTAAATCCCTGGCTGTCCTTAGTGTTGGGAGTACAGGCTTGTGCCTCGCTGCCTCTTCTTTTTTTTTTTTTTGTCTTTTTCATTTTTATCGGTACCGGGGATTGAACTCACGACCGCCTGCTTGCAAGGCAGGTGCTTATGCCGCTGAGCTAAATCCCTAGCCCCTCGATACCTCTTCTTAAAGCATTTAATTAGATGGTTTCTCCGTAGCAGTTGATGCCCCAGGCCTTCATCCTGGCTTGCAGAGTGGGGCTCTTCTCTCTGGGCAGGGGAGGTGATTGAGCCCATGAAGGGGTCATAGGAAACCTGGGCCCCCAGGTCCAGCCCTGCCATCACGTGGAAGTGGCTGCCCCTGCTTCTGTGTGCCTTAGCCATGGTGCCTGTTTGTTTTCTCTGCAGGGGTCTGTATGAAGCAGCACAAGAAGCTGACCCAGGCTATCCAGAAAGCCAGGGACCATGGTGAGTGAGAAGGAGGGCAGCCTTGCCAGGCACCGGGGGCTGTGCCTGGTGTGGGGTCCTCGTGCATGAGTCTGCCTCCCTGAGAAGACAGCACCTGTTTGTTCCAGCACTTCTCTGCACTTCTCTGTCCCCTCTGCTGGGTCTGTTTCTGGCCTGTTTTTATTCCGTCCTTTCCTGTCCTCAGTAGTTCACAACTGCCTGTCCCAATGCCCTGGAAAGTCCCCTGGAATATCCCTGTGTGATCCTGGCTGTGGCCATGGTACAGCTTTGCTGGGGACCCTGGCAGGCCACTGGCATGGGCTGGCCAGCTGCTCTGCTGCCCTGTGTGACCTGAGGGAAGGCACTAGGGGCTGAGTCCCTTCCTTGCAGGGTATCCTGTGGGGTCCTTGTGCCTCGTGCTCTTCTCCTCACTGACCCCCTCATCCCTGGCTCTCAGGGTTCCTCAGCTACCATATTCCCGAAGTGGAGCCGCGGGACCTCGATTTCAAGACGTGCCATGGAGCCGTGAGTGCCACCCCGCCGGCCCCCACCCTGCTCTCAGGTGACCCTTGGTATCCCTGGTACAGCTGGAAGCAGCCGCCAGAACGAGAACTGTCCCGACTTCGCCGCCTCTACCAGGGCCACCTCCGGGAAGAGAGTGGCCCCCCACCAGCATGCATGCCCAAGGAGCCCTCTGCCGCCCCCAAGGAGCAGAGTCTCCCCAGCGATGTGTAGGACTGGGACATGTGTAGGGAGGCCTGCAGCAGGCTGAGGGTGGGTGGCTCTGCTTGCAGCCATCGCATGTGCACCTTGTGGAAGGATGTGCTCAACACCTGATAAAGACTTTACCCCACTCCCTTTCCACAATAAAGTGTCTCCCATCTCTGGCTTGCTTTGATCTGGGTTTGGGATGAAAGCTTTTGAGGGCAGGGCTGATGAGTGGTGGTTGCTCTGCATTATTTATGCCAAGCCTGATGGTGCACGCTTATAATCCTGGCACTGGGAGGTTGAGGCTGAGACTGGAGGATCTCTAAATTCAAGGCCAGCCTGAACTACAGAGCAAGACCCTGTGTCAAAAACCAAAACACAAGGTTTTTCTTTTTTTTTGTACAGGGGACTGAACTCACGACCTCGAGCTTGCCAGGCAGGTGCTTATACTGCTGAGCTAAATCCTGCAGCCCACTCCCCCCCACCCCCAGCAAGGGTCTTGCTATGTAGTTCAGGCTAGTGTCGAATTCCCAGTGATCCTCCTGTCTCAGCCTCCCGAGTGCTGGGATTACAGGTGGGCACTACCGCCCACTTTGTTTACTGAGGATTGAACCAAGATCCTTCACGACCACATCCCCAGCCCTTATTTTTTTTTAGGCTTTAGGATCTGAGTAGCCAGGCTGCCCTTGGACCTGGGTCCTTCTGCCTTGGCCTCACAGTGCTGGGGTTTAGTGCGTGTGCGCCTGGTTTTCCTGCGACCAGGCCCTGCTGTGCCGTCCAGGCTGCACTCTGGCTCCAGAGCCCAGCCTGGCACCAGCACCGGAAGTGGGGGAGTGTCTTCAGCCATTGTGTCGCGGTGGCCTTCGGGGCGCTCTCTGCCTAGTCCCTGCTCCCTGAGGGTCCGGTGCGCGCGAAGATCCGACCAAGCGCCCCGCCCCGTGGGGTCAACGGCGAGGCCACACCGGGCCTTCTGACAACGCTGGCGGAGCCTGGGAAGGGGGCGGGGCTGCCGGCGGAAGTGACGTCGCGAGGGCGGGGCGGGCCCGCACAATGGGCCATGGAGTTCCCTTTCGATGTGGACGCGCTGCTCCCGGAGCGGATCACGGTGCTGGACCAGCACCTTCGGCCTCCGGCCCGCCGACCCGGAACCACAACGCCAGCCCGGTGACATCTCGATCCCGCCCCGTGGCCCTTCCCCAGTTCCTCGCCAAACCCGGGCCGGGCACCACGCCCCCTTCTTTCTGGCGGCCACTCCTTTTGATTCTGGCCTGGCCCAGCGACCCTAAACCTGGTGGCATTGCTCAGTGCTTGGATATGTGACTTCTCACCCCTTAGCCCGATGCGGTCTCAACCACAGGCCACAGCTGACTTGCGACCCCCAACCCCTGCTCCCCTTAATAACCTCAAGGGTGGAAGGAGTGGCCCGCTTGGTGAGGTGTGACAAGTCTGGGTTCCAAAACGGCGCTGTGGGACATCGGGTTGGAAAACACCCAGGCAAAGTCAGGAAGGCCGGAAGCTCGAACGTGGCTGGAGTTGTGGCCCTGGCTTCTGGGATCCTCCCCTTTGGCGAGGATCTGACTGTCTCTTCTCTCCACAGCGTTGATCTGCAGCAGCAAATTATGACCATTGTTGATGAACTGGGCAAGGCTTCTGCTAAGGTACCGGGAGTCCAGATGGAGTGAGAGGGCAGTTGTGCAGAGTTTTGGGTAAGGGAAGCCTGGGTCCTTTGGAAAGGGTTTGGGGAAAGTCTGCCTCTTCATCTTCTCCACAGGCCCAGCATCTTCCTGCTCCAATCACCAGTGCATCCAGGATGCAGAGTAACCGCCATGTGATCTATGTGCTCAAAGACACTTCCGCCCGACCGTGAGTGCCAGAGACATCTCTGACCCATTTTTAACTCCTTGCTCCCTCCACCCTGTCCCCTTCTCTGACCCCACTTCCTCCAGACAGCTGCCACTGGCTTGTTCATTGTTGTCCTCATCCTACAGGGCTGGGAAAGGCGCTATTGTTGGTTTCCTCAAAGTTGGATACAAGAAACTCTTTGTACTGGTGAGTGTTACTGGAAGCTGGTGCACTGAATGCCTTGGTTCCACAGCACATGTGCGCTGGAGATTGAGAGGTGACAGAGATGCCTGGATCTCTGAAGATATTTGTTGTTCTTTATCCCTTAGGATGACCGTGAGGCTCACAATGAGGTAGAACCGCTGTGTATCCTGGACTTCTACATACACGAGTCGCTGCAGCGCCATGGCCATGGGCGAGAACTCTTCCAGTACATGCTGCAGGTACTCCTGGCTGTCTCAATTCATCCAAAACAAAGATCCTTCACCCTGAGCCGCGCCCCCACCCCACAGCCTTCCCATGGCCCCCTCCTCTCCTTCCCAGGCTCCCGACCTTCTGTTGGCATGCTCTCCCCAGATCACCTCCTACCCCGGCTCTCCTGTTCCCTGCAGAAGGAACGGGTTGAACCACACCAGCTGGCCATTGACCGGCCCTCACAGAAGCTGCTGAAGTTCTTGAATAAGCACTACAACCTGGAGACCACAGTCCCACAGGTCAGAAGCAGGGAGATCCCCATGGGGGAAACAAAGGTGCTTCCCAAGAGCGCCTTATTCCCTGGAGTGCAGCTGAGCCATTTCTTTTTCTCATGGTGCCATTGCTAGTGTGCAGCCCTTTCACTATCATGGGTTTTTCCTTACATCTCATTTCCACCCCCAGCACGACTCCTTGATTTAACACTTCCCATTACCCAGTTGGCCATCTTCACTGAAGGTTTATGATCCTATATAGTCCCTGTCCTCAAGGAGCTTTGATTAGCATGGAGAAGGTGATCTCATTTGTAAGTACAGTGATGTGTTATTAATGCCATACGTCCATTCAGCTGATACTTAGTGAGCACCTGACATGGTTGTTGTGGACGCTGAGAATACTTTACTCAGTGAAAGTCAAAAGTTGCCCCTTGCAGGCCTTGTATTCTAGCTAGGGGAGGAGGGATATAGACAATATGCTATATGCTATGGTCCATGGTAAGAGCCCTAGAAAATGAAAGCAAGTAAGAAGGTGTGGGAGTGCTGAGCTGGGGAGATGAGAGGGCGGGTTGCAGTTGAAATGGGCTCTCTTAAAATGTATTGTTGCTCCAGTTTATGGAAAGTAAATGCCTTGGCTGGTGTGTAGCTCAGTGGCAGAGCACTTGGCTGGAGTCGATGAGGCCTGCGTTTAATTCTCAGCACCAAAAGAGAGGACAGCATCCAGACAGAAAGAGGCCACTGCAAAGGTGGCCAGGTGGTGGGCCCAGCTAAAGAGCAGTGTGAGGGAGGGTGAGCTGAGCTGAGAGCTTGGAGGGAATCAAAGAAGGGAGGAGCAGACTTGGGGCCTGACGTCTTCCTGTTGAGACGTCTTCCTGTGGTGTTGCCTCTGAGTGACAAATGAGCACTTTGGCTGTGATCTTGTTACCTGTAGTAAGACATCGTGGCTTGGGAGTGTAGAACATGCAGCAGGAGAAGCAGGGAGACAGTGGCGTTCCCCGGGGAAATGATTTCGCAGAGAGATCTGAGTGTCTACAGGTTATTGAAGCAGCAACACAGGATGCTCAGAGTGAAGACTACGATACAGTCTAAGGACTCTTGGGGACTTTTTAAAAAAAAATTTTTTTATCGGTACCAGGGATTGAACTCACGATTGCCTGCTTGCAAGGCACGTGCTTATGCCGCTGAGTTAAATCCCCAGCCCCGCCTTGGGGACTTTTTAATGAAGATGGGGAAGGAATGACCAGAAGGCAGGATCAGCAAAAACCACAAGGAGATGCTGAGGAAGGAATCTGGGTCAGACACTACTGCTTAGAAAGTTAATTACAGGCATACTGGCAAGTTTGAGGCCAGCCTGGGCTGCACAGTAGGATACTGTCTTGGAAACAAACAAAACAAAACAAACAGGAAAAAAAAAAAAAAAAAAGAATGTATACAGAGAAACTTTGATGCTGTGAGGCTAGGCATGGTGGCATATGTCTGTCATCCCAGTACGTGGGAGGCTTAGGCAGCAGGATTCCCTTGAGTTTGGGGCCAGCTTGAGCTGCATAGCAAAACTGTGTCAAAAACCCAAGAGCACTCGGAAGCTAAGCAGGGTCGGGCCTGGTTAGTACTTGGATGGGAGACCTCCTGGGAATACCGGGTGCTGTAGGCTAAAAAAAAAAAAAACACCCAAGAGCAGCAGGTGCCTCATTTGCCCTTGTCCAGCTTCAGTCAAGCACGGATCTGCTGGGATTTGGACTTCTAATCTTGGCTGTTTCCTGGAGGTAGTATCGTACTGTATGGGGCCTTGATGCCCCACACTTAGCGCAATGTTCTGAGAGTGTATCCATGCTGCAGCATATAGCAGCACTCTGTTCCTTTTTATGACTGAATACTACTTCAGATTTTTTTTTTTTTTTTTTTGTCTTTTTGAGACAGGGTCTCACTATGCAGTCCAGGCTGGCCTTGAACTCACTTTGCAGTCCAGGCTGCTCTTGAACTCACAATGATCCTCTTGCCTCGGCCTCCCGAGTGCTAGGGTTATGGGCGTGCACCCTCATGCCTGGCTCTGACCAGTACTCTGTTAGGTGGACCTTTTATCAGTTTATTGGCTGATGGATGCCTGATTGTTTGCACTTGTTAGCTGTTACACTAAGTCAGTTAACGTTCACGTATAAGGTTGTGGTGAGACATTTTGTTCAGGCTTCTTGAGGACACAGTACGAGTGGGACTGCTGGGTACAGTGGCGATGGTTTAGCTTTTCACAGAACTGATGAGCCAGTTGTCTGCTCTACAGTAGCTGTGCCCGTTCCCTCACAGCCCGCAGCTCCCCATCTTCCTGCCATCGCTGGCGAACTACGCCCCGTTTAGGCAGTGGCCTTTTCATGGCTGAGGTGGTAGCTTTTATAGTGTTGACTTACATTCTCTGATGACTAATGATACTGAACATTTTTAGCAACTTTTAATCTGCTGATCAGCCATTTGTATATCCTCTTTGGATCTTGTTTATAGACATATTTGTGTTTTGCCCATTTTTAAGTTGTGCTATCCATATTTAAATTGTAACAGTGAATTACATACATGCACACACATATATATTACTACTATAGCTATAACACCCTTATTAGTATACAGTTTATGAACATTTTATTCTATGGGGTTCTGTTTTGCTTTTTTGGTATTAGCAGCTGGACCCAGAGCCTTTGCCCCGAGTCACAGCCCCATCCAGAACTCGTGGTCTTCCTGCCACAGCCTTCCGTGGGCCTTTTCCTCTCTCAGTCTTGAGACAGGGTCTTGCTAAATTGCCCAGGCTGGCCTTGGACTGCAGTCCTTCCCCCTGGACCTCCCTAATAGCTGTGTGACTTTTCCCTACTAATGTGTTTGAAGCATAAAAGTTCTTTTAATTTTGATGAAATTCAATGTATCTCTTTTTTTTCTATTACTTTGCTTTTGGTGTCATTTAAGAAACTGTTGCTTGGGACAGAAGATGTAGTCAAGGGTAGTGTGTACCAAGCATGTGCAAGGCCCTGTTTCATCTCCAGTACTGGGAAAAAAGAAACTAGCTGGGTGTGGCTGGTGTACACCTATAATCCTAGTACTCAGGAGGCTGAGGCAGGAGAATGAGTTCATCTCGGAAAAGACAGAAAAGGGAACCACTGCCTATGTAAGGCCACAGAGATCTTCCCAACTCCTAAAAGTCTCACAGTTTGAGATTTTACATTAAGGTTTTGATCCTTCTGAGCACTGGTCTGTGGCTTGAGGTGAAGGTTCACATTGGTGTCTTGTGTGGGGCCCCAGGAGGGCTGTGCTTTGGGCGCTCCTGGGGAGATCGTGGTGCAGGCGGAGTTTGCTCCTGAGCTGCTGACTCTGCTGACCGCTGCCTCTGTCCCTGTGCCGCCTGTGCCACTTCACACTGCCGCGCAGTGGTCCCAGAGCTCAGTCTTTCCTGGTTTCTGAGAGGTAAGTTTTGAGATCAGGGGCTGCGATTCCTCCAGTTTTATCCTTTTTCAAGATCGTTTGGCTCTTTGAGGTCCCTGGCAATTGCCCCTCAATTTGAGGAGCGTCTTGTTGGGGACTGGTTTTGAGCAGCCTGTCTCGGGGCTCTCTCCCTCCCCATAATTAGCGGACCAGTGGTCAACACTGTCCCCTGTGCTGCTGCTTCCAGGTGAACAACTTTGTGATCTTTGAAGGCTTCTTCGCGCATCAGCACCGTAAGTCCCTGCGGCCCTGCAGCTGGGGTGAGGGACACACAGGGCTGGCGCCCCAGACCCCCACTTAGGGGCACCCGCTTCCTTTCTCACAGGGCCCCCTGCTCCCTCCCTGAGGGCCTCACGACTCTCCCGCACCACCGCCGCGGAGCCCACACCCACTGGTAACCCTGGCCCGGGTGGGCGGGAAGGCAGTGGTCCGGGGCAGCACCTGCAGCCGGCCTGGCCTGTGCCCTCTGCCTTGTCCTCTCTCGGGAGCTCAGTGCGGTCTAGACTTACCCCAGTGTTGGTGCCAGGGATTGAACCCGGCCCCTCACGAATACTAAGCACAAGCTCTGAGCAGTACTTTCCAAGCTTGCAGGCAGCTGACAGCAGCAAGTCCCTGCTCCAAGGTCAGATCCATGTGGAGGCCAAAGCCCCCATGCAGATTGCCAGGGAAGGTGTAGACTGCCTCGGCCTCCAGCCCAGAGTCAGGTTCTAGGTCTAGAAGAAATATCCCATGTTTCTGGTGCATTAGGGCAGCAAACAGTTTGCAGAAGCCCAGCCCCTAGTGCCCCGGCTCAGCAGGGGAAGGAGCTCCCCCACAGCACAGCAGCCAGCCCTGGCTCCTCTGCCACCCGCCAACTGTGGGCACTTGGCCATGAGGATGGGGACCCAGGGCCACATACGACACCACGCACAGCAGAGCCCCACCAGGGCACGGGGAACAGAGTATGGTCAGGCCTCGGCCCAGACACCCGCATTTTCTCCTCCAAAGACGCCCTAACGCCACCATGCTGTCTGTACGCTGGCACAGAAACAGAGGTCCAACCCTCCCACCCCCAGAGCAGCTCCCTGGCACCCGAGGCTTGGGCCTGACTCATTTGGGTGCACGCTCCAACCCGCACCAGTGCCGGCGCCACCTCGGCTCCCTCAGGACAGTAAGAGCTACTCCTGCCCCATCTGCCCCATCTTTCTCCCTGAGGCAAGACCTGACCCCTACCTGTCCCCAGCGTGCTCCTGGGACCCAGGTCCCCTTGAGGAGCCATGTGTCAGGGAGCAGAGTCAGGGTAGCAGCAAGGAGGGGCATAAAGTTCGCCACCTGATGCCTCCCACCTGTGTCCCCTGCCACCAGCGCCAGCACGGAAGCTGCCACCCAAGAGGGCCGAGGGCGACATCAAGCCATACTCCTCCAGTGACCGCGAATGTAAGCGGCAGGGTGGTGGGCAGGGGGCAGGGGGCAAGGCTGGGGACCCCGAGGATATTGCTGTGCCACTGTGACACATTCCTTCTTCCTGTTTTGCTATTCCCCTCCTGTTCCCCAGTTCTGAAGGTGGCTGTGGAGCCCCCATGGCCCCTAAACAGGGCCCCACGCCGCGCCACCCCCACAGCGCACCCACCACCGCGCTCCAGCAGCCTAGGGAGCTCACCAGAGCGGGGCCCTCTGCGCCCCTTTGTGCCCGAGCAGGAGCTATTGCGCTCTCTGCGCCTCTGCCCCCCACACCCGACTGCCCGCCTGCTGCTGGCCACCGACCCCGGGGGCAGCCCCGCACAACGCCGCAGGACCAGGTAACGGGCAGGACTGTCCAGGGGCGCAGGGCTGGGGGCCGCCTGTCATCCTGGTCTTCTACAGAGTGGAGCGCAACCTGGGCAGCTTGACAGGATCCTGCCTGAAAATTCTAGAATAATTTCTTACAAAGGCTGGGGGCGTGCAGCTCAGTGCAAAGGCGAATTCAGCCCTCATTACCCATTCTCCTAAAAGGGTTAGAAGTGGCAAAGAGTAATTTGAATTTGTCAGAGATGTGGAACAGTAACAGAGACGGTCTCAAAGCCTTTCAAGAGAAGTACACTGACATGTATTTGTGGAAGTGGTTTGGTAGAGACAAGAGCAGGACAGGGCTTTATTTTTTATTTTATTTATTTATTTGTTTATTTTTGGTACAAGGACAAGGCTTTAAATGTGGCTTAGTTCCCTCCCTGGGTGAGAACTGCATGTAAGGCAGGAAAGAGCTTGCAGTGCTGGCAGGAGGGGAAACCTCAGTTTGACACTTGATGGGGACCCACAGTGCTCCTGCAGGTGGGTCTCAGGGCCCCAGAATCTTGCCTCCTGGGCCAGGACCCCATCCCCGCAGGCAGCAGGTAGGCACCTTCTTTGTTTCTCACCTGGCTTCCTCTTCAGCTCTGACTCCTGTTTTTCTCTCTGCCCCATGTTTCCTCTCCCTTCTTCCTGTCTGTAACATCCTCAGCTCCCTTCCCCGCTCTGAAGAAAGCCGATACTGAGGCCACCCTGAAGCCCCAAGCGCTCAGACCCTGCCCCCTTGCATCTTCCAAGCCTAGTGGAACCCATGGGCGCCGGTGGGGGTTCCTCTGCCCTTTGGGGGTAGCTGTGTTGTGGTCCATTGGGCCTGATCCTGCTGCCTCCCCCGCACCTTGGCTCAGATATGTTGCTGCGCCTGTGCCGGCCCTGTACTCAGCCGGTGGGAGCAGCCCAGGCATGCTCACCCTCAGCCTAGCCATCAGAGGGTGCAGCCTCCTTGTGGGGACCCATTCTGAGTCCTGTCTTGGGGTCCTGTTCTCTGCTGCCGATACCTGGATAGGGATTCAGTAGCTCCCCATGGGATCCACTCCGTGTGACCACACTCTTAGTCCTCTCTGTGGTGTGCATCAAGGAGCCCCACACTTCACTCCCGTGGCTCTGGGGTCTCTGGGGAGATCCACTGACGTCACCACTTCTGCCTTCTCCAGACTCTAAAGGAGTCTGGGTTCCAGCAGTGGAGCCCAGCAAATACTTGGGTCACTCAGCCATGTCTCCAGGTGTCTTCTGTTGGATCCCAGGCGCCCTGGCACCTGTCCCTCCTTGGTGGCTGTGTGCATCCTGTCTGGTGAGCTGTGGGAGTGGGGCAGGGAGCAAGCTCGCCCTGCTGTGCCCTCTGTTCCTCCACGGCTGGAGCCACCCAGTGCCAGCCCAGGCGCCCCACACCCAGTGTCCTTGGGAGCGGGCTCTCCCTCTGTCCCCACCTGTGCCTCCCTTTCCTCCTTCCTCTCAATGTTGTCCAAATAAAGTGAACTTTTCTGTGTTTTCTAAATTGACATTTTCAGTGAACAAAAGAACCACAAAAAAACATAAGGTGTCAGTCTCATTTGTGTTACCCGAGTGTGTTGGTCCTTATTTCCTGGGCTTTCACTGTGCCTCACTTCCGAGGCCTGAGATCTTCCTTGCTGGAGCCTCAGGGCCACCCAGGCACTGGTGTCTATGGGGCTCATCCTTATTGTTGGTTCTCTCTCCGCTCTTATTTGGGTTCCCTGCAGGCCCTGCCTGCACTGGGAGCCTCCAGCTCTTCCCCAGCGGCCTTGGGGTGTCACTCACCGGCATCTTGGGGCCTCCCTGCCGTCCCCCCATCCCCAACCTGTGCTCTGGTTTCCTGACATGACACCTGTCTGTCTCTCTTATGCGTTCCTGCGCGCACGCACACACAAGCGCGCGCACGCACACACAGGATGCACCGTCCCCTTTGCGCCCCAGAGGCTGACACTCACTCCTGGGCTGTCTTCTCCAGCATTTGGCCCGTTACTCCTACTTCCCTTTGGTCCACGTAGCTCATACCTAAGCAGCTGATGCTCCATCAAACTCTTGCCCGTATCAGAGGCTGTTTTTATGGCATGATTTTAATCTCACTTAGCTCTATATTTAACACATTGCCCCAGCGAGCAAAAATAAAGCAATACAGGCTGGAAATTTAGTTCAGTGACACAAGAACCTGCCAGAGAAGAGCGAGATGGTGAGTACAACTCCAGGAACAAAAAAAATAAATAAAAGCAATACATTAGGACCATCACAGAGACTCCTGGGGCATAAAGTGACCACCCCTGGCATAACAGTGCCCCTTCCCTTCCGCGCTCTTCTTTTTCCACTGCTGGCTCAGAGTGCCCCTCTCCATCTCTCTCGCAGGGGGACGCCCCCAGAGCTGCTGGCTCAAAGCCGCTGCTACAGCCGCCACAGGGGTCCGACCCCCTCTGCCCCCGGCGCGAATGAGCACCGCCCCTCCTCGCCCACCACGGGCTCCAGCCGCCCACGCGATGTCGCGGTCTCCGAAGACCAACAGGAATCGGGTCAGGGAACGCGAGAAACCGAGAGCGGGTGAGGCTCGGTCCCTGCCCCACTCACTGGGTCTTCTGCATCCCGACTCCTCGCGCCCACAGCCCCCCACGGCCACGGCACTCTGCCGGCCTGGGGGGTTTAGGGCCGATGGCTCCGGCCTGAGTCCTCTACATTCGAACTGGCCCCCGAACTCCAGTTCCTGCTTCGGCGGCCACGGAGCCCACTTTTCGACTCTCGCTCACCAGGTGCGCCCGCGGGGAGCCGACGTCAGCTCCCCCGGCCCAGCGCTGCACAGCGCGGGGGGACGCGCTCGACGCAAGGTTTGTCCGGAGCTTGCAGGAGCGCCGCAGCACCAGGCCTTGGTGACCGCACCCACCACCCTGCACGCTCGGTGTCGCTGCTCCCTCACTGCGGGGCGTCGCACCCGCGACAACGGGTCCATTCATTCCTTGCAGCAGGAAGTCATTTATACATTTTTTTCTTTTTAAACAGAGCAATAAAAGTATTTATTTTTATCTCGAGAACTACAGAAAAACCTGGCCGTTATTTCACTCTAACACGCCCCTCCTTTCCCCGTGGGCTGCGCCGCTTTTGCACTAACGCCGCAGGTGCGCTACCTAGCCGCGCCGCTAGCCGACTGCGCAGGCGCCTTGAGGTGGCTCCGGCGGGCAGGCGCAGGCGCACTCGCTGCGGACCGAGCGCCTCAGCCACTTCCCTGAAGGCCGCAGTGCGCAAGCGCGCAACATCTCCGCTTTTCCCTCAGCCCCTTCCCCCCCTTCGCTCCTTTCCCCTTCACGAAGCCGGCTCTGGGGCGCTCTCGCCCTGTAAGGAGGCCGGAGGCCAGACTCGGGTGGCGCCCTCCACTCCCACAAGACCATGTACCACCCCAGCCGGGGGGCGGCCCGGCGTCTCGGGCCTTGCCTCCGCGCGTACCAGGCGCGACCCCAGGTGAGCGCGGCGCAGGGGGCGGGGAGACCCTCCTCAGGGCCGGCGCGCGGGGCGGGGCGGGGCGCGCTGGGCGCAGGCGCAGTGGCGCCCGCGCGCCCTCCCACTTGCGCGCTGCGGCGTGTGGCGCGGGCCGGGGTCGGCGGCAGGCTGCGGGCGGCTGGCGGCGGAGGCGGGAGCTTCGCGGCTTGAGGTCCCCGCCCGGCCTGTAGTCCGGGCAGCAGGCGCGTCCGCGAAGCGTCGCGGTTACCTGTGTCTGGAGGTGACTTGAAGGGCAGGGCGGAGCGGCGGAGGCCGGTCCGGCGCGCTCGCTGGTTCCCGCCTCGGCCCGGTGCCCGCGCCCGAGGACACGCGTGCGGGGCAGACGTGGCCCCGTCCTCTGGCGACCTCGTTCCTCGCAGGCCTTCGCAGCCTGCTGGGCCCAGGGCGATGACGGCTTTGGACTGCGCACCGCTGGCGTCGCCAGGTTGGGTCTGCAGCCCTTAGCTCGGCCTCTGGGCTACGGGGAGCGGGGGAGCAGGCTCGGAGTGAGGGCGACCGTGAACCCCGCTGCTCGCTGAACGCAGGGCTGGAAGCCGAGATGTCTTGGGGCTTGGCGATGCTTGGGGGCGCTGCCCCAGCTGCACCCGCTTCACATGGAGCTCTGTCCTCCCGGTCAGCTACGGGGACGGATCCGCCCTCCCTCGGGTCACTCCTTCTCCAGGGTTAGGCGTAGCGATAGGGCGCGGCTAATAGCGCAGAGCCTGGGTGGAGATCGCGCGTGGGACACCTGGCTTCTCACTGTCTCCTTTCTCGTCTGCCTCCTTAGGACCAGCTCTCCCCGCGGACCCTCCCGCTCCTAGCCCTTTGGCCCCACTCCGCAGCAACTACTTCCCCACCGCGTCCTCGGCTCAGGCCCCCCGCCCCGCGCTGCGCCCCCGTCCGCTGCCCTCCCGCTAGGCCGCTTCCCCCAGCTGCCCCGCTGCCTCTGCCCCAGCTCCAGGTGCTCGCCTCACCCTGGCTGGTTATCCCGCCGGGCAGCGGGGAGGAGGGTCCGGGGCCCGAGCTGCACAGCGGCTGCCTGGATGGGCTCAGGAGCCTTTTTGAGGGACCCCCCTGCCCCCGCCCCGGAGCCTTGATACCTTTCCAAGCCCGCGGGGCCGCGCACCCTTGCCCCGCCGCGCCGTCGGGAGACCCTGGCATGGAGGAGCATCTGGCGCTCATGCACGAGAGGCTGAGGCAGGAGGTGAGGCCCCGGGAGCGCGCGGCGGGCGCGAGCGTTTTCCTGAGGAAAGGGGTGCGCCTTGGGGTTTAAACGGAGGGGGAGGCGGAAGGTGGGCTGAAGCAGCCTACCCCCCAGAGGGGTACAGGGGGCCCGGGCCAGCGGGAGAGCCGGGAGCTGCGCCGCCTTTGCTTTCCCGGAGTTGATGTTGGCTTTTTCTGTCCAGCTTCCCACCCTCTTCCTGCACTCTCACGACTACTCTCTGTACTCCTTGGACGTGGAATTCATCAACGAGATCCTCAATATCCGCACCAAGTGAGATGGGCTCGCCAGGGCACACCCTTTCGGTTTCCCTGCTCCTCAGACAGGAGCCTGTGGTTTTCCTACTCTGTCCTTCGTAGGGGCCGGACGTGGTACATTCTGTCGTTGACCCTCTGCCGCTTCCTGGCCTGGAACTACTTTGCACAGCTGCGGCTGGAGGTTCTGCAGCTGACTCGCCACCCAGAGAACTGGACACTGCAGGCCCGGTGGCGGCTGGTAGGACTGCCCATCCATACACTGCTCCTGCGTTTCTACAAGCGGGACAAAGAGGAGCTGTACCGGTGAGTGGGGGTGGGGGGGCAGGGTCTTGCAGAGCAGAAACCAGTGACCAGTGCACTGTAGCCTTCCCCAGGCCTGACTCAGCCCTGAGGCACGAGGACAGGGTCTTGTCTGGGTTCAGAGTGTAACCTGGGCACGGGAGCGCTGGACTGTGTCTCCGTGCACCTGTGGCTGTAGAGGGTGGATGCTCAGACACTGAACAAATCACAGGTGCTTCACCCCAAGTTGAGCTCTGTTGCTGTAGATTAGGCACTGGTGGCGTCTGACTCAAGACACTGCTAATTTTTGCTTCTGACAAGGTATGCAGGCTTTTAAACCTCTGGTCCCCAGAGTGTCACTGTGGAATCTCCTGCAGATGTTTAAACTGCAGGGGCTGGACCCTGTTCTGGTTGCTCGGAGTGTCACTCTAGCAGGGACTCTTCGCGAGCCCCTGAGACACAAACACTGGGAACTCCTCCTTGAAACAGATAAGCTTTGGGCAAGCTTTTCACTTCCTTCCCCAGGACCTACGATGCCTATTCCACCTTCTATCTGAATCCCGAGGGCCTCATTTGTCGCCATCACCTGGACAAGGTGAGTCTCGGCCAGGTGGGGAGGCAGTGGCCAGGAGCAGGACAGGCATGCCCACCCACGGCGGCCTCTCCTCTTCACTCCTCCCCTGTCCCTGAAGCTGATGCCCTCGCCCTCGCCAAGCGCACCTGTGAAAAAGCTGCTGGTTGGAGCCCTGGCGGTGCTCGGGCTATCGGAGCCAGAACCCAGCCTGCACGCGTGCCCCAAGGCCTGAGCTGGCCCGCAAGTACTGTGAGCTGGACCCTGCTGCAGTGCTCTGTTGCAGTGCTCTCTGGGTCCTGAAGATTCCATACAGTGTTCCAAAAATACTTCTATTTAATAGATATTAAAGTAATTACAAAAGAACACAGGAGCTGCTATTGGCTTCCATTCCATTCTTTACCCCAGCTCTTCCCGTGTCTTGCCTATTTTTTTGGGCATTTTCTTAGCATTGGGGTCTTCTAGCTCCTTGGCCTTGTAATAGTGGGGAGCCACTTCCAGAAGCCAGCTGCTCTCAATCTCCAGCACCTACGAGAGGGGTTAGCAAGGTTCCCAGCCTGCCACCGCAGCAAGGACTAAGGTGGGATGGAGCAGGGGCTTTCATGACTTGGGCTGAGTTGGGGTGGCTGAAGCAGACGTCCCCCCACCAGCAACTCCTATGCTTTAAACACAGAGACGTAGTGCGGCAACCCCTGGCTGTGAGCCCGCAGAGGATGAGGCCCGGCCTCCCTGGGAGGCAAGGTGGGCACATGTGCAGTGTTGCCCTCTGAGCTGACCTTGATCAGGCTGGCTGCTGTCCCTTACCTGGCGCATGAACTCCTTTGTGGTCAGCACTAATTCGTGGTAGAGCAGCCAGCGCGGCTGCTGCTCAAAGAGGGAAGAGTTGGGGTGGATGAACACTGTCTGCTGCTGCTTGACCGTACGGTAGCCACTGCGTGTGAGCCGAGCCGTGTGGTAGAAGTAGCCAGCAGTGATGGCCTGGGGACAGGCAGGAGAAGCTGGGGAAGCGGCCCCAGGGCCTGAGCCCTTGCGGGGTGGGGCAGCGCCTGAGAGCTTTGGGGAGGCCCAGTAGGCCAACTCAGGGCTCACCTTGCGCACACGCACATAGTCCCCCTGGCAGGAGCTGAGCCCCACTTCCACACGCTCCAGGAGCCCCTCCAGCTGCTCACGCACGTCCCGGGCCCGGCGCATGGAGCGGAACTGCACGAAGTTCTCGTAGCACCACTGTGAGGAGTAGCCGCTCTCGGCCCACTACGGGAGGCAGTGTGAGCCTGAGCATGCATGGGACACGGGGACCCTCGGTCCCCCAAGGGCCACATCCCCACCTGTCACACCCACTGACCTGCGTGTATACATTCAGTAGGACCAAGTGGTCTCCGCCAGGCAGGAAGAAGTTGACCCGGGCGTTGTCAGCGTGGACGACTTTGTCCTTGGGCCGGTAGAAGATGGAGTTGTTGACGGACAGCATGGCAGCCACGGTCAGGATCTCCTCCGAACAGCTGTACCTGGGGGAGTGCGTGACGTGGGCCCGAGCAGATGGTGTGGGGACAGTGGGGTCCAGACTGCCCATCACACAGGAGGCCGGGGCAGGGTCAATGCCTGTGCCCAAGAACCGCTGTGCCCAGGAGCGGCAGCCCTAGCTCCTGCGCAGGTTGTCCTCCAAAACCCCTGAAGTGAGTTCCAGCATAGCCCCCTACCACACCCTACACCACACAGTCCTCCCTGGCCAGGCAGGTTGGGTGTGCCATCGGGCCCCCACAAGAGGCGATGCTCAGCTTGTCTTCTTTTGGAGGACTGTGGTTTGGGCCCGGCCCCTTACCCTTGGGCTGCACCTATAGCCATTATTTATTTTTTTTTTTTGAGACAGTAAATGTTGCCCAGGCTGGCCTTGAATTTGCAATCTTCTTGTATCAGCCTACCAAGCAGCTGAGTTTCAGGTGCATACCTGACAACAGTTCTTTTGTAGATCTGGGATGGAGCCCAGGGCCTTTGTACCAGTTGCATCCCCAACCTCCTTTGTTCTGTTTTTATTAATTCATTGGTCTCACTGCTGGGCAGCTTGACCCACCAGCGGTACACATGACTGTCTTACTGGGTGCTTTTTTATGTATGCTATTAGCAAAAAGAATGAAAGTGGCCCATGCAGGTGGGTACACATTACTGACTTAAGGACATCAGGAAGCCTGCCCAGTTCACATACAAGGCCCAAGGGGAGGCAGGGCTTACTTTTCTGAGGCCAGGATCATTTTAGACAGCATGGGGTCCACTGGCAACTCTGCCATCTTCCGCCCGGACTGAGGAGAGGAGATTGGTGAGGCCAGTTCTCCCCACCCCCGCCCCCACCCTGGGTTCCAGCCCAGTGCCCACCGTGGTCAGCTCCCCAAGGTGGTTGAGGGCTCCCAGGGCATACAGCTGCTCCAGAGCCAGCAGCAGGGTCTCGTAGGGCGGGGGGTCCAGGAAGTCAAAGTGCATTAGATCATGGATCCCTGGGGGGCGGGAGCGACAGGTGAGCCTTCGAAGGACCAGTAGGCCAGTGAGGCCAGCCGCCAGAGGCCCAGCCCCACTCACCTAAGCTTTTGAGCAGCAGCACGACGTTGCCCAGGCTGGTCCTCTGGATCTCCGGCACTGTGGTCTCCTCCAGCTCGTGCTGGTAGGCCCAGGCCGTGTACAGGCGGAAGCACTTCCCTGCGGCCACGCGGCCCGCCCGGCCAGCCCGCTGGTTGGCAGAGGCCTGGAGAGAAAGATGTAGCTGGCTGAGGCCGGGTCAGCATGGGGACGAGGGACAAGTAGCCTCTGCGTGGGGACCCTGTGGGCCCCCGCCCACCCATGGTCCCAGGCTCGCCTTGCTGCAGGGCGTGACCGTGAGTGACTCCATGCCTGTGCGTGGGTTGTAGCTCTTCTGCTTGCAGAACCCCGGGTCCAGCACGTAAATGATGCCCTCGATGGTGAGTGATGTCTCTGCGATGTTTGTTGCCACAACCACCTGAGGGAGAGGCTTCAGGGTCACCCAGACACCCCCCCCCCCCCTCCGCCAAACAACCTGGAAGGCAGGCGGCTCTGGCTAGAGCTGACGAGGTTAGGAGAGGGGGCTGGTGAGACATGGGGGTGACAGTGTGCTAGGGTGCCCAGAGGGACGGCAGCAGAGTGTCCATGTTCCTGCTCCCCTCCCCATCACCACACTTTCCTATACATCTCCAGGCCTCCCTTCTGTCACAGCCTCCTGACCAGCGTCCCCCATTCTGCTCCTGGCCCTCATCACATGGGCCCTGCAAAGTAGAGCTGTCACATCCCCCTACCTCGGGGCTCCCCATAGCTCCTTGGGAGTCCTCGCCCTGCAGGGTGGCCTGGGCTTCCTGCTAAGCTCCTGCCCAGCCGCTTGCTCTCCTTCCCCAAAGGCCTGGCCTCCTCTGATACCCTGAGAACAGCGTCCTGCCCCTGCCTCTCCCACCTGTCCCCAGCTGGTCATAGCCCACACAGGGACGCCCAGTCCTAGGCACCGGAAGGACACCCTATTCTCTGCAGGCGAATGCAGGACCCAGCATGCACACCCAACACAGGTCTGACCCTTCTGTGATGTCAGGGCCTTGAGCCAGCAGTGCGCCTTGCACGCCTCCACCTGGCACTCGCCCCGACTCTGCATCCCTGGCCCCCTCTGAACTGCACAGTGCTGACCTCCTGGCTCACACAGAGCTTCTTCCCAGTCACCACTCGGTGCTTGGCAGGTGGTGGCCTGGCTGCCCCGTGTGTGTGTGTGTGTGTGTGTGTGTGTGTGTGTGTGTGTGTGTGTGTGCATGCGCGCACACGGCTTCGGCAGGCACCTACCCACAGAAACCCTGGGGCAAGCGGCACAGCCTCCAACTCACCTTTCGGGCCCCAGGTGGCGTGGGCTGGAAGATGCGGGCCTGCATGTCCGAGGGCAGGTTGGCATAGATGGGCAGCACCAGGAGCTCACGGATCTTGGAGCCCAGGCGACGGCAGCGGTCCTGGAGCATCTCACAGGCAGCCTCGATCTCCTCCTGGGTTGGGGCCGGAGACGGCAGAGGCCCAGGTCACAGAGGTTGCAGGCGGGCACCGTGTCCCTAGGACTCTCTCCACCCGTTGCCCACACACCACACACCTGCCCAGTGAGGAACACTAGGATGTCCCCGGGGGGCTGAGTCACATGGATCTGCAGCACCGACACCACGCAGGCCTCCAGGTAGTCAGCTTCAGGGGCCTGGGGCAGTAAGAGATAGGTGACAAGGGCCATCTGTCTGGACATTTCTCCACCACTGCCCCCAGGCCCCCTTCCAGTCTGCTCTTCAGGGTATGCTCCAAAGGCCCCACTTCCTGGGGGCAGACGAGCCCTGCGCTCTGAAGGGCACCTTGGTGTAGAAGATGTCCACAGGGAACCGGCGGCCGGGAATTCGGAAGACCGGAGCGTCGTCAAAGAAGGTGGAGAAGCGAGCAGTGTCCAGCGTGGCTGATGCCACCAGCACCTTGAGCTCAGGCCGGAAACGAGCGACGTCCTTTATCAGCCCAAAGAGGATGTCTGTGTGCAGTGTCCGCTCGTGGGCCTCATCCACCATCACTACGCTGCAGAGGCGGGAGCAGCAATGGCAGTGAGGAAGGTGCAGTGCCACAGGCTGGACGCCAGACCCAGTGGAGAGCAGGCAGGGAGCGGCTCTGAGGAGAAGCCTGGCATTCCCAAGGCCGGGACCCAAGCAGAGGCCCTCTGTGCCTACCTAGCCCCGGCGGAGGGGCAGGACACGGGCCAGACGCCAGGGCAGGGTCGGGTTCACCTCTTGGATCACAGTCCAGATCCTGCCTGAAGCTGGAGCCAGTACCAGGTGCTGCAGGCTCCCTGGTACCCGCTCGGATCAGTGCCAGGCCCCTGCCTTTCCTGGCTCCACTCTGGTTTTCTGGGCAGTGACCAAACCCACAGGAGTTCATCCCACCCCAGCCCCATGCATGCAGTGCTGCAGACAGGTCCTCAGGTGCACAAAGAGCAGGGGAACCCACCCCGCAGACCCACTGCTGTGTGCTGTGCTAGGTCTCAGAGACTCGAGCAAGACATAATCACATCTGCCACGGGAGTCCACTGTGGCCTTCTAGGACCAGAAGCTTCTGGTTCACAGCTTCTCAAGAGCTGAGACAGGGCGTCCTACTAGCTGGACACACTGGCACAAGCCTATACTCGCAGCACCTGGGAGGGTGAGGTGAGAAGATCGCCAAATCCAAGCCAGTCTGGGCAATTTAATAAGCTCTTGTCTCAAATATTAAACAAGTGTCTAGGGATGAAGCTCTGTTTGAAGGCCTGGCTTCACTTCATAGTACTGGGAGAAAAAAGGGAAACCCCAGCCACCCCTACAGCCCACCCAGGGACCCCGTTCTGCCTTGGCTCAGCAGACCCTGCTTGGCCATGCCGAGAGCCAGCCAATCATAGGCAGAACCCAAGGCTCGGCAGAGAACACTGCCGCCTCCAGACCCCCGCACCCTGAGGAGCATGCAGGTCCTGGCCACGAGCCTGTCATCCCCATGGCCGTGAAGGTGCTCTCTGGGACCATGCAGAGCAGAGCGCACTGCCCCTGTGCCCTGTGGGAAGCAGCTGTGCCTGAGACTCTCCTGTGCTGGCTCAAGGCACATAGGGCCTGGCCGGCTGCCACCCTGGCTTTCTGAATTCTGGAAGACAGGTGGGGAGCCGAGGATAGAAGGCTCCCTTTTCCCCTCAGGGACCAGAGGCTGCTTCTGAGTGACACAGACTGAGAGACTGAAGCCATGGTTGGACAGCAGGGGCCGGGGCCACACACCTGTAGCTGGCCAGGTCTGGCTCGGACAGGAACTCACGCAGCAGCATCCCGTCTGTCATGTAGCGCAGCACCGTGCGCTCTGACGTGCAGTCCTCGAAGCGGATGCTGTAGCCGACCTGCTCTCAGAGCCACAGGTGGATGATTGCAGGCGCTGTCAGAAGATGCCCATACAGTGGGACGGGCCCCGGGTGGTGGGCTAGGTCCCTCCCCATGTCCCCCCACGCACCTCGTTCCCCAGTTTCACACCCATCTCCCGGGCCACTCGGGCAGCCACGCTCATGGCGGCCACTCTTCGTGGCTGTGTGCAGGCGATCTTCATGCCCTTGGCAGTATAGCCCTGAGTGCAAGGATGAAGTAAAGGTCCTCATCAACTGCGCCTGGTGCCCCACCTTGACCAGGGGAAGAAGCTGGAGAAGCTGGGGGGGTGCAGTGGGAACAGATTGCCCAGGCCCAGAAACATGGAGCAGCATCCTGGCCTGCAGGCCACGCTGGACAGAGACGAGAGCAGAGCCAAGCGGCAGAGGTGGCACGCAGGGCACACGTGCCCCATCTGTGTATGCATCTGTCTGGCCTTCATTGTGCAGGGAGGGAGGGCAGACCTGGAAGGGAACTTTTCCTTGGGGGACCTTGCACCCTGAAGGACATAAGCAGGTGACAGCTATAACAGCCTGAGCTTGTAGCCGGGGCTGTGAGCACCATACCTCCTCGAAGAGGTACTGCGGGATCTGTGTGGTCTTCCCCGAGCCCGTCTCGCCCTCGATGATGAGCACCTGGTGGTGTGCGACTGCGGCCAGCAGCTCCTCCCGGAAGGGGAACACGGGCAGGCTGCGGCGCACGGCCTGGATGGACTCCTTCTGCTGCGCCTGCACCGCAGCAGCCGGGGCCACGGGCTCCTGTAGGAGGACGGGGTTGTGAGGCAGGGCCTGGTCGGCCTGTACCCTCCATCCAAAGGGTGGGCGCCCAGCACCTCGTCGCCCTGCAGCTGTGTGGCACACACAAACTCGATGGCCTCCTCCTCCTCCAGCACCAGCTGATACTGTGGCTCCTGCGCGGCAGCATCTCGGGCCCCAAACTTCAGAGCCGCTGCGCCCAGGCGGGCCTCCTCCCAGCGCCGCTGCTCCTCCCCGGGGGCACCGGACTCCTCCTCCACCAGGTCCACGGCACGCGATGGCTGCGGGGAGGGCACCCTGGCCATGGTCACTGCCACTCCCGCCTGCCACCCAGGACACCCCCTGGAGCCATGCCCTCACCTGGCCACGTGTCTCCTTGGGCATGTGGTAGCGGTTGGTGGCCTCCAGCTTCTCCTGTTCCCCGGCTGCCCGGTACTCCCGGGCCAGGTCCCGTACCCGCCGCTTGTACCTGAGCTCCCGGCGCTCATGGCGGCTCAACTCCACGTCACCAAAGAGGTACTCCTCGTCGGCCAGCTCAGCCTCCAGGTCCTCCAGCTTCTCACGCTCCCGCTTTGCCAGGTACTCACGGCGAGACTTCTTTCGCAGCTCAGGGACCTGGGTTGGGAAGTGCTCAGATCCCGGGCCCCTCAGAGAGGCAGCACCTTGAATGCTCCCAGTGTGGGCACCCCGATGGTGTGGGGTAGGGGATGAGCACCCCAGGGTGTCCCGTGGCCCAGTGCACCCTCTCCCACAGGGCCCAGCTGGACACTCCTCAGGACTCATCCAGTAGGGCGATTATTTGACCACTTTGCTCTTCCTACATTTCTCAAATTGGAAGGAAGGGGGAAAACAGAAAGGCTGGCTCTATGTTTCTGGCAGTACCTGGGATTGAACTCACTAAGTTTGCACTAAGCCACACTAAGTCACTTAGTGGCCTGGGTCAGCCCTGAACTTTTGATCCTCCCACCCGAGCCTCCGCAGTGCTGACATTACAGGTGTGTGCCGCTGTGCCCAGCCAATGACTTTTATAAAGGACATGGCCAATAGCCAGGTGTGGCAGCGCGGGGCTGGACTTGCAGAACTCTGGGAGGCTGCAGCAGGGCTGTCAGTCACACTCCCCAGCCTAACACTCACCATGGCTTTCTGGTCCTCCTCTGCCATCTTGAGCCGCTTCTGAGCCTCCTCATAAGCCTGAGGAGGAGACCGAGGGGTAAAACCTGTGTCCCAAGGGTGCCCCCAGTGTTCCCTCTTGGCAAGAGTGGAGTGCTGCCTTCAGCCCTGATGCCTGGGGTCCCCTGCACAGGAGAAGGAGGTCCCCCGAGCAGCACAGGAGAGGTTGGGGAAGCAAAGCCCCGAACCTTCTTATCTGACCGCTCCAGGACATTTCGCGTGCGCTCCTTGTCCCGCTGCCGGACCCGCTCAGCGAAGGCGTCCCGCTCCTCCAGGTCCTGCAGCCGCTCCCGCTCTGTCCGCTCCCACTCATCCTCTGACTCGGGCGCCTTCTCGGTCTGCTGCCTGCTCCCTCTGCAGCCCCGCAGAGACAGGGACAGGGACAGTGACGGGGATGGGGGTGGGTATCACCCAGGCTCAGCCCAACCTGGTCCAGGTCCCGGGACTCACGCTGCCTTGCTCCCGCCCTCGGAAGCCACCTCCTCTTCCTCCTCCTCCTCCTGGCGTTTCTTCCGGAGATGCTTTCGCTTCCTGCGCTTCTTCTGTGGGCTGCTCCCAGCCCTCCCAGCGATCTCCCCGCTGCTGTCCTCACTGTCTTCCAGCAGCCGGTACGACCGGTTCTTCTCCAGCAGGGCCCGGGCCTCTCGCTCTGCTGCCCGGGCTGGCTTTTCTACAGCTGCCTTCCGAGGAACCTGAGCAGCAGGACAGAGGCTGTGACCTCAGCCCCTCAGCCCCACCCACACAAAGGACCTATTGTTCACTGTTGCTCTTGTGACACTGAGGGTTCAATTCAGGGCCCTGGACAAGTGTAGCCAGGGTGAGCTCCTCCTTGGACCAGGACCATGAGATGTGAGACCGGCAACCAGCCCCATCCTCACTCTCATCCTGCCCTCATGCAGCCTGAAGCAGGCCAGGCAGTTGCTAAAGCACTCAGTCATTCATTTAACAAACAGTTGCCAGGTACCATAGATCCAAGGAGCATAAAAGACACACAAAGTCCCGCCTTTGGCCAGGGGGGCAGTGTACATCTGGAAAGAGGACTGCTGGGAGGTCAGGGCGAGTCAGAGCCCATCCCGGCAACAACTTGGTGAGGGATTTAGCTCAACAGTGGAACACCCGGGAAATCTCCAGTAACAAAAACCCAAGTAAGAAGAATGCCGGCCCTGGCAGAGCTCACACCAGTAAATCCAGCTGTCAGCAGTCCAGCCTTCCTCACAGCTCTGTTCTTCCCAAGGGCTGAGCCATTGCTACTCAAAGAACGATGTGCTGCAAGGACTGTCTAGCAGCAAAAGATTTTTGGCAACACTGAGGACCGGACTCTGGGCCTTGGAAAAGCCAAGGCCCTGCTCTACCATCCAGACGCACCTGCAGGCCCTTCTACTTTATTTTCAGACACAATCTTGCTAAGTGGACCATGTTGGTCTCAAATTAGTGCCTCTTCTGCCTCAGCTTCCTGACACGCAGGGATTACAGACATGCACCTAGGGTGATTCTGCAATACGACCATGCCTGTCACATGACACCAGAATCCAAGGTCAACATCCCCACCCCAGTGGCACTTGTGGGATGTTTTGAACCCAGACAAGTGCTCTACCACTGGGTTTCCTCACAGCCCAGGCCCTCACAGCACTTCAGGGCAGCCTTGCTGGGCTGTGTGTGCCCCTGAATGCTGCCCTGCACTCGGCATACTTACCGTGAGGCAGGACACAGGTGGCCAGGCCTGTCCGTCAGGAGCTCACCTTTTGTACTTTTATTCCCTCCCCATTCTCCACCTGAAATCCAGAGACTGCACTTGCTCGGCCTGATCACACTACTCCCAGCTCTTTTGCTCTGCACAGAGCTTCACATACCTCACACCCTTGCTGTTCAGAGCTTACTCCCTGTGTGGACCATCAATATCACTTTTTAGAAATCCAATGCCGGGGGTGGAGGCACATGCTAGTAATCCCAGCATTTGGAAAGCTGAGGCAGCAGGATTGTAGGGGCTGGAGATTTAGCTCAGCGGCATAAGTGCCTGCCCTGCAAGCAGGCAGTGGTGAGTTCGATCCCCGGTACCGATAAAAAAGGAAAAAGACAAAAAAAAAAAAAAAAAAAAAAAAAAAAACAAAACACTGGGATGGAAGAGAAGACGAAAATTAAAAATGCTAGATGTGATGCCTGTAATCTCAGCAGTCTGGGAGGTTGAGGCAGAATCGTAAATTCAAACCCAGCTTGGGCAATTTAGGACAGACCTGGCCTCGCCATAAAAAGTAAAGAAAGGGCTGAGGCTGTCGCTCAACGTGCAAGTGGGCGTTGCAGCCCACTCGGAACCAACACTTAGCTGGGGCCGGGGTCGCGGACTGCCCGCGCCCGCACCTTGCTCCACAGACGCAGCGCGAAGTCCCGCGCCGGCCCGTCCAGGTCCAGCGTGTCGGTGTCGCGCAGGCGCTGCACGAACTCCTCGGCTGAGGCGCAGCGCTGCGCGGTTCCGATGAGAAACTGGGCCACGTGCCGCTTGCTGAGTCCCAGCACGGTGTGCAGCTCCTCCAGCACCCAGCGCTCCAGCGCAGCCGGCGTCGCCATGGCCACGGCGACCGCTCCGCCCGCGCGAGCGCCGGGCCAGCCCAAGGCCTGCAGCCCGGGCGGAGCCTCAGCTCCCCAGGGAGCCGGCGCAGGACCTCTGCCTCCGTCTCCAATAGCCCAGCGCCGCCCGGTACCGGCGCGAAGCACGGAAGGGGCTGCCTCACTTCCGGCCTAGGTGCTACGGTGGCCGAGCAGGCTCAAATCAAACAGGAGTGGTTCTGCGCTCTCGACGACTACTTTCCATTTCCGTCGCCGCCTCCCCCGGGTCGGGACCCTGGTACTCGCTGCCGCCCTCATTAGGGTGAGCCACAAAGTGAGGGAGCTTCCGGCGTGCGCTGGGCTGGCCTGATCTCTAGGATTATTGCACAGAACAAATCAGACAAGCATATGGCCAGGGTGGGGGGCGGTGGACAGAATACACGATAAATAAGGAAGCCACCCTGGTGCGGTGCCACATGCCTGTGATTCCCGCGCTCAGGAGGCTGAGGCAGTAGGCTCACAAGCTTGATCTCACACTGGGCAATTTAACGCATTAGGGTAAAAAAAAAGAAAAGAAAAACAGGCGGTGGCGCAAATACCTGTACACCCAGCTCCACATCACGACCTGCCTCTCTCTCAAGGGCCTGTTTCTTTCAGTGTGTGCTTTTAAATTTAAGCCCAGTAAACCCCTTAATGCCTCTTGCTGACACATCTTCACAACTCTTTTTCTGCTATAAGAGTCTGCCTACAATTTAATGGCCATGAGTTCGAGACAGGCTGGTGCCACATAGTTCAGGCCAGCCCAACTATACAGCAAGACACTGTCTCAAAACACTGAGTAAATCAACATAAACTCTGTACTTACTTTGCTGACACCTGTGGCCCTGCTTTGCACCGTTATGATTCACTGGCCATACCAGGAAATGAAAGTGTCACTATGGTCAACAGCACAGGTGGGTTCCAGCGCTGACTTTGCAGGTGGACAGTTTCTGTTTCTCAGATCCCCTGCAGACCCCTGATGTTGCCCACTTGCTGCCCAGGTACCTCCACTCAGACTGATTAGGACCTTGAGTGATGAGGCTGCCGGGTTCCCTCACACCCACACCTCATCATTTAGCCCTCTGACATTGCCAGTTTCCCTGCCAGTAAACTGGGGACTTCTGACCCCACCAAAGAGGAATGTTTGGTGTGTTTGTGTTTTGGTAAAGACAAGGCTTCTTCCTCATGTAAGCAACCAGGAAGGCAGGGGTCTTCATCTGCTCATCCCCCTGACAGGTCTGGAGATTGGCCAGGAACTCAGCCCCTGCCTGTGGCCCTGGCAACTCTGAGGACAAGGTGAGGTGGGAGGACTGCTTGAGCCCAGGAGTTCAAGGCCAGCACCAGCATGAGAACTCATCTCAAAAACAGAAAGATGAAAAAAGCTCTGATGAGTAAAGCATCAGTGTCCCCCATCCCTAGACTGAGATCCTGTGCAACAGGAAAATCCTGTTGACTATGCTTGAGGAGTGAAGATTTGTTTTCTGGATGGTTTGGTTTTTATTTTTTGGGACCAGGGATTGAACTCATGACCTGTGCCTGCCAGGTAGGTTCTTATGCCACTGAGCTAAAGTCCCCCCCCCCACCATGGTTCTTAACCTTTAAAAATACAAAGTCCAGGGCTGGGGATTTAGTTCAGTGGCTTATAAGCCCCTGCCTTGCAAGCAGGCAGTCGCGAGTTCAATCCCCGGTACTGATAAAAAGGAAAAAGACCAAAAAAAAAAATTAAAAAAAAATACGAAGTCCAAAGCCCCTGTGGTGGTGCATTTCTTTTTTTTCTTTTTTTTTTTTTTTTGTCTTTTTCCTTTTTATCGGTACCGGGGATTGAACTCACGACTGCCTGCTTTCAAGGCAGGCGCTTATGCCGCTGAGCTAAACCCCCAGCCGCAGGTGGTGCATTTCTGTCATCCCTGCACTCGGGAGGCTGAGGCCAGAGGATTGTTGCAAGTTTGAGACCAGTCTGGGCTACAAAGTGAGCTCAAGGCCAGCCTGAACTGCATAGTGAGACCCTGTCTCAAAAAACAAAAACGAAATACAGAATGCGCTGCCTATCATCAGAGGACAACCTCTGCAGGAGACCGAATTTCTGTGCTGCATTGTACACCAATTTCAAATTCGCTGCTCAGAGTCCCCAGGTCTTCAGCCCCCCCCCCATCTTGTCACACTGCCAGACCCGTTGCAGCAGGGCGTCCTCTGCCTCCAATCCTTGCCTTTTTTCACCCATTCATTTGTGGACTTTTTCGTTCTAGAAGCAGTTTCGTCTGTGGGGCACAGGGGTGGGACACGGGAGGACACAGGGTAGGCACAGGCTCGCCCACCTCACACTTAGTCCCTTCCGCAGCACGTGGTACCCACTCTTTCTTCATGAGAGCCACACGCAGCTCCCAGACGCCTTTTTCTTTCTTTTTTTTTTTTTTTTTTACACTTTTTTTTCTTTTTACCAGTACCGGGGATCGAACTCATGACTGACTGCTTGCAAGGCAGGTGCTTATGCCGTTGAGCTAAATTCCCGACCCCCTCAGATGCCTTTTTCTTTTCCTTTTTTTTGAGACAAGGGCTCGCCGTGCAGCTCAGGCTGGCCTTGAACTCGTAACGACCCTCCTGCGGTGGCCTCCCGAGTGCCGGGATGCCAGGGAGCTCAGGGACCCAGACTTCTCCTAAATCAGTGGGGAGTTCCTGGCCCTTCCCTCAGCCACCAGCTGCCCCTCGCATCCACACTTTTTGTTAGAGAAACCGCAGAAGGCCGGAGCGTGCTCCATTTTATTACAGAAAGGTAAAAAATCCAGGCAGCCCGGGCCGGGTCCAGAGCGGCGGGAAGGCTCCGCGCTGCTGCAGTTCAGGCACGGGCCGCTAGGGGGATCACAACGCACTCGTGGGCGCCGGCGAGGCACAGCCTTCCCGCCCGGAGAAACTGAGGCACAGTAATACTGGGAAAGCGGGGGGTGGGGTGGGGTGGGGCGCTCGCAGGGCAGAGGCGCCGTGTAAACTTGAGGTGGGGGCAGCCCTTGCACACAGGCTCAGGGCGCCCCGGGGTAGGTGGCTAGGGTCATGTTCGTCCAGGAAGGTCGGAGTGCACAGCGCCCGCGCACAAAGACGTCACCGCCGGCAGGACTCATCTGCGGGAGCGAGAGGGACAGTGAGGAGACCCCGCCGCCCTCCCCACCTCCTGGGTAGCTCAGGCTTCCAGTGACAGCTATGCCGCTGTCTCGTGCTCTGCTCTAGGCACTTTATATCATTTGTTTTATTTATATTTTGAGATAAGGTCTCGCTATGCAGTTCAGGCCGGATTTACTTGTAGCCCAGGCTGGTCTCGAACTTGCAACGATCCTTCTGCTTCAGCCTCCCGAGTGCAAGGATTACAGGTGTGCGCCACCACACCCAGCTTCACTTATTTATTTATTGAGCAGAGTCTCCTGGCATAGCCCAGGCTGGCCTTCAATTTAGTGATCCTCCTGCCTCAGCCTCCAGAGTGCTGATATTACAAGCATGTGCCATTGCACCCAGCTTGATACTAGATTTTCTACAAAAATCATTCCCTTTTGCTGGACACGGTGACTACTTGTAACCCCAGCAGTCGGGAGGCTGAGGGCAGAGGACCAAGGCGGGCGGGCAGCCTGCTGCACAGCGCTCCTACATATTTGTGGTCCTGGGCCTGCCGCGGCGCGCGGATCCCAAACCAGACCCCGCCTCAGGCGTGGCCAATTCCGCTTCCCAGGAGCCCGGGCCGGCGGCAGGTGCCGCTGGGGTTCCTCTGCCCGAGGAGCCGCAGGCCGCCCCCAGTTGGCTCTGCCCGGCGCGCTCAGGGGCCTTGGGGTTTTGCTGTCGGGACCTCACTTTCCTCGCCTGCAGGTCTGACCCGCGTCTCTGCGCGCGGCAACACCAGGGGGCGCCTCGGGCCCGCACTCACCTACGAGCAGCGCCTTGGTGCGCAGCCCGCCCCGAAGCCCGGGCGGCAGCAGCGGCGGCTCGTCCTCGTCCTCCTCGTCGTCGGGCAGGGCCGCGGAGGCGCTGGGCACTTCGGGTTCCGGGCCCAGCTCCTCCAGCACCGAGCTCTCAGAGGGATACTGGTACGTGGTCTCCAGGGCCGTCTCGCTGAAGGAGATCTTGAGCTGCAAGAGAGGGCGAGAGCGAGGTGCGCTCAGCACCGAGCTCAGCACCCAGCAGCCCAGTGAGCCGCAGGTGGATGGAGGTCTGGCCCCGGGTTTTGGCAGCCGCGGCCTCCTTCCCCTCCCAGTCTGCTCTGGGATCCAGCCTTGCTTCCCAGGCCACTTCCTCTCTTAAAATCATTCAAGACAGGTGTGGTAGCTCATGCCTGTAATCCCAGCACTTGGGAGGCTGAGACAGGAGGCTCCTTGCAAGTTCGAGACCAGCCTGAGCTACAAAGTGAGTTCAAGGCCAGTCTGAATTGCATAGTAAGACCCTGTCTCAAAAAACAAAAAATTACACAGGACCCACGTGGTGGCACAGGCCTGTAATCCTTAGCACTTGGGAGGTTGAGGCAGGAGGATGGGCAAGAGTTGGAGGCCAGCTTGGATTACATAATGAGATCCTGTCTCAGAAAACCAAAGCTAAACAAAAAAGCAACTTTTGGGCACCATGTGGTTTTCTAGAGGTGAACAGAAATGAGCTGTCTGGGAGCACAGTCCTCCTTCCCTAGGACACCGTTGTCCCAGTCCCCTTGCACTCCAGCTGAGGGCTCGAGGCCTGGGTGACCAAGATTCTGCCCCAGTGCACAGGAACAAGGAGGAGCCCAGGTCCCCTAGGGGTGCAGTAGGGCAGCGGGCACAGCAGGAAGGGGCAGGGGGGAGAGGCTGAGGAGAAGCAGGAGACCCGCACAGGCCCTGGTGCCCTCTCAGCCCTCTGAGGAGCTGGGCAGGGGCGGGGCGGGATTAACTCTCAGCTCTGGGGATTAGGGAGAAGCAGCCATGCCTGGCTGCCCACTTCCCTGTCATCTACTGGAGCTGGAGCCCTGAGCTGGGCCCCGAGGCCTGGTATGGACCAAGCTGGGCCGAGAGCCGCCAGCCTGGTGTCCCAAAGCCCACCCGGACCTCCCGCCTCCGTCCCACTGTGCCCAACCTGGGTCACTCTTCCTGCAGGGACCCACAAGGCCCTGCCGAGCACCTTGCTCAGGCCCTGCATGTGCTCTGACTTTGGCCTCCTGCCCTCCCAATTACACTAATGCTGCTCCCAGGAGGCCGAGACCCGAGGACTGCAAGGTTAAGCCCAGCCTGGACAATTTATCAAGCATGTTTAAAACAGCGCTGAGGCCAGGTTTAACCCCCAGCACCACACACAAAGGTGGAATGTTGCATGGACCCTATGCAGCCCCCTTGTATACTTTTTTTAAATTTATTTTTCCTTTGAGTCAGGGTCTCTCCATGCAGTTGAGGCTGACCTTGAACTTGCTTATGTAGTCCAGGCTGGCCTTGAACCTGCTGTGATCCTCCTGCCTCAGCCTCCCACGTATTAGGATTACACTTGTGGCCACCACACCTCCTCTCCTATACTTTTTAAGTCAACTCTAAATTCCTTATGATACTGGACACAGTGTAAATGCTATGCAAATGGCTGTGACGCTGTGTTGTTTAGGGCAGAATGCCAAGAAGTCTGTACACGCTCAATGCAGTCACAGTTTTTTTTAAGAGAAAAAAAACAGCTTTACTATTGTAATCCAGGCTAGTCTGGAACTTGCCAGTAGCTCAGACTGGCCTCAAACTTGCAATTTGCTTGTCTCGGGTTGTGTAGTTTTTCTCCTGGAGTATTTCTAATCCACCGTTGGCTGACCAGGGATATGGGACCCTCAGACTGAGTGCCGGAGTCCTTGTTCTCATGCGTGCTGCTGACCAGGGCTGGGCAGCTGTTGCAGTGCATGAGGGGAGGCCTGGCCACACCACAGTGAGGCTCCAGAGAACCAGGTTTTGGGGCCCAGTGGCAGCACCCACTGTTCTGGCTCCGTGACGGGTATGCATCTGGAGCCCATTTCTGTGCCCTGTCCCCCCCCCCAGCATCTCTGTGGCCCCCCAGCCTCTCCTCCGACTCTCGCCCCATCGCCCCATCTCCTGATCCAGCTGCTCAGGAATGCACAGCCTGCAGGGGCTGGGGTGGGGACTAGCGGGTGACTCACTTGCTCCTGCCACCAGCTATATAAGGTCACAGGACGAGAGGGGCGGGGCCCAACCACAGCTGCCCCAGGCAGCACTGAGCTGGGCGGCTCCTGGACTCCTGATGCAGGGATGCGGCCCGTGGGCAGGCAGGAATACTAGGGATCGAGGCACAGGACAGTGCTGTTTTCGGTGGTCCCGAGGGTCAGGGCAAGGACAGGACAAGGTGACCCTTCCTCAGTGAGCCGGCAGGGAGCATGCCCCCGCCTCCCCAGGTCAGGCCGCTTCCTCGAATGTTCACCACATCCTGAGCTGGGCTCTGCCAGGCCCCCACAGCCGCCAGCCTTCCGGCCCCCACCCGGCTTCCTGTTTGGGCACTGTGCTTCCGGCCTGCTCCCTGACCCAGGTATGGTCACCAGCACGGTCCAGCTGCTAGGCATTTTCGAGCCTCCCTCACTCTCTGCCCCAGGAGTGCACAGGAAGCAAGCCTCAGTGCCTCACCCTATGTTTCCAGCTCGCCCACCTGCCTGGGCCTTGGGTCCCAGGCAGGAGCTTAAACTTCCAAGGGCGAAGGGGACTCTGCTCTGGGGCCTCGGTCCCCACGTCCACCCACGCTGAAGACACGAAAGCCAAAGATGAGGGCATGAACACTTGAGAGGAGGAGCGCGGTGCAGGGTGGGAAGGCACTGTCCCCACGTCCCCGGTCTCACCCCTGACCCTCACCTCTGACCCTTGGCCTCACCCCAGCTGTGCCTTCTGTTTCCCACCCCAAGAGCGGGTACAGGCAGGGTGGTGGGTAGCAAGGGGAAAACCAGCTCTGGGCCCAGAGGGGAAGTCCAAGGAGGAAGGACAACGGGCGGAGAGTGGGTGCTGGGAGAGGAGAGGCTCCTTGGCCCCCGAGAGAAGGTGCACCACAGCCAGCCTGGTCAGCGACCCCAGGGTCAGCCATGTCGAAGGGTTCTGCTGGCCACTTGGGGCTAGAAAGCCTTCTCTGCCCTCTGGTTGGCCTGGTCCTGGGATGTCCCATCTCCCTCAGGATGGGAGACCCCAGGCACAGCTGCCGCCCCCAAAGCGGAGGCCTCATGCCCTGCGCCTCCAAAGCTGCCTTGCACCAGGCTGTCACCATGTATTGCCGGACAGCTGGGCTTGGGATCATGGAGCCAAGGAAAGCAAAGGGGGAGCCTGGGCACAGCCCTCCCCGTGCATGCGGCAGGGTCCTGGGGCTCCCAGACAAGCAGCCCCTGAAGGAAGGTGTGGGTGGTAAGGAGGAAGGGAGGTGGTGGCAGGGGAGAGGACAGAGGAAGACAAGGACAGAGGTATAAAAAGCAGGAAGGTCCAGAGCCCAGAGACAGCGGGTGAGCCGGGCTCTGAGAAGCCTGGCCGGGCTGGGCCCTACCTGTTTGTGGTGTCTCTCAGGGGACCCCTTGGCGAGGCAGCTGCGGCTTAGACGGAGGTAGCCGCCCAGAACCAAGATCTCCTCCGCAGTTGGGTACCGCTTCTTTCCAGCTGCAGGGACCGCAGCGTCAGCGTCACTGGGGGCCGGGGTGGCTGGGGTAGCAGGGGGCATCGACCGGCGGGGGTTGACCGTGAAGGTGTGCCCACTGCGGCGCGGGGCCCCCACCCCCGGCCCTGCCTTTACCCCATAGAACAGGCGGCTCATCAGGGGATCCCCGGAGGGCTGGGGGGCAGCTGGGGCTGGGGGTGGGGGCTGCAGCTGTGCTGCTTCCTCTTCCTGCTGCTGCCCCGAGGAGCCTGCTGGGCTCCCAGCGTCCTCTGGTGGCAGGGGGGAGGGCACAGAGCTGCAGCCCTGCGGGGCTCTCTGAGGCCTGCTCAGAGCCCCCTCCTCCTTGGCCAACCCCTCCAGCTCCTCCTCTGCCTCCCTGTCCCCAGCTTCCACAACCCGAGGCTGCAGTTCTGGTTTAGGACTTGGAGCCTCTGTGTCCCTGGCAGTCCACTCCCGAGCCTTCCCAGAGCTCAGCGTCCACTTCCACCCTTCGCTCGGCCTCGGGCTGCTGTCTCCATCCTCCGCAGGGCCGGGCCTCTGCTTTGCCGCCCCCAGGCTTCTGCAGACGCTGTCCTGAAAGTCTTTGCTCAGGGGAGTTCCTGGGGACCCCGAGATCTCCTCCGGAGGCACCCATGGAGCGGGGCTCTCTCCTTGCCCCCTACATTCCTCCGCGAGGTCTATGCTCTCTCCTCCTGGGTGCAGCCTCCAGTCCACTGCCTCCAGCTGCACTGAGCTCTGCTCCTGGGCTGCTCCGGGGCCAGGCTGCCCCATACAGGCCTCTGCCAGGCCCGGGTTCCGGCTGTCAGACTCCCCGGGGCCCGGTTTACTCTCTGCCACCTCGAAGCTCCTGGGACTCTGCACTCTGGGCTCCAGGGCATCAGCCGGGCTCAGCCTCCACCTCTGCGCCTCAGGCATCCTGGAGTTCTGGTCTCCACCCTCTCCCGGGCTCTGCCTCCAGTCTTGGGATTCTACAGGTTTGGGGCTGCACTCCCGGGCTGCCCCGGTCCCTGGTCTCCTGTCCCTGGCCTCTCTGGGACTCAGCCTCTCTTCTCTGGCCTCTTTTCCCTTGGGGCTCTGGTCTTGTGATTCCCCAGCGCTGGGTCTCCACTCTCTGGGCTCCAGTGGCCAGGGCTTCCTCTCTGCCAAGAGCTCCTCATGCCGCTGCTGCTGCTGCTGCCGCTCCTGCCGGATGAATCGGTTCTGGTGCACCGGCCCGATGGCCTCCAGCAGGACGGCAGACTCGTCCGGCTCCGGAGGGCCAGGCTCCGAGTTTTCAGGCCCAGGGCCCAGGTCCCCTGGGGGGAGACCGAGCTTGGCGCGGCGCCGCTCCAGGAGTCCCCGCTTCCAGGCTGGCATCTGGGACAGGCGCTCCTGCTCCGCCTTCCCCCGACCCCGGACGGCCGCCTCCTCCTGCCGGCGCCGGGCTAGCAGCTGCAGCTTCCAGTCCGGGACGGTGGCCATGGTGGCCCGAGCTGGGCAGGGACAGGAAGGAGAGCCGGGGTGAGGGCGCGGGCCGCGACGGGACCAGGCAGGAGACCCGAGGGTGCAGAGGAGCGCGGGCGCCGCGGGGTGGGGCCTGACGGGAGGAAGCGCGGAGATTCGGGGCGGAGGCGCAGCAGATAGGGCGGCGCGGGGTGCGGGCGCTGGGCGCCGGGTGGGGCCGGCTCGCGGGAGGGCACGGCCGGGGTCCGAAGAGGAACCGGGACCAGAACCGAGACCAGGGCCGGGCCACGGGAAGCCCCTCTGGCCCCGAGCACCGCCGCCACCCGCCCGCCCCGCCCGCAGTTCCGCACAAAGGAGCTCGGGCCGCCCGCCCCGCGCGCCCCGCCACTTACTCCGGGGCCCCGCAGGGCCAGGCCAGCGTCCGGAGCGGGAGGAAGAGGAGGAGCGGCCCGGGCTCCGGCCGGGTGGCGGCAGCAGGAGGCACAGGAGCGGGCCCGGGGCGGCGACCGCTTTGTGGAGGACAATGGGGCGGGGGGGCGGGGCCTCGGCGTCCACGCGCGTGGACTCGGCGCCCCGACCCGGCGTCCGGACCCCCCCTCCAGCCCAGGCGCGGCCGTGACTCAGGGCCTCGGGGGACGCGGGCGCGGGCGGCAGCTGTCGCGGGCCGGGCCCGCCCTCCCCGTCGCCCTCCTCCCCGCCCGCCCGGCCCGCCTTTGTTGCCGGGCTGGGGCGCCGGCAGAGCGCGACCCGGGTTGGCGTCCTGGCTCCCGGGGTGCGTGGGGCGACTGGGCGGTTGGGGACGCGCAGACCGTGCTGCCCTGCGAGTCACACGTGGGAAAGCCAAGCCAGGCTCTGTTTCCCTGCAGGGACGTCTCACGGAGACCCCCGCTTGGCCACGACGGAGCCCGGACCGGGTTGGGGGACGGCGGGTGGCCTAACCTGGCTGCAAAGGGATCTCGGAGCAGGACCCTGAGGCTTGAGGGAGGAAAGGGGTCCACGCCCTAAACTGCACGCGCGAGAGCAGGGGGGGAACGACGGTCAGTGCCTGAGAGGCTGAGTGGAGATAAGGGTCCGGGGTCCTGCAGTAAATCTCGAGCAGTCCCAGGCCCATGGATTTGGGCAGCGGGCAGAAACAGCCGGTGCCTAAATCTTAAGGGAAGTGTATTTTTTCTTTCTTTCTTTCTTTTTTTTTTTTTTTTAATTTTAAAAGTCAGGGTCTTGCTTTGCAGCCCAGATTGGCCCCGAGCTCAGGGCAATTCTGGTGTCTCAGCCTCCTTGTCGAGAGAGCTGGGATTACAGGTGTCCAGTGGGCTTGGAAGTCGGGGAAGGAGAGGAAACAGTCTTAGGACCTCACTCAGCTGCCCCATCCTGGGGCCGGGACAGGAGGTGGAGTTTTCTTTGTAGCTGAGCCCGAAGGTAGCAGAGGTCTTGCTGGTCCAGTCCGTGAGCCAGGCCCAGGTACAGGGTAAGGAGGAGAGCGAGGAGCAGGCGGTCAGTGCCCAGGGTGGGCACCGCCCATAGCACCGTTAGCAGCTCCACACACACTGGGTGGCGCAGGTGGGAAAAAAGCCGCAGAGCCCGAGGAGACTTCAGGGCTAGTGGTTCGCCAAGGCCCAGCACGTGGTAGTACACCTAGGGAGGGAGGATGGTGAGGACCAAGCACCTGGCTGAGCCATCCTGCTCCTTTCCCAGGCACTGCCCTCTCAAATAGGACCCAGAAACCTTCCCTGGGCCCTGGCCTCTGAGGGCAGCTGCAAGGAGACCCCCTCAACAGAACGGCCACGAGGGAACAGAAAGGCCCGGAAGGAGGAAGGAATCTGGATGGAAGTCTCGGATGGTACCTGAAGCCTCACCTGTTTGAGGCCCATAAGCTCGGCATAGTCAAAGACGAGAAGGATGCTGAAGATGAGCAGCCAGGAAATGACGTGCAGAACAAAGCAGAGCAGAGGCACCCAGGTGGCCCATGGCTCCGCCCGAGCCTCCCACAGGGCAGGGCCTCTGGGTATGGCCTCCCAGTTCCGCATCACCAGCTGGGGGAGAGAAGGGGCTGCAGAGGCCCACTGGAGGGGCCTGGCCTGGTGTGGCCTGCCCTGCTCAGTGACCCTGGCCAGCTTTACTGTGAAGGACAGCTGCGGGGAGTGACAAGGAGCTGTCCAAGGATCTCCCCACTGGGCGGTGCTGCTCAGAGGGCACGGCCAGTGGCACCCAATGGCAGGACAGATTAACTGGCAGATGAAAACCTGTCTACACCTAGGAAGGTGGTCTGTAACACAGGGTAGAACTGAAAAGGAGTTAGGCAGGCCTCGGGGGCAACCCAACGTTGCAAAGGTGCCAGTTGGGTACTTGGGGAATGGCAAGCACACATTTTTTTCTTTTTTCCTGAGACACAGGCTTGCAACACAGTCTCAGTTGGCCTTGTACTTGCTATATAGCCAGGCCAGGCTGGCCCTGAACTCTCACTCCCCCTGCCTCAGCCTTCCGAGTCCTGGGAACACAGGTGCATGGGATGGTGCCTACAAAGTCCAAAGCCCTTGATAAGTAGGGCATGTGCTGTGGCAGAGTGGAAACTGGCTCAACTCACTCGATCTCCATTCTGTGTTCTGCCCCTCCAACCCGGAGCCTCAGTGCCTAGGCTGTCCGGACCTCTCATACCTGCAGGGCCAGGGCGGTGCACGCCACGTACACAGACCTCTGGAGGACCCCAAAGTGCCTGGACGTCCACGCCTTCGCTGCTTCGGTGGCCATGAGGCTGTGCTGCCCCACGAACAGCAGGAGGAGCCCCAGGTCCCAAGCCAGGGCAGCCAGGACGGCGCGGTCCTGCAGGGCATCAAGCCACCCCTGACGGGGATCTGGGCAGCGCAGGGGGGGGCACTGGTCAGGCGACGGCTGGCCTTGTCGCCCTCCGGCCGGCCGGCCCCCGGGCGCTTAACGCTTTTAGAGCCTCGACGCCCCCGCGGTGCAGCTCCCACGGCTGCATCCCTCGTCCCTCCGGTCCCGACCGCCTTCAGGCCCGGGGAGGAGGACTGCAGAAAGTCGTGCTGGGCCGTCCGGAAAGGCGGTGGTGGCCGCTCCCGAGGCCGCGCTTCCTCGGTCCTCCGGCCGCCCGTCCTCCCGCCCAGCTCCGCGCATTGAGCCCCGTCACTCGCCCGCCGCGCCGCCCTCCGGCTGTGCCTCCGGCCCGGAGCTCACCAGGGCCGCCGGCCGGCGGGACCCCTCCGAGGAGCGGCCGCAGGGAGGCGAAGCGCACGAACTCTACTCCGGTGCCAAAGGCCAGCACGAAGGCGGCCAGGGCAGCGGTCACCAGCAGCAGCGCGGGGGCCATGGCGAGGGCGGGGCCAGACTTCCCGCTACTGCAGGCCCCGCCCTCGGGGCGGAGTCAGTTCGGCTGGCCGGGCTGTTCTGGGGGCGGGGTCTAGCCTCGGAGGCGGAGTCTGGCCCAGCGGGCGGGCCGCGTTAGGCCCCACAGTCCGGCTTCCGGCCCGCGGGCCGCGGCGTCCCGGCTCGGCCTCCGGCGGTTCCCACCCCGCAGGCTCCGCACCGCTCAGAGAACGTGGAACCCCAGCGGACGGGGCGCGCAGTGCCGTCGGCGTCCCCGCAGGCTGAAGCCGCCGGCGGCTTCCCAGAAAGCGGAGTCCGCAGAGTGACAGGATTTAGCGGCCCTGGCTGGGAAACAGCCTGCGCATGCTGCAGACGCCCGAGGGATTGTGTGGGCCAGGCCGAGAACCCAGCGCGGACGGACTCAGCCACGAAGTCGTCTCGAGAGAGACAGACAGACACACAGAGGGAAACAGATTGTACCTACGTGCCCAGGCTGGCCTTGAGCCCAAAGCAGACCTGTCTCGGCCTCCCGAGAGCAAGGACTATAGGTGTGTGTGTGCCTGGCAATTGTTAGGTGTTTTGTCCTTTTGGGTCAGGGTTTCACTATGAAGTTCAAGCTGGCCTGCAGCCGGCTGTGACCCTTCTGCCTCAGCCTCCCAGTGCTGGGATTATAGGTGTGCAGCCCTATGCCTGTTTTTTGTTTTTTAATGACAGGGCCTGCCTATGTAGTGTAGTGCAGGCTGGCCTAGAGCTTATGTATCCCAGACTGGTCTTGAACTCACAGTGAACGGGGAGCCTACGTTAGCATCTCAAGTGCTGAGATTACAATTACAAGCATGTGCCACCATGCCTGACTAGCAGAATCCACCATCAGAATTAAAGGTCTCATAGTTCAAAACCTAGCTGCAGTCACTGTGGACACAGGGGCCTTAGATGAGAAGCCCGCTTCCTGTAAGCAGCTTACAGACAAGAACCCCAGGAGATAGTCAAGGTAGGGAAGGGCTGCTGCTGTGGGCCATGGAGTGAGAGCCTGTCAGCCAGAGCTCCCATTCCTTTCCCTGCCGCCCCTCCCACTCGGCTTTGTGTTCTGTGTACCTCCCAGTCACTCTGCACCCCACTTCTGGACCCTGCCTGTGTTTGGAGGGCTAGTGGGGAGCAAGCTGCTCCTGTGTCTTCAGCGGAGTACCCTCCTCTGTGGGGAGGGGGTGCTCAGCCAGCCAGGTTGTCACATCCACCCTGGTGGTCAGTGGGGTGACATCGAGATGGCCCTGCCATCCTCACCCCCGCACCTGCGAAGCTCAGTCCGGACAGAGGAAGCCGGGCTGCCTAGCTGTCGTCTTCTGCACTCAGAGGCACACAGGGTGGCAGCACTCCACTCTACCCTCCCCGCACCCCGCACCCTGCACCCCATCCGCTGCATAGTTAGCGCTGTGTCAGCCACCTCTGAATTACCCTGTGCTGTCCAGTTCTGCTTGGACCATAACCAAAGAGATCTTTGTCACACACAGAACTGTGACAAGCTTTGAGACTCCTGCAAATGTTAAGATTCTCTCGCTTTCTCTCATTTGTACTGGGAATTAAACACAAGGTCTTTACACTGAGCTCCAACCCCAGCCCATTTTAAAAAATGTTTTGAGGCAGGATCTTGGTAAGTCACTAAATTGCCCAGGCTGAGCTTGAATTTATGATCCTCCTGCCTCAGCCTCCCAGAGTGCTAGGATTACAGGTGTAGGCTACTGTGCCTGACTGCTATCCCTATTCTGTAGAAGTTTAAATTAGAGCATTAAATGAGACCAATCACAGCAGCACAGCACCTGCAAGCTGTCTGGCAAGCATGGGGTCCTGAGTTGAATTCCTGGTACTAACAAAATTTATAAATTTTTTTCTTGGAGCTGAGAATTTAGCTCAGTGGCGTAAATGCCTGGCAAGCATGAGGTTGTGCGTTCAATCCTCAGTACAAAAAAAAAAAAATTATTCTTGGTACCAGGAATCGAACTCAGGACCTTGTGCTTTCCTGGCAGGTGCTGTGCCACTGAGCTCTATCCCCAGCCCTTTTTAAAAACAAACAAACAGAGGGCGTGTACCAGTGTTTCCTAGTGCTCTAGAGGTAGGGATGGTAAGGAATCCCATCTCAGCTGGAGGTGGACTTGTCTAAGTACTGCTAAGTTCTGTGTGCTGCATCCACAAAGGCAATGCTTAGTACACAAGATTAAGTATTTTTAAAACCAGTATGCCAGGAGAGTACTAATTAGCATGTGCAAGGCCCTTGTTTGATCCCTAAACCTATAAAATACAAAAATGAAACATGGAACCAACAACGAAATCCGATGAACTAGCTGGGTTCTACAGGTGGTGTACCCCTACAATCCCACACTCCGAGGCTGAGGCAGATGGACTGCCATGAGTTCAAGGCTGACTAGCCTGGGTTATATAGCAAGACCCTGTCTCAAAAAACCAAATCAAACAAACATCATAAAATTTGCACGAACTGCTTGGCAAACTTTATGTTTCTATTATGTCAAAGTTTTCCAAATTTAACAATAACTCAACATGCTGAAAAGAATACAAAGCTAATAAACTAAAAAATTTGAAATGAAATTTACACAGCATAAAACTGTTTTAAAGAGTATACAGGCAGACATGGTGGTGCACACCTATAGTCTCAACACTCAGGAGGCTGAGACAGTAGGATCTGGCCACAAAGCAAGACTGTCTCAAAAAGAGGAAAGAAAAAACAGTACCGAGGCATTTAGTACATCAACCATGTGTACAACCACTATTTCTAGCTTGTTCTAAAACATTTCTATTACCACAGTCAAACTCTGGTCCCCTTAAGCAGTCCGCTACCGCCAGTTCTCGGCAGCCGTGAATCCCGTGGTCTCCGGGCTTACCCAGCTTGGTGTGTTACAAGCAGAACTGTACAGCATGCATCCATTTGCATCTGGCTTCTCTCATTTAGCAACAAGTTTTCAAGTTCCTCCTCAAATGTAGCAGCCGTTTCAGTTCGTCACCCCTTTTATGGCTGGGAAAGTCTATTGGGTGGACACGTCCTACCTGTGTGCCCGGCCTTGGTGAACTTGTGTATTGTTCCTGTTTCCCATGCTGCTGTGAAATGCAATGATACAACTTTCATGTACAAGTATTTTAAGCTTTTCTATTCTGTGTATCTATGAAGGAGCAGAACTGCTTCTATGGTACTCATTAGTATTACTTATTTTTTTGAGACAAGGTCTCACTATGCAGTTCAGGCTGGTCTTGAACTTGCAATGACCCTTCTGTCTCAGCCTCGATAGTGCTGGGTTCACAGGCATGTACCACCACGCCTGGCTCACTTTTGGGAATTGAACCTAAGCCCTTTCTATTGAGCTATACCCCCAGATCCTTTTTATTTTTTTTGAGGCAGTTGTCTTTCTAAGTCACTAAGTTGCTTAGTCTGGGCTCAAATTTATGATTCATCTTTATCCACCTCCCAAGTAGCTGGGATTGTAGGCAAGCACCGCACCCATCTCATAACTTAAAGACAAGTGTGGGCCAGGGATTTAGCTCAGCGGCCCAAGTGCTTACTTGGCAAGTGTGAGGTTATGAGTTCAATCCCTGGTACAAAAAAAAAGAAACCAATGTGTGTCTCAAGCTGACAGATGGAAACAAGCACAAACGGCACCAGCCTTAAGGCACAGAGTGACCATTTATTTGTGAGTGGGATCATGCTGAAGCTCATCTTATAAACACTGGGGAAGTGGGTCAGATGTGTAGAGATTTACTCAGCTTCGAAGCTGAAGAAGGAAGCTTCCACCTGGGTGGCGGGAGGGACGAAGACACGCACAGTAGGCACATCCCATGACCTGCGTATCTGCTCGTCCACACATCCCCTCAAGCTCCTGCCGTAACAGCTGCGTCGACGAGGGTCAGTCTGAGCCCATGAGGAGAGAAACGGTGTTGGATCCGGGCGCCACGGGGCAGTGACACTGCAGCAGCCAGCTAGAGGTGAGCGGCACTTAACACTGCGGTAAGTCACACCAAACCCCTGTTCTTTCTGTTCTGAGGCTGTGCCCAGGCTGGAATCTAGGACATCCTAAGTGCTAGGCCAGACTTACCATTGAGCTACCGCCCAGCCTAGGATCGGCCAATCTGAGTAGCTACTTCATTTTGCTGTCCTGGGAACTCAATCCAGGACCTTTGCACTGAGTTATATCTAAGCCCTTTTAAAACATGTATTTTGAGGCCACTCGTGGTAGTGTATATCTTATAATCCCAGCACTCAGGAGGCTGAAGCAGGAGGACTGCTGTGCTTTTTGAGGTCAGCCTAGATAGAATACAAAGTGAGTTCAAGGCTGGCCTGAACTACATCGTGAGACCCTGTCTCAAAAACTTAAAGCAAAAACAAAACTTAAGTTTTATTTTGAGACAGGATCTTGTAAAGTCACTGAGGGCTGTGCTCAAACTTGGTCTTCCTGCCTCAGCCTCTCAGTGCCAGGATTACAAGTGTGTACCACCCCTAGCAGTTAGGACCACTTTAGAATATGTTTTTTTTGGATTTTTTTTTTTTTTTGGTACCAGGGATTGAACTCACAACCTACTGCTTGCTAGGCAGGCACTTAGGCCACTGAGCTAAATCCCTGACCCCACTTTAGAATGTCTGTGACTCTAAATTTTCCCAGAAAGCCTTGGATCCCACCCCTTCCAGCACAAGTGCCACCCGCACACCAAGATCTCCTACAGCCCCGAGCGCCTCTAACCCAGCTGTGTTCTGACAGGAAGCAGAAGCGCACTGGTATTTTCAAGTGGAAGCCGGTTCCTGCGAGGAGAGGACGAAGGCCTCAGGCCTGACCTCCTGCTTCAGGACCCCCGTCAGGAGGAATTCTGCAGACAGGAGGGGCAGACCGGCCCGGGATGCCAGGGAGCAGCGTGGCAAGTCCTGGGGGCAGGTGATCACCACTCTCTGGGGCTGGGGAGATAACGCAGAGAGGAAGCTCAGGGTGAGAAGGGGTCCTAGAAACATCGGACCTAGGGACAGTCTCAGTGCTGCCCAAGGCGAAGCCATCCGAAGCACACTGCACGATCTATCAGGTATTCTTGCCAGAGAAGCTGACCTAAAATGTATTCAAGCTCTTAAAACTAGCCAGGTGTGGCGGTGCACACCTGTAACCCCAGCACTCAGGATGAGGCAGAAGGATCACCAAGAGTTCAAGGCCGGCCTGAACTGCATGTGGAAACCCTGTCACCCCCCAAAAAACAAAGTGAGTTGGGCTTCGCTCCACAGTCCACAGAAAAACAGGTAATCAAAATGCAGTAATGCATGGGCCTTATGCTGGCCTAAAACTTGATTCTTCTGCTGTTCAGCCTCCTGGGTGCTGGGCTTGAGGTACCAAACCCAGCAGTAGCCTTGTATTTTTCCCCTCTCTTCTCATCCCAGCCATCACATGTCAGCCATACCTTATAGGAGCGGGGCATGCTGGGTAAGATGGTGCCGCCACAGCAGCTAATAATCTCTCCCATCTGCAGTGGTGGGGGCTGGACCCCAGGGGTCACGTAAATCTCATAGCCCTAAGGAAGAAGCGAGCCAGGTGGTGACTGCGCTGCAAGGCCTGACTCCGAGACCACTGGGTGGTGGAGTAGGCGGGAGATGGGCTCTGACCTCTAGCAGTCTTCGCTCCCGAGCCCGGCTCAGGGCATCCTGGAGGCTAAAGCCAAAATTCCTCTCCTGTTCAGGATCGGTCACCACGTACTGATCCGGGGGCAGGAAGTGACCAGCCTTGCGGGACTGAGGACAGCTGGCAGTTAGCACCAGGGTTCAGGCCACCCCACCAGGCGCTCCTGCCTGCACTTGCAGAGCGCTGTCGCACCTGAAGCCTTTGAATGGGTCTGGCCCCACTAGCCCAACCCCTCCTCCTATCCTATGTATATGCATGCGTGTGTGTGTGTGTGTGTGTGTGTGTGTGTGTGTGTACGCATGCATGCACACGTGTGTTTGTACCCGCTGTCTTCTCCTGCTTTTTCGACTGGCCTCTCACCTGATGCAGCCACTCCAGGGAGAGCACGGGGATGCCCTTCCCCAGGGCACACAGGAACTTTACTGTCCGGCGGACGCGATCAGTGACCAGGTGAGAGGCCTCTGCCACAGAGCTGGCCAGGCTGCCTCCCAGGGCTAGCACAGCCTGCTCCCCACGGGCATCCAGCACGCCCGTGAAGAGGACCTGGCAGGGTTGGACTGCACTGTCACATGACCCAGGCGACATTACACCTCCCTGCCTCATCCAAGTCCCCCCTCCCCAGGAGCCCTGGGCCCCTCTCCTACTTTGGGGGCTGCTGATGGTTGGGTAGATTTGGTCCTGCGGAGGCCCCGTTTCGGAGCTTCCTGGGGCTCCTCCTCTGTATGTGATCTCTTCCTCTTGCCTGGTTCTGGAGTCACCACATCCTGGCAAGAAGAAATATTTTGGTGGGCATCTCTGACCTTGAAGCTCTGGCCCCGATATGGGTGGTCCCACCTGCTCACCTCTGCCTTCTCTGGCTTTTCTAAAGCAACCTCCTCCTCCTCTTCCTTGGGGACTACTGTCTTGTGGGAGCCTTCTCTTTGGGGCCGCTTTAGGAGAGGGGCTGGATCTGTGCCAGGGGAAGGCCTCTTGCGCTGCTGAGAGGCTGCAGGCTGGGGCTCTTGGGTGGACCCAAAGCTATCTGCTGCTTCCACCTTTGGGACCTGGGGAGCTTGAATAGGTGCCTCAGGAGGCTGGGAAAAGGAAGGGCCCGGGATGGCCTTGAGGGACGCAGCTGCTCTCCGCCTGCCTGCTCTCTGGTCCCCGAAGGATGGCTCAGATCGAGGCTGATGGTTAGTGGCAGCCGAGCCAGAGCCGCGTTTCCCAGCAGTCTTCTGTCTCTGGCCACGCCCTGTGTGAGGGCTGGGTTTCCAGGGCACATGCTGGTCAGTGGTGACAGGAGGCCAGGACTCAGGGGCCGCCCCACCGTGAGCTACGCTCTCGGGGTTGACAGGCTGGCCTGTGGCAGTGGGCGGCTCAGGGTCCCTGGCTGACAACTCTGCTGGCTCAGTAATCTCAATGGGGGCCTTACCCGTCCTGCCCCGCAGGGCCCACCGCGTAGGTTTGGGGGTAACGGGCCGGTCTGCAGAGCTGGACGGCTGCAGCTTGGGGGCTGCTGGTTCAGCTGCTTCAGGGGTCCTTACAGAGGTCCTGCTTGTCCTATCCCGAGTGGCCCGAGGTGTGGGCTTGGGGGTGATGGGTCGGTCAGTGGAGGTAGGCAGCTGCTGCTCAGAGCTCGTTGGCAAGACTAGTTTGGGGCTCTTGACAGACGACTTACGAGTTCTGCCCTGAGTGGCCCAAGATATGGGCTCTGGGGTGTCAGGCTGGAGCTTGGAGGCCATAGGGACAACTGGCTTGGGGGTCTGGATGGAGGACCTGTTCGCCCTGCCCCGAGGTGCCTGGGGTGCAGGCTCTGGGGTATCGGGCTGGTGTGTGGAGGTGGCCGTGTGTACAAGCGCTTCAGGTGTCTGGACAAAGGACTTATTTGTCCTGCCCCGAGTGGCCCGAGATGCAGGCTTGGGGGTGATGGGCTGGCCTGCAGAGGTGGCCGGTTGTGGCTCAGGGGCTGCAGGTTCAGCTGCTTCAGGCATCTGTAAGGAGGACTTGTTCACCCTGCCCCGAGTGGCCCGAGACATGGGCTTGGGGACAACAGGCCGGTCTGCAGATGTAGATGGCTGGAGATTGAGGGCTGTCACCACAACTGCTTCAGGGGTCCTGACAGAGGACCTCTGTGTTCTGGCTGGACTGGTCTGAGCTGAGGCTGAAGGCTGCTCTATGGGAGCAGGAAGGCAGAGTACATGGGCGGCGGAGGGGAGCGCAGCAGATGTCATCCTGCAGCGGGGTCGGTGCCTGCCACTGGGCTTGGGCCGGGAAGTCTTCAGCTCTGAGGACAGGGCGGGCTCTGGAGCCTCCTGCCTCCCAGCACGCCCCGGCCCAGGAACGGGTGGCTCGGAAGACGGCAGTGGAGGAAGCAGGGGCTGAGGTGCGGAACATTTTTGGCTCTGAGAGACAAAGGGGCCCAGGTGTGGGACCAAGGCTTGGGGTGCTGCAGCAGGCAGGGGAGCATCCTGGGGAGAAAGAAGCAAGTGAGCATCGAGGAGAGGGGTGAAGCACAGGTCATTCCTGGTCCACGTTCCAGTGAGGGCCCTGTCCCCGTCCCCGCCACCTCCACGGGTGGGTGCTGTCAAGGGAGAGGAAGAAACACAGAAGAAGGACTCCCCTGCCAGGTTGGGCAGAGGGAGAGACTGCTTGGGCCCCAGGCACAGAGAACACTGGGTGCCAGGGCGAAGGGGTGGAGGCTGGCTAAGGAGGTGGAGAGTAGAGGGTGTGGGCAGAGGGCAGACCAAAGAGCGGCCAGGGTAAGGGCACTAGAGATGCTGGCGGGTGACTGGGCAGTGGGGAGCATCTACAAAGCGGCTCTCACCCTGGAAGCACTCTCAGCAGGGGGCATCTTGCCATCCTCCAGGCCTGGACAGAGAGAAACAGGGACGCTGAGTTCCCTAAAGTCAGGTTTCAGGGATATTGAGGGCTGTACACCACCAGGGCTCCCCACTACCTTCACTTACCTCTGGGCTGCCCGCTGGGGTTCACTGGGGCTTCCCTTGCTCCACCTGACTGGTGCCCCTCCCCGATTCCAGGCTCTGGGCTTACTGGGGCATCATGCCCTTCCCGGGGGCCCTGCCCTTTTGGGTCCCTGTACCCTTGCTCTGACTCTCCTCTCTCCAGGGCCACTGCTAACCCAGCCTCCACCCCACACTCTGCATCCAGCACCCATTTCTCTGCGACTCCCTTGAGAGCTCTTCTCTCGACAGTCTCCCCAAGACTGTTGCTTGCACACATGTATGCATCCTTGGGTGTCTCTGCTTCTTCCTTCAGGCTCCCCCTGGCCTTATCAGGACTCATGCTGTCCACCTTTTTGTGAGACGCTGGTGTCTGAGCAGTTCCAGCTAACACCTGCATCTCCGGCTCTCTGTCCTTTATCCTCCTAGCTAATTTTTCCTCCTCCAGCTGCTCTGTGCTCTCTCCTGCTCGCTGCTCCTTGATTTCCCTCTCTGATGTCCCTCTCTCTGGGGTTACCCTCTCTGCTATTTCTCTTGCTGTACCCCTGTCTCTCTTCACAGTCTGCAGCTCTCTGCCTTCTGTCCCCAACGGCTCCACATGAGCTGGGGTCCCTGGACGCTGATCCTGTGGTGCCACCCTTGGTGGAGACAGATGAGACCTGGGGGCCTGCAGGCAGGTGGCAGTGAGTCGGGGCTCAGGGTGCTCAGACTCTCCCACACAGAATGGCTGCGTGGCCAGGACTTCCCATGGCTCATCCAGGGCATCTGAATAAAGACAGAGCCGAGAGGAATGGGAAGGAGAAAGGGAGACTTAAAAAGGTTACACGTTGAAAAAAGATTAGGAAAACTTGTGAACAACACATCTAAATAAGTTTCTAAGGAAGGATGGAAAATAGGGTGGTAGTTATAACATTTAGCGTTATGAAAACAGCATGCTCTTATATGTGAGATCCCCTCATAGGTTATTTTAATCTAGCTGCATGTGGTGGCACACATCTATAATACCAGCATTCTGGGAGGCTGAAACAGGAGGACCTAATTTTGAGGTCAGCCTGGGAAACAGCAATTTAACAAGACTCTCTCTCAAAATCAGGAAAAGGATTGGGGATGCAGTTCCATGTGACGACCCTAGGTTCAATCCTTAGTATAGTACTGGGAAAAAAGTGACCTAGACACTAAGTTGATCTATGGATCTGGTTTAATATGGGATTTTTTTTGAATGAGATGGAGAAAACAAGAAAGCATGCGAAGTTCAGAGCAGAGTACCTGGGGCCTGAGAGCTGCAGTGGGAAGGGCCAGGCTCCGGGGAGAACATACACAGGAAGGCCTGGGTGGGCTCGTCCTCCACACCTTGGATGGCTGCACGAGGAAGGACAGCTGAGAACAACTCCTCATGTGACCTTGGGCCCATCCCGGCCACAGACACCCTCAGCCCCTCTTGCCAAGGACCGCCCCCAGCACCGGGGCCCTAAAATCCCAGGTGTCCTCACCTTCCAGGCTCTCGCTCTCCACAAAGCACTGGGTGGCTTGAAGGTCCAGATCTTCACAGCCTGCTGGGGTGTGGTACAGAAGAGACAAGAAAAACAGTTTCTTCCCCTTTGCTCCTTTCTCCCCAGTTCAAACACTTGCTGTGTGTTTCTGGGACCCAGGGAGAAACATGGTGACACTCACCATCATGGCTGTCTTTGGAGCTTCTGGTCCTGGTCAAATAGGACTTCTGCTTCCTTCCTGCGGGGGTCCGTGCTCCCCCTCTCTGTGGCAGGGTGGGGTTTCCTGGGGTAACAGTGTGTACCACCTGTTCCCCTTGCACTGCAGGTGCCCTGCCAGGGGTCCCCACTTCTGGAGCCATCTCCTGAGCATCCCCTCCTGCCACACGCTGGATCTGTCGCACAGCTGCCACTGCTGAGGCAGAGTCCCCCTCTGCATAAGCTTTGTCAAAAGGCCTGGCTTCTAGAGGCTGTACAAGCTGCTTTGTGGTGTGGTTTGTCCCCTCCACAGGTGCCTGACGGCTCTCCAGATGTGCAACAGCTAGCCCCAGTGGGGCTCCCTCCTCCACTTCTGTCTTGATGTGCACTGTGGTGGAGGAGGCTTGGCTGCTCTCTGGGTGGGTCCCATGGGAGCGCTTACCTGCTGTCCCACCCGCGTTGCTGTCCCCATGGGGAGGTCTGCTTGCCCCCAGCTCTGCTGTACCCAGGGCTTCAGTCTTCCCTCTGTGAGCACTGGGGAGCGTTTCTTTCCTTCCCACTGGGTGCCTCTTCTTTAGGGCTGAGTTGCTATCTCTGTCCAGGGAGGTTTGGTTCTGTTCCAGAGGGACCTCAGGCTGGGTTCTGGTCCTTTCTGTACCCATGCCTCTGTTCCACAAAGCAGCTCTGCCCTCCTTCAGCCGTGCCAGGGTGAGCGCAGCGGAGACCTCCTCCTCATCATCTGTGTCACTGTTTATCACCAGGGAGTCCTGGCTTCCTGCTGCTGGGCACTTCTGCTCCTCCACATCTGTGTCACTACCAGCTGGGCTCTCCTGCGGATGTGCCATGCCGTGGGCACCAGGGCCTCCTGTGCTTGCTGCGCCTAAGATCAGCCGCTTTTTCCCAAGAATGGCAGCGGGGGTCTCGGGGACGCCCTCTTCCTCCACATCAGTGTCACTGTCCTCAAAGCCAGAAGGCTGTGCTCTTTCCAGGTGGAGCTCAGCTGGCCTGCTGTCTTCGTCCACATCTGTGTCACTGTCCTCTCCAGGAGGGTTGCTCCTTTCTAGAGCCACCCTGTTCTCTGCATCTTTCCTGGCTTCTGTGTCTCTGTCTCTTTTCACTGCAGGTAGAGCCTTTACCAGCCGAGGGTCACGTGTGATTCTGTCACCTCTAGGCTGCTCTGCCTTTGTTGTGGCACTGTTCCTCACTGCTGAGGCCTTCCCTGCTTCGTCTTCATCTGTGTCACTGTCCAAGTTGAAAGCTGAAGATGGTCCAGAGCCACCTAGGGCTGAAGGCCCCTCATCATCACTGCAAGGGATCAGAAAGAGTCAATAGCACCTCCTTCCCAGGAGAGGACAGCCTACTGCTTGAGGGCAGGTACAAGGAGCATTTGTCTTTCTGTCCCTCACAGTTAGTTCTCTACTTGTTGTATCAAGGGTGGTCCACTAAAATGCATCTGAGAGCTGGGCATGCCTATAACCCTAGCAGTAGGGAGTCTGAGGCAGGAGTTCCAGGCCAGCCTGGGCTACACAGTGAATATAAGTCCAGCCTAAATTAAAGGGAGGGCTGGGAATATAGCTCAGTGGGACAGAGCCTACCTGGCAAGTACAAGGTCCTGAGTTCAATTTCTAGTACTCACCAAAAAAAAAAGAAAAAAAAATTACAGAGACAGATCCTGGCTCACACAAACAAATGAAACAGCAGAAATTGGGAATGGTAACACACCTGTAATTCTGGCACTCTGGGAGGCTAAGGCAAGAGAATTACAATTCTAAGCCTAGCCAGCGCAACTCAGACTTAAAAAGACACTGTCTCAAAATTAAAAACAGGGGCCAGGGATCTAGATCAGCAGCATAGCACCTGCCTGGCCAGCACAAGGTCATAAATTTGATTCCCAGTACAAAGAAAATTAAAAACCACCAGGGATAGCCCACTTTGGAGGCTTTGGGTTCAGTCCCCAGTACTGGGAAGGAAAACAACAAAACAAAATACAAAAACCCGCTGAGTGAATGAATGATATATATGGTTCCCCAGCCTACCTTTTAAGATAATTGGCTCTATAAAAAAAAAAAAAAAAAAAAAAAAAAAAAAAAAGTAATTGGCTCTGAGAGACTGACCTTCCAGGCCCTGGTTCTCCCTGCTTGCCAAGACTTAGGAGTCCAGCCTTTGGTGCTCACCTTTCTGGAACCACTGTTGTCAAAGGGGATGATGTGATCCTTGATTCTTTCTCCATACACCTCTCAGAAAGAAAATCTGGCAAGAACAGGAAGGAGTAAATTGACAATTTACACTCATTATCTATCACAAACCCTCCCAACACACAAGCATGCACGCACCTGCCTCCTCCTCATCTGAATCCTCAGCCAGTGGAAGTCTGGAGGCGTGAGCATCTCCCGGGATCCTGGGGGTTTCCTCCACACTGAGAGGACCCCGGGAAGGCATGGGCATGGGCTCCTCCAGGTGACGGTACTGGCAGGGCAGGTCAGCAAAGAGGATCAGTTCATGGTCCCTCAGACGATGACTCACCCCTGGCCTCAGGACCATAGGTGGCCTCAGGATTTGGGTACCATTGAGGCTCCCACAATCCTGAAGAACAGGTGCTTTGTCCCATGCCGAGATTTCAATTACTGCATGTTGTTTGGAAATGGATGGAAAGGGCAGGGCTACAGAGCAGTCAGGCATTCGGCCTACCACGTTCTTCCCAAGGTACAGTGGGAAATCTAAAAATGAGAGAGGTTGAGAGAGGCCAAGGTCATTAAGACCCCAAATGTTGTAACAATAAAGAGCCCCAAGGACCCAAGCATTGAAGAGGACATATAATCCACAGACCACACCCTGTCCATTCATGTGGGATAGACTTAGCTGTAGTAAAGTAGATATAACTTTATGGGGGGTGGTACTGGGGATTGAACCCAGGGTGTTTATATTGAGCTACAGCTACAGCTCTGGCCCTTTTTAGTTTTTATTTTGAGACAGTATCTTGCTAAATGACTAAATTGCTAGAACTGAACTTGTGATTCTCCTGCTTCAGCCTCCTAGGGTACTATGATTTCAGGTACACACCACTATATATGGCTACCTTTTAATCACGTTAAGTGTAAAGTTCAGTGGCATTAAGTATACATTGCCGTACAATCACTGCCACAGCCCATCTTCAGACAACACTGAATCTCTTCGCATTGTGCTACCAGAGTGCAAATCACTCTTAGGGAGTGCAGGGCTCTGGCCTTCTCCATTTCCACTAAAACAATTTTTTTACCTCCTTGAAATGTATTTCTTCTAATACCTTCCATGACAAAGACCCATGTTAACCCTTCAGTACCTAATGCCCCCTGACCTTTTTCTGGTCCATAGGTACTGCCGAAGACACGCAGTCGCCCTACAGGCTCCAAGCTATACCCCAAGGATTCACCAGATTGCTCTGTTTCCTCCTCTTCTTCAGCAGCCCAGTCAATAGCCTGGGTGTCTTCCATGGCCTAAAAAGAAACACATTGCTATCATCCATCTCCAGTTTGTACACTGTGTCAGAAGAGGGTGGTACCTGGAGTAAACCTGGGGAGCGACAGAAGTTGATGCTTCTCTTTCCATCATTCTGTTGTTATGCTTCTGAAATGTTTAAATAAAATTCTGAAGCCAAGTGTGGACACCTATAATCCTGTCTCTCAATTCTGCTGAGGCAGAATTGTCAGGAGTTCAAGGTCAGCCTACATAGTTCAAACCAGCCTGCACTACATAGTGAGACCCTGAAAAAAATCAAACATAGGTAGGTATGGTAGCATATACCTGTAATCTCAGCACTAAGGAGGCTGAGGCAGGAGGATCACCATGAGTTTGAGGCCAGCCAGAGCTACATAGTGAGTTAAAATCCAGCCTGAACTACATATTGAGACTGTCTCAACTTCAACCCAAAATAAGAAACAAATGAACATAATTTTGAAAGCCAGGCTTGGTGGTACATTCCTGTAGTTGCATTTACTTGTGGGGCTGAGGCAAGAGGATCATGTAGGCCCAGGATTTTGAGGCCAGTCTGGAAAACAGCAAAATGCTGTCTCAAAAATTTTTTTGGAACCCACTGACAGAGCCCTGGTCTAGCATCCACAAGGTCCTAGGTTCAATCCCCAGCACTGTACCAATTAACAAAAAAAGTTTTGCTTTTTGCTTTGAGACTATAGGTTTCACTATGTAGTCTAGGCTAGCCTTGAACTCATTATGTAGTCCAGATTGGCCTCAAAATCATGGCAATCCTCCTGCCTCAGCCTCCTGAGTGTTGGGATTATAGGTGTGTGTATGCCCCCATGTCTGGTGAAAAAAAGGTTTTTTAAGAAAACTGCTATGGGGGCTGGGGATTTAGCTCAGCGGCATAAGCACCTGCCTTGCAAGCAGGTGGTCGTGAGTTCGATCCTTGGTACCGATAAAAATGAAAAAGACAAAAAAAAAAAAAAAAAAAAAAAAAAGAAAAGGAAAAAACACTGCTATGGGGGCTGGGGATTTAGCTCAGCCAAATAAGCGCCTGCCTTGCAAGCAGGCAGATAGTGAGTTTGATCCCTGGTACGGATAAAAAGACAAAAAAAACAAAAAAAAAAAAACAAAAAAAAACCCACTGCTATGTACAATATTTCCCATTCTCTCTACATTATTTTTATTTTTTGGTACTGAGGATCCAACTCACAACCTCATGCTTGCCTGGAAGGCACTTATACCACTGAGCTAAATCCCTGGCCCCTCTCTCTATAGTTTTGACATGCTAATTTTCAACTTACTAAATTAATTTTACTACCCATTCCTGGGTTACAACCCATAGTTTGAAAATCATCATCTTAGCCAGGCCTGGTGGTACATGCTTGTAATTGTAGCACTTGGGAGGCTGAGTTAGGTGGTTTGCTGTGGGAGCACATACTGAGTGAATTTAATGCCAGCCTGAATTAACACGGTGAAACCCTGTGTTAAAGAGAATCAAACCACTCCCGACCCCAGTTTTGCTAACAAATGCCAAGCATGTGTTGAGCACTGTTTTGTAACAGGCATAGTAGTCACATGATTGGGCATTTAGAGGACTAGTGTTAAAAACGCTAGGATAATGAAGCAAGTATGTGGATATACAGTAATACACACTGAGGCCTACGCTTCTTTATCATACCACCTCAGCATAATCAGGCTAAAGCACAAAGAACCACAATATATGACTAGATATAGGGACTACACATGTTGAACGTTAATCTATCTCCTTTATATTGAGCCCCCCACCTTTCTGGGGATTGCACTCGGCAGTTTGTATGACTACATGTTCTCAGCTCTTAAAATTTTCAGTGACAGTCTTGCAAAATTGCCTAGGATGGGCTTGAACTTGCAATTTTCCTGTCTCTGCCACCCAGGACACTGGGATTACAGGTGTGATGCCTATTCTGACTGACTCATTCAATCTTTTCAGGAACCTTGTAAAGTACGTGTTATTCTCTACTTTTCCAAATAAAGAAACTCCAACATAAATGGGCTAAGGGACTCGCCCAAGCGCACCCAGATAATCTCTATCTGTTTAATATTCTTTTATGGCTTTCCACGGCCACTGCATAAAACAGAACCCGAATTCCGCTAGAGAGCCTCTGCCGCATACACCCCGCCTGCGGCCTCTCCCGCTCGGGCCGGCACGCTCATTCTTTAGTGGCCTGGCGCCGGGACTCATCCTGAACCAAACACAAAATGAGTCCTGCCTTCGCGGACTGACGAGAGAACGAATAGAGACACACACTCCAAACAGCACGGCTGGAATTCATCCAGAAAGATGCCGCCCTGGAGGAAAACTATGGACAAGGAAACCAGGACACCCGCCGAGAAGTGTCACCCACCCCTGCCCTTCTGTCGCGCCAACTCAGTGGGCGCCAACACCCTTGGCCTCAATCGACGGCCACCATCTTTGACCCCACGTTCGTGAGTTGCCTCAGGGTCAGCGTCTCCCGGGGGCCTTCTTCCTTCACTGGCGCCAGGCAACGAGGGCCTTTACAATCTAAAAACCTCATTTCCAACTTAAAGTTCCCAATTACCTCCGCCCAGTCGTACCCAAGGCACGCCCCCTCCCGCCCTCTGGAGGAGTCAAGATGGTACCAGAGCAGCTGTGGGCGAGGCCCCCGAACTCACCTATTTGAGTCTCCGCGCGCGCCACCAGTAACGGTCGCGTCCTGTGTGGCGCGAGCGCGTCGCTTAGAAAGAAGTCGACCCAATGATTGGCTCCTGTTTCTGTCTTTCACAGCTTCCTGCGCACTGATTGGTGAAACCTCACGAGTCGCGGCACATTCAAAGCTTCCCTCCCCGCCCCCACTCGCTCCCTTTACCTCAAAGTCCAGGCTATTCGGAGAGCCTTAGATCAGTTAACCGCAGCGTATGGTGATTGGTCAACTCCGAGGACAGCCCACCAATGCTTCGCCGTCCAACGCCCACTTCCCGCGCTGAGTTCGAAACCGCGACCAGAGAGTCTGGCGCCAGAGCCGGCTGTGTGTAGAAGGGCTGTACCATAGATGTGGTGCATTGCGTTTGGAACGCCAGAGCGTCCTTCCTCGGTCCTCCAAGACATGGTGTTCGCTGACTCATGAGAAATGCAAACGGTTTGCGGGTTGCAGTCGTGGCTGGAGGCTGCAGCTTGGAAAACAGCCCGCAGGCGTGGCGCTTGAATACTCCTCATTGCAGTGGAATTTCATTTCGCCTTGATTTGGCTTGTTTAGTAGAAGGCACGTCATTTCTTCGTTAGACAGCCCTGACGGACATTTTGAGGTCATTTTCCCTAAATGGACGATCCTTACAGAAAATGTAGGCAAACTGAAAACCGGTTTGGTAAAAGTCCTCACCTTTCAAGGGACAAGGGAAGAATGATAAAATCGTAATTTCATAATAAGACGAGAAGAATGTTAAGAATGTGATGCGTGTTAGAGGAAGCTCTTTCCTAATAGTTATTTCAACCATTTCCACAAGAATCAAATAGGGTGAAGTAGATCTTACAAACGAGATATTTGAAACTGAGAAGTTAAATGCCTAAGTTCCTACAGCTAATGTAAGGCAGAGACAAATGGAAACAATTTTGAGTGCTGAGCTTTTTCCACTAATGCATGGCTGCTTTCATTGTGGGCATGGAACCTACATCACAAGATTCTACTTTAAATGAGTGTAGGAGTCTCACACAACTCCATGTTCCTTTATTTAGGTGACTTACAAATGTGTGTTCATCTGTGTATTAATTTAGTGAGTTAACAATGACCTCGATAACAAATCTGTGTGTAGGCTTAGCACCACTACCTTAAACACTCTCTTTTCAACAAACTGCAGTACCCTAGAGGCAAGAGAGATAATTTGTAATCATTTTGTAGTGGTTACTAGGTTTGTACTGGTTATTGCTTTGGTGGCCACTTAGTAGCTTTGAAATGAGTGAATTCCTGGAAGGAGATGGGTTGCCCATCCAATTTACTCCTTCCTCTCTTTCTATCCTGAGATTCTACACTGGCCACTCCTGGTCAGTAAAATCAGCTAACTCAACGACTACTGGCCTCATTAAAAGTTTCTGAAAGAGGCAGGCTGGAACAACACGGATACTCTTATCAGGTCTCTCACCTCCATCGTTCCCTTTTGTCGAGATGACCAAATGATCTTCACATTCTGTCCTAAGGCCCAGATTCCCTAAATGCACGGAGATGTCTGACTTCACAAATTCTAGATCTCAGATTCTCCGAAACCTTCAACCTATTTTTTGAACAAACCCTGCAGATATATCTATTCTGAATAACCCTTGCTGCAATTTTGTTTCTTTTTTGAAACATTATCTTTGGAAAACCAAGGAAATTGGAAGACTCTGTACTGAAGTTTATACCGTGGGTCACCAAAAGACCAGATGTTGTGTACCAGAGCAGAGTCGCACACTTGTTCGTTTTCGCTGAGCTAAGCTGTACTGTCCTCCAGAGAGCTTCCGCAGCGGGGAGTTTTCAGGGCGTGGCTACCCCACCTCCCAGCTCACGGCACACCCGACTTCCCAATTTATGCATCCCCCAAAACTATTTTTTGTCCGCAAATTTTAAAAAAGGGAAAAAGAAAAACCTTCGCATAGAGGAAAGCAACCTTCTCCATCGCTGTTTTTCATTTAAAAAGCGACAAAAAAGAAAAAACCCAGTACCCCCCCCTCCTAAATTCACTTTACAGCGTGGACAACAATAGAGGACTACAACTCCCAAAGAGGACTGCGCTCAGCGGCTGCGCAGCGACCAATGGGCGCCTGGTACATGACTAACACCAACCAATCACTGCCTGGATCGGGAAGGCTTTGTCTCTCTACCCGGGCGCGGGCGCCGATCTCCCGCCTCCCAGCGCTGCGCACGCGCGCCCCGCCCTGCCCGCCTTCCCTCCTTTGCCCTCCCCTGTGGTCGGCCTCTCAGAATCTTTCCGCCGTCGCGTTCGGATCGCGCTGCTCCAGTTGCGGAGCACGATCCAGCCTTCCAGCCCGCGACCAGCAAAGGAAAGAATCTTACAGATTTTCTTGCCCCGTACATTCCTGGAGGCGAGCAAAACAAGTTAATTTGGACCATGAGGGAAATCGTGCACATCCAGGCCGGTCAATGTGGCAACCAAATCGGTGCCAAGGTAAGACAAAAACCTCCTTTCGCTTATGTTTCGCCTTAGAATGAAAAATCCATAGTTAAGCGGGAAGAATCATTGTGGGGCGTTTGTATTCCATTCTTAAGCTTTGCTCCCCTCCCCCCAAAGATTTTGCCATGTGAGTGTAGTAATCATTTGTATCCTGGACCTAGTCTTGGACAATGGGGAGTTATTTTTTCTGCAGCACATTTTGGGGCAGCGATACAAGGGCTTGTTGGGCTCGGAGCACGGGGAGCCTAACGGTCCGAGGCCAGGAGGAAGCTCCCCGAGACAAAGCGAGCGAGGTCCCATGTGCACCCCCTTTCCCCGCCCTGCCGGGCCTCGGGGCGTCCAGCGGAGGCGGAACGGGCGAGGCCGGGCGCGCAGCTCTCGTGAAGAGCTAGGGGACTCCCGGCGCCCCACGCTCACAAAGGATGGAGAGCCTCGCGCGGCCTCGGCTCCCGAGGGGCGTTCCCGCAGCCTTTTGTGGCGCGAAGAATAATAGGTTCCTTGGACTTTTTTCCTTGCTCCTTATGAGGATCATCTTAGAGCGAGGACTGGAAAAAGAGCAAAGAGAGGAGGTAAACCCTTCTTTTAGTGGGTCCCTCCCCCTCGATGTGGGAGAAAGCCAGTGAGGAGGAGAGTTAGGGAAGGGAAGAAATTCAGAGGCCATGGGGATTTTTTTTTTTTTTTTGCGCGCGCGGCTACAGTGTAGCGGGAGGAAGTGCAGCCGCTACGTTGTAGCAGCCGGGCGGAGCGGGAGCGGGGGCGGGGCCGGCGCTTGGCGCGCGGGGACAATGCGGCGGGGGCGCGCGGGCTCCGCCCTCCGCGCGGGAATGTGGGCCAGGCCCCGCCCACGCGCGGCCCCTTGGCATGGGCGGCGCCGCGTGCGCCTGCGCCGCAGTCACGTGGCCGCATCCGCGGTCTGCTGCGGCTGCCGCGCCTGTCTGCCCCACGCCCTTTGTGCGCCTTGCGGAGGGGCGGTGCCCACGCGCCGATCCGGGCGGAACGCTGTTCCTGAGGATGCCTGTGGGCTCCAGGCTGCCGGCAGTGCACACGATGCTGACCTGGGCCGCGAAATCTGCGGGCTCAGGGATTGCGCTAGGGCGAAGGCGTGGCAGACACACCCCGAGGCCGCGCTGGAGACACGGCGGGCGACAAGGAGGGGGCGGTCGGTACGGTTGGTTGCAGGGGGCTCATTGCACTGCCCTCGCAGTTCTGGGAGGTGATCAGCGATGAGCACGGCATCGACCCCACCGGCACCTACCACGGAGACAGTGACCTGCAGCTGGACCGCATTTCCGTATACTACAATGAAGCCACAGGTGAGGCAGAGGCCTGGGGACTCAGGTTCCTTTGCCTTCCCCGCGTTTTTGCGGGCAACTTTTGTGTTCTTGGGGGGTCCATTTTTCCGATTGAATGAATGCAAAGCCCTGTGCCTCTAAAGGGGGTGGGGCGGGGGAGGTGTCTGGACAGCTTTGCTGCCATCTGGTGGCGGAGCGTGTGTTAACTTGGGGTGTGCAGTTCCCAGGCCCTTGATTAACCTTTTCCAAGCCAGCTTTCACGCATCTGCTCGATTTCCTGTAGGTGGCAAATATGTTCCTCGAGCTATTTTGGTGGATCTAGAACCTGGGACCATGGACTCTGTTCGGTCTGGTCCTTTTGGCCAGATCTTCAGACCGGATAACTTTGTTTTTGGTGAGTTGAACAGAAAATGGGATAGTGGAGGACACAGTTCAGCTTATTTGGGTGGGAAAGAAGGTCAGGAGATTATTTAGTTAGAAATGCAGGGCTGTGTTCTGTGGTGTGGGGTGAAGGCTGGCCCTTTGGTTTAGATTATGGGGAGCCTGCACCACAGGTGAGAACAGAAACTATTCAGGTCAGTGGCAGCAGAGGTTGAAGGGTAGAAATGGCCTGTCTTATATCCCTCACATACTGAGCCTTCTCCCGACCCTATTCCAGGTCAGTCTGGGGCAGGCAACAACTGGGCCAAGGGCCACTACACAGAGGGGGCTGAGCTGGTGGACTCTGTCCTGGACGTGGTGCGGAAGGAGGCGGAGAGCTGTGACTGTCTCCAGGGCTTCCAACTGACCCACTCACTGGGGGGTGGCACCGGCTCGGGCATGGGCACCCTGCTCATCAGCAAGATCCGTGAGGAGTACCCTGACCGCATCATGAACACCTTCAGTGTGGTTCCCTCGCCCAAGGTGTCCGACACAGTGGTTGAGCCCTACAATGCTACCCTCTCCGTGCATCAGCTGGTGGAGAACACGGATGAAACCTACTGCATTGACAACGAGGCGCTGTATGACATCTGCTTCCGTACCCTCAAGCTGACCACACCCACCTATGGCGACCTCAACCACCTGGTCTCGGCCACCATGAGCGGCGTCACCACCTGCCTTCGATTCCCAGGCCAGCTCAATGCCGACCTGCGCAAGCTGGCTGTGAACATGGTGCCCTTCCCGCGCCTGCATTTCTTCATGCCCGGCTTTGCCCCACTCACCAGCCGTGGCAGCCAGCAGTACCGTGCCCTGACTGTGCCCGAGCTCACCCAGCAGGTCTTTGACGCCAAGAACATGATGGCTGCCTGTGACCCGCGCCACGGCCGCTACCTCACGGTGGCCGCAGTCTTCAGGGGCCGCATGTCCATGAAGGAGGTGGACGAGCAGATGCTCAACGTGCAGAACAAGAACAGCAGCTACTTCGTGGAGTGGATCCCCAACAACGTCAAGACAGCCGTGTGCGACATCCCGCCTCGCGGCCTCAAGATGGCCGTGACCTTCATCGGCAACAGCACGGCCATCCAGGAGCTGTTCAAGCGCATCTCGGAGCAGTTCACGGCCATGTTCCGCCGCAAGGCCTTCCTGCACTGGTACACGGGCGAGGGCATGGACGAGATGGAGTTCACCGAGGCCGAGAGCAACATGAACGACCTGGTGTCCGAGTACCAGCAGTACCAGGACGCCACTGCGGAAGAGGAAGAAGATTTCGGGGAGGAGGCCGAAGAGGAGGCTTAAGTCCAGCCACTTCTGGCTTCTCACTTCCTCAGCTGCTTTCAGCTGCCCCTTCAGTTTGTCTGCTGCCACTGTCCTGTTTTTTTTTTTTTCCCCCCGAGAGTGTGGAACAGTGCCTGGCACATAGTAGGCGCTCAAAATAAATACTTGTTTGTTGGATGTCTCTGCTTTCTCTACTCTGACAAACCTAGATCTTTTATCATTCTAGGTGACCCTGTATCTTCTGCTGGAGCCCACTTTTCACATCTGTCTAGTTAATTTCCTTTCAGAACCTCCAAGAAGTTGGGTCTCTCCCAGATCCCCTGTAGAAGCAGCCAGGTGCTGAAAATGCCCAGGGAAAGAGGCAGAGGGTGGAGATGGGAAAGGATGGGACTCTGCGTCCCAGCATAGCTGGGAAAGGGGAACCCAGGCAGGCTGTCATTCACTCCAGGTGTTTCCCGTTCAGCTTCTTGAGATGGGTAAACCGCATCAGGTCTGCTTCACCCACAGCTGCCCAGGGCACCCCCACGCCCTTTGAGGGGAAGACCCCACCCAGTGCTGCTCCAGGCACACTTCCCACTAGCTTCCCATCACCCGTGGATAATGGCGTTGGGTGGAGGGGTTCATGAGTGGCCCTCATTTGGGGGACCTTCTCAGGTGGGGGACCCTCCAGGCTCATTGCTTGCTTTTGCCTTCACTCTTTTGTCCTGTCCTACACCCAGATTTCTATTTTGTGTTGAACTTGCTTTTTTTCATATTGAAAAGAGACAATGCCCCAAGAGCCAAAAATAAACGGGAGTCCAGAAAACCAGCTGCCGTCCGCGTGCTCACTGAGGGGAGGCTGCTGGGGCAGGCAGGGCCCGGGTCAGCGTTGTGCCCTCAAAGCTGGAAAGCCTGTGCTAAGCCCTGTATCCAGAGTGCTGTCTGGCAATGCCAGCTGCATCTCAGCCAGAGGTAATTCAGGATGGCAAATGTGACCCCCATGTTGTCACTGTTTTACCTGCATCTCCTGGGACCAGAGGACTCAGCCCCACTCATGTTCTCTGGCCCTGCAATCTGGTTTTTTTGAGACCGGGTCATTATCTAGTTCAGGTTGGCTTGAGTAGAGTCCTTGCTTCAGTCTGCTGAGTGCTGTTAGTCTACCATCATACCCACCTAACTGGCATCATCTGCAGCGCTCTTGCCTTGAGTTTATTTCTTGGTACTGGAAGTTGAGCTCACAGCCTCACACTGGCAGGTGCTTGTGCCGCCGAAACAAATGGAGATTTACATTTAATACCCAGTGCAGAGCCCACCCAGGATCCCTTTGGGTTTCTGTGAGCTTGGGCCTCTGCTGAGAGCCCAGAAGGTACAACAGGAAACACCAACTCCTTCAAACCTAAAGAATGCACCAGAGGAGCTTTGTCCCCCACGTCCCTTTGTGTACAAAAATGCCCAGGTTTGGTTCTCAGCTCGTAAAGAAAATACCTTTTTCTTTTTAGGGGGAGACTGTCCCCATGTAGTTCATTTGGCCTCAAACTCTTCAGTCATCCTGCCTGAGCCTCCGGATCACAGGTGTATTGTACACCACACCTGGCTGGAAATGCCTTCAGAAAGGCGCCTGTAGCAGGTTTTTTTTTAAAGTCTTTGACTAAGGCACAGCCTAACACTGGGTCACACTTAACATTGTAACACTGTAAGGCTAACAAGCTTACACAGCGGTTACATTTTAATAACAAGTAGAGGGTACTTTTTGTTTTTTAGCACTGGGCATGATCTAGAGCCTCTGTACTGAGCTAGGTCCCCAGCCCTTGCTCACACGGAGGCAGCCTCAGTGCTGGGTTCCAGCCTACAGCACCACACCTAGCTGAGAGGTGACCTACAGGGGACCTGTGCAGGTTAGGTACAGGTCCTGTGCCTTTTTGCACCGGGGGGATCCTGGAGCTCATTTCTGTATTTACGATTGTCATATGGCTGTCACTTCAGTCATTTTAGGAATTATGCAATCCTCAACATTATTTCTAACTTAGCCCACTTTTCTGACCAAAACCACCTTTGGGGGAAAGATGAACTCTCCAGCTCTGAAAGTCCAGAGAGGACTTGTTTTTCCACAGAGTCTGGAAAGCCAATTGGATGTTGGGCCGTGCTGGGGCACTCACTCTGAACTGGTTCGGCTTTATTACTTTTTTCAAGGATCAGTACTTGCTGGCAGCAGTGTGGAAGGCACCTCCAGGCTGCCCTCCTGTCCTGGGGGGAGGAGAGGCATGTAGAGGGCAGGGCCTCTGACTCAGGAACTTGGATGCATGGTGGGTGGGGGGCCCTTGGACACTGGCTGTCCAGGCCATGCGGGTCAGAACGGGCAGCTCCAACCAAGGCAAGGCACAGGCTGTGCGGTAAGGAGGACGAAGGACCCCCTCTGACAACATGCTGAGGAGGTCCCGGGGGACGTGCAGCAGCAGAAGCGCCACTCAGACAACTGCACCTCGAGATGGCACTATTGAGGGCTAGGGGCTCAGGCCATCCTCAAAGGCTTGTTGTTCACCTGGGGAAAGACAAGAGGTGTGACACCTGGGAGGTAGGGTCTCTGCCTGCCCAGCTCCCATGCCAGTCCCCATGCCAGTCCCAGAGGCCTCTGTCTAGTGCCCATCTCAGTCCCTTTCCTCGAACTATGCAGTTCAGGCTGGCCCTGAACTCACAAGGTAGGCCAGGCTGGTCTCGAATTCACAGCGATTCTCCTGCATCAGCTTCCCGTGCTGGGATTGAAAGCATGGGCCACGATGCCCAGCTAGTAGGTTTTTTACGCTGTAAATTACCTGCTCTAAAGCTAGCTTGACTTAAGACAAAAGCTCTTGTGGACACACCCGAAGCAGTTAACCCAGTGACCCCAACTGGCCGACTGCATCCTGCGGCACCCCCACCCGCCTGGGCCTCACCTGGGCAATGCTGACGCCTGTGAGTCTCTCCACGCTTTCGGGCAGGCGGCTCAGGATGTCCAGCACTTCCCCAGTCACCTTGGCAGCTCCCATGGCCCCGCTTCCACTGGACACCAGTGTGATCTTCTTGGCCGAGGTCAGGGGGCCGCTGATCTCTTCTGCCACCTGGCAGAGGACAGACGCTGCTGGGTGTCCATACTCTGCCTAACGCAGCCTGTGCATAAAGCCCTCGACCTACTGACCCTTCCCCGTGGTCCTGGCTGGTCATCCCCATCTGTGATTCATAGCCCTGGCTGGTCTGGTCTCTCAGTCCCCAGCTCCAGTCCCTCTGTCCCGCTACCCACACCAGCCCCAGACCTGAGGCAGCTTCTCCAGCAGCATGTCCAGCTGCGCGGCCTCCTGGTACAGCTGGAATGCTTCTGCCTTCTTGGCCATCTGCTCAGCCTCGGCACGGGCACGGACCCCGATAGCAAAGGCCTCAGCTTCCCCACGCATCTGAGGAGGGGACAGGGTACTGTGCGAACGAGAAGCAAGAAGACGGTGCAAGCCAGGCATAACAGTGCGTGCCTGGAGGCTGAGGCAGGCCAATCGCCCTGAGTTCACAGCCAGCCTGGGATGCGTAGCAAAACTCTCAGAAACAAACCCAGTGCGACCTGTAACCCACAAACCACCTCTTTCCACAGCGGAGGAGCCACCCCAACTCACCCGCACGGACTCTGCCTCGGCCTCTGCCTGCATGATCAGCTGGGACCTGGACGGTGAGAAGAGCAGTTGGGTGAGGGTGCCCAGCGTCCAGGAGCAACAGGGCACGGTCGTGCGAGCCGGTCTCACCTCTCCGCCTCGGCCAGGCGCTCCAGCCGGAATCGCTCGGCCTCGGCGGGTTTGCGCACCCGGGCCTCCAGCTCCTTCTCGCGGCGCGCGATCTCCTGCTCCTGCAGCGCCACCTGCTGGGCGCGCTCCACCACCTGCACCTGCACGCGCTGCTCCTCAATCTGCTGCTTGGTTTTGGCCACCTGCGGGCGGGGCGCGCGTCAAGGCCAGCACGGCACCCCCACGCCGCACCCTTCACGCCAGCCCCAACCACCGCGTGGACTACTGATGGACTGGGGAAGGGGAAGCAAATTCAGGAGGAAAAATCAGCAAGAAGCAAGGCTGGCTCCACCTCTTTCCCAACGCCTGGAGAAGCAGCCCCTGTGATCAGCTTCCTCCAGGGGCTGGAGGGGTCTGCCAGCCCTTTCACTTCCGGGAGTAGAATTTATGGCCTTGCGCTTGCCAGGCCCAGCTTTCATTTATTTATTTATTTGCAGTACTGAGAATTGAACTGGGTGCTGCATCCTCAGGCCTTTTTGCTTTTTGTTTTGAGGCACAGTCTTAGTACGTTGTTGAAATCTCCAGGCTAGGCTCAAAGTGGTGATCTGCCTGTCTCAGCCTCCTGGAATGCTAGAATGGCAGGCCAAGTTCCTTTTCTCTCTCTCTCTTTTTGTCTTTCTGAGACAGGGTCTCACTATGCAGTTTAGGCTGGTCTTGAGCTCACTTTGTAGCCCAGCCTGGCTTCAACTTGCAACCCTCCTGCCTCAGCTTCCCAAGTGCTGAGGTTACAGGTGTGCACTGCCACGCCTAATCCCAATTTCATTCTTATTCCCCAGAGTTCAGGGATCAGAAGACCGGCCCAGCCAGCGGAGGAAGAGGTAACAGACAGGGGGCCGGTCTCCTGGCCCACTGCACTCTACTGGCTCATCATTGTGGGAGGGACTACGTGACCCACGGACAGTGCCGTTGCCTGACCTGGGTCCATCTGTGTGCTCCAGGTGTGGCCCCAGTGTGTGTGCGGTCTCCAAGCTCCCAAATCTGTCCCAAACTGACAGGTTTCCCTGGTCCACCCAGGCTGCAGGGTCCCTTCTCTCCTGTATGCCACCACTTCCTGACCGTTGTGAAACTGAACTCCCAGGGGCTCCCATAGAAAGAGTATGAAAACAGTAATTTTTTCCTACTCTTGCATCTCTGAGATGACTGTCCCTGAACGGTTCAGCTGAGTACAGGCTGCCACAGCAGACCTCACTTCCCAGAGTGATTTTTTGCAGGGGTGAAATCTCATGAAGTCAACTGGGTGCCCAGCCTTTTTTGTTTTTTTTTTTTTACACTTCTTTTTTTCTTTTTTCTTTTTATCGGTACCAGGGATCGAACTCACGACCGCCTGCTTGCAAGGCAGTTGCTTATGCCACTGAGCTAAATCCCCAGCCCCCAGCCTTTTGTTTTGAGATCTGTTCCTTCCTGGATGTTTTTGAATTTGAATTTTCTCTCAGTGCCGGGAATCCAAACCACAGCCTTGTGCACTCGAGGCAAACCCTCTGCTCTGAGCTGCTTCTCCAGTCATCTCAAACATTTTACCTTTACTAATTTTCCCATTTGAAAACCCATTCTGGGAAATTTTGTAGTTTTTCACTTCCAACTTAAGTTCTGTTTTCCATGTCTGCCATCTTGCTAGTTCCTTGTGTGCTGTTTTTGTTTCTGTTCTGTTTTGATTTCCTGTGTGTGGACTCTTCATGACTGTTTTCTTTTGGTGCCAGGCACTGAACCCAGGGCCTTGTGCATGCTAGGCGAGTACCTGACCACTAAGCTACATCCCCGCCCTTTAGTGAAGCTAGGTCTCACCAGACTGCTCAGGTTGGCCTTGGCGTGATCCCCCACCCCCAGCCTTTCATGCAGCTTGGGCTAAAGGTGTGCAACACCATACGGCAGCTCAGCGCGTGTCCTTTGATTTCTGCCTGGCTGTGGTCTCCCTCCCATGGTTTTGGGCTCATGGTGAGCAAGGCCTGGACACGGAAGCAGCTCTGAGGCTCTGGGGTGGCTGCTGGGCTTTGGGCTTCATTCAGGATGACTCAGCAGATCTGTACAGAGGAACCTCTAGGTCTGGATATCTGCTTATGCACTTTGTGGTGGTGGGGACTGAATCCAGGGCCTTGGCTCTGAGCTACATCCCCAATCCTTGTTTATTTATCTGGGACAGGGTCTCGATACAAAGCCCAAGCTGGTCTTGAACTTGCAATCTTTTTGCCTCAGCCGGGATTATAGGTATGAACCACCACACCTCACTTGATTTTTTTTTTTTTTTTTTTCTTCTGTAAGTGGGATCTTCCTAAATTGCCCAAGACAGGGCTCAAATCTGCATTCCTCCTGCCTTACAGACTGCTGGGCTTTGTAACAGGGTTTCATTAAATTGCTCAGGCTGGGATGAAGTGTGTAATCCTTCCTCAGTCGCCCAACCTTGAACCATCACATGTAGCTCAATTCTGAATCTTTAAGCCTTTTTTCTGAGACAAGGTTTTACTAGGTAATTCAGGCTGGCCCTGAACTCTCTAGGAAGCCCAGGCTTGCTAGGATCCTCCTGCCTCAGCCTCCTGAGTGCTGCGTTTATGGGGCTGCACCACCATGGCTGACTCTGTTCCACCGTTAGCAGTCTTAATGTATCAGATACTGCTTTAATACTCACAAAATAAGGATTCATTATCAAATATCTATTTTGTACCTATAGTGTGCCAGGACTTGTTTTGGAGGTGAGGATTAAGTATGAATGATACACAAAAGATCGTTGCTTCTGTGGAGCTTATGTTGTAACACAGGAAACAGCCAATGAAGCCAGGCATGGTGGTGCAAGACTGTAATGCCAGCTACAAGAGAGAGGCTGAGGGAGGAAGGAGGATCCCAGGCCTGAGGCCACAGCAGAATTCTAAGCACAATGAAAAGCTATTAGAGAACATTAAGTGGGGCATGCCATTGCCCAGTCTGCACTTTTATTGGGGACCAGTCTAGCTGACTTGTGGAAAATACACTGGCAGAAGAGAGGCAGCCAGGCTGAGTGGTGCTGCAGGCCTGTAATCCCGGCACTTTGGGAGGCTGAGGCAGGACGGGATGAGATCCACTGCAGCCTGAATTACAGAGCAAGCCCTGGTCTCAAAAAACCAAAACCTGAACAGAGCCCACCCAGTCTGATCCTTTGACTTGCAGGTAAGGAAAGCCACGCTAACAAGGTTAAAAACTGCTCTGGTTTGGACTGGTGAACCTCAAAGGGCCAGGTTTTCATGCCTTAGTTGCCAAGGCTGTGCTGGTGGGAGTCATGGAACTGTTAAAAGGTGAGGTGCAGTGAGACGGTCCTGTGTTGTGGGGCGTGGCCCAAAGACCGCTGGGCCTGGCCTTCCATGCTGTCCTCGTTGCTGGGTCCTGGGCTCAGCTGCTCCACTGTGCACTGAAACCACGACTCCAGGCAGCCCTGGTTGTAATGGACTGCACCCTCCAAGACGCTGAGCCAGAGTGAGTAAGGCTTTTCTACTTAAATCTCCAAAGACCTTGAGTACTGTTACAGTGACAAAAACTGACTTCACAGGAGCCTTATCGAGTCTGCCCAAAAGCCAGCGATTTCCACCCTGGTAATGGTCTACTGTCCATACAGGTCACCTCAGGATGTTGTTACGTTACACATTCCGATTCAGTTTGGTCTGAAGTAGAATCAGTGCTCCCTAAAACTCCCTGTACTGGGGACTGAACCCAGGCCCTTCACACTGATCTATGTTTCCACGACTCTTTTGTTTTTCATTTTGAGGCAGGGTCTCCCTAAATGTCTAAGTTACCCAGGCAGGGCTTCAAACCGTCCTGCATCAGTCTCCCAGAGTTCTGGGATTATAGGCACCCACCACCACACCTGGCTAATACTTATTTTTTTCCAGAAATACTGGATTAGGTTCCTATGAACCTCTGATCATAATATATTTATCTACCAGTCAATATATGACCTTGTTTTATGTGTTTCTGTTTAGAGATCCTATGTAATATGATCAACTCACTAAAGCATCTCTTGGCAGACAGCCTTTCAAATCAGGCCTGAAAAGAGGTATTGGTGGGCTCTCCACGGACAGGGCACTGTGCTTGGGAGCCATGCTGGTGGCTGGGTTTTGTTTGCTGTTTGTTTTTGGGTTTTGAGACAGCATCTCACTGTATGGCTCAGGCTGACCTTGAACCTGTGATCAGGCTGCTACTCCATCAGGCCTGCCTACGTTTTTTGTTTTTTGCATCTCTCCTTATGTGGGGGAGATAGGTCCTCACATAAGGAGAACCAGAACAAGCTCAGAACTGGAGAAAAGGAGGTGGCCTGAGAGGCGAGGAAAGGGGCGCTTGGCGGCTCCTACCTGAAGCTGATAGGCCAGATCGGCCTGTGCTCGGCGGGTGTTGACCTCGATATCATATGCAGCCTTCTTCAGCTCATAGTCCCTCTGTGCCTTAGCCATTTCAATCTCACTCAGGTACTGGGCAGAGACCTTTTCCTGCTTGGCCTTGGCCTCCTGTCGGTGCACGATTCAGGCAGGAAGTCAGGGTGGAAAGGAAGCCACTGCTGTGCCTGTCCCCAGCCTTACCCCACCCAGCTCAGCTGTTTCCCCATCAGCTCAGCCCAGCTGTGCCCTCCTGTTCCATCCTCATCCAGTGGCCAGCGCATCTGTGGTCACCAGGTGACCCCATCTCTCTCACCCGTATCCCGGCATCCCTCTTGGCCTCAGCTTCCCCGATCCGAGCGTCTTTTTGGACTTGTGCTGTCCGAGCTTTCCCCAAGGAGTGCAAATAGTCCTACGGGGAAGAGGCAGAGGCCAGAGTCCTGAAGATTTAGGAGCTGGGAGGAGAGTGGCCAGGAGGGGGCAGCCCCATCTTACCTGGTCATCGTGAATGTCCTTCAGAGTGTAGCTCACCACGCTAATGCCCATGTTGACCAGGTCAGAGGAGGCTACTTTGAAGACCTGCTCTGAGAACTTCTGCCTGTCCTTGTAGATCTCCTGGGACAACACAGCACAGGAAGAAGGCTCTTAGCGCTGGACTCGGCTGACTGTCCGCGGGGACACCCCGTCCACACCCCCAGCCCACCTCCACGGTCATGTGAGCCATGATGGCCCGCTGGTGGCCCTCCAGTGTCTCCAGCGCGATGTGGGCTATCTCAGCCTCGGTCTTCCCCAGGAACATTTGGCAGGCGGCCGCCAGCATCTCCTTGTTCTGCCCCTGGATCTTCACCTGAAGCCAGAAGGGAAAGAGAGTCTGGGCGAGGGCTGGGGGGAGAGGGGGCATCTGGGGAGTGGCTGCTTCTCTTTCCCATGGCAGGAAGAAGACTGAGCTGCAGCTTGGGGTGGTGTAGGGAGGGCACCTGGGCAATGCCGGTGACGGAAATGGGCACCCCGTGGCGCGTGTACACCTTCTCGCTCTTGACGTTGAGAGTCAGGGTGTTGAGGGAGATCCTGAGGGCAGAGGGGCGCGGCCGTGAGGACCACGCAGAGCGGCGAGGGCCTGGCCGCCTCCCTCTCTCTCCTTCACTCCCTCCCTACCTCTGGATCTTCTGGATGCAGGGCAGGACGAAGACGCGGCCTCCGGCCACCATGACAGGGGGGCTCCGGCAGAAGCCTGCGGAAGGGGGCGCGAGGACAGAGTTGGGTGCAGGCCGCGAGCCGTGGGCAAGGGGCACAGCGGCCAGTGCCGGGGGTGCACTTACCCGAGACCACCATGGCCTCGTTGGGGCCGCACGTGAAAAACATGGCTCAGAAGGGAGCTGCAAGACACAGGCTGCGCCGTTGAGGGCGGTGCTGCGGCGGCCGCCGCCTCCCCGCCAAGCCTGCCTGGACGGTCTCCGCACGGATTCCCGCCTCCGCCCCGGCTCGGCCCGGCTCAGCCCGGAGCTCGCGGCCCGCTCACCGTCCAGACGCGGCCTGGTCCGGGGCAGAGCGGCCCAGCGAGCGCCCACGACCTCCACAGCCACCGCCCCCCGCCCGGCCGCGCCCAGCTGCTGCAGCCACGGCCCGCCCCTTCCCAGCAAGCTCCGCTCGGGCCCGCCCCGTCCCCACCTCCAGCCCTGCCCCTCTCCGCCCCCACTCGCAGGACCCGGAGCCCTGCTCCTCCCCGCCCCGCGTGGCGCAAGCCCGGGCGCCTGCTGCAGGATCGGGCCGAATCGCAGGCGAGGACGCGGCTCAGGCGCCGGGAGGGGGAGCAGGCGAGTCGGCGCTCGCAAGGACTCACGCAGGACGCTCGTGTAAACCATTTATTTGTGTTCACAGAACATACTGTAGGGCGCCCCGACCCACGACCCCCTGCCCTCCCTAGAGACCGCGGGCTGAGGGGCGAGCGACGGCGACACTGGTAAATCCCGAGATCGGCGTCCGCCGCGGGCAGCGCCGCGCATAACTTACAATAAATATTACATAATCCCCCGCCACTCGGAGGATCCATAAATACACATAAATATTAATCAGGGGCAGGAGGAATAAGTTAGTGTTCGTCCGGGCGCCGGTCCCACTGTGGGACACGCTCGCGCGCTTCAGGCCGCCCTGTGCCTGTGCGGAGCCGGCTCCCCGCGCTCAGAAGGCGGCCGGGCGCGGCCGTAGGAGGGCGCTCAGTTCCAGTGCGTAGTCCGCCGGTCGCGAGGTCAGGTTCAGGGGCTCCAGGGCTGCGTGCGCGGGGGACTCGGTGCTGGGCGCGTCCTCCGGGACCAGGGGCTCCGACAGGCCCTCCTCTGCCAGCAGGACCTGGCAGAAGACCACGGCGAGCAGGACGAACAAGAGTCTCTTGGCCGTGTTCGGCTCCTCGGCGGGCAACTGGCGCCGGACCTGCGGGAAGACAAGGCGAGGGAGGAGGTCAGGCCATAGCCCCGACGCGCAGGCGACCCCATGGCCCAGGCGGGCGTCCCGGCGACACTCACCGCTCGCGGGTACAGGACCCGGCGACTGCGCTTTCTGTGTCCGCGGGAGGCGCTGAGACGCCCTGCGGGAGAGGCCGCGGGCTCTGGCAGGGGATCGAAGGTGAAGATCTCCGGGCCTGAGCCGCGCCGGAGCGCCGGGCTGGATGAGGGGGCGGGGGCCGGCGACCGCAGGCCGGTCAGAGCGGGCAGCGAGCTGCGAGAGCGACACATTGTACGCGGGTAGACGCGACCGGAGTGCTGTCAGGGGGCGCGCCAGCAGCTTAAATAACCCTGGCGGGGGCGGGGCCTCGTGACCCCGCCCCCGCCGCAGGGGAGCGGGGGTTGGACCAGGCTGGAAATTCCGAGGGTTGAGCAAGGGGTGGGCGGGGCTTGGGCCGGGGAGTCTGACCAGCCCATGCGGAGGTCTCGCCAACCCCCTCGGCTGGCACGTGTGAGGACCTGTGGCCGGTGGAGCGGGGGCGCACCTTTTGGATATGATTCGGCCGAGGATCGAGGGAGCCTGGGCGGGGGTTGGGGCAGGTGAGCTGGCGGGAGGGTTTTATGGCGGATACCTGGGGTCTGTTGTAGTACCCACTTGGTGAGTCGGGGAGCTATTGGAAAATGCGTTCCCAGTGTGTAAGTGCACAGAGAAAACGGGGTGCGATGGAAGGCATCGCGGAAACGGCCTAGAGGACTAGGAAAGTCACATTACAGGCCACAGACAGCCCTGCCCGGTGATCACACATGAAGTCTTGTGCACACGAGGCACACACATGCCACGGTGTCACACGCATGGCTGATGCGTGGGGACAGCCACACCCTTAGGTATGAGGAGGTGGTGTCCACACAAAGCTGCTGCGGAGAATTGTGAGCTACAGGAGGTTAGGGGTCAGCCATGTCGTGCTGGTGTTGTGTGAGTTAAATAACACAATGCGTGTGGAGAGCTCTGATCGGTGAGGGATTGTACAGAGTGTAATGATGGCCATTACTCAGCACGGAACTGACTCACTTGCATAGCTATCTGAGGGCCAGCTGTGCATAGATGTGGGATTTAACGTTTCTTTTTGAGCATTCATCTGTGGCAGGTGCTTTGTTAAACGTAATTTTTTTTCCTGTATCGAGAATTGAACTTGGAGCCTTTGCACTGAGCTTCGTCAACAGCCCTTCTATTTTTTGAGGCAGGGTTTACCTGAAATTGCTGAATTGCACACACTAGGTTTGGATTTGGTGATCCTCTTGCCTCAGCCTCCCTGAGTGATGAGATGCGTGTGTGTGCGCATTACTTATAAGCCATGGTGCCTGGCTTATAAGTAATGTTGGAGCCCAGCACAGTCTGTGTCCCTGTGGTCTCTGCGACTGGATGGGGGACTTCTTGTGCCCAGGAGTTTGGGACCAGCCTGGGAACAGAGCGAGACCTAGCTTAACAATGACGGCGCAGTACTGCGGGTCTATGTTGCTGAATGCGGCAGGCGCGATGCGCTGTCACTTTGGCTTCCGAGGGCCTTGTTCTCTGGTGTGAGGTAGGGGGTTAGGGGCCACATAACCAGGAGGGCTGCCCTCAGCTGAGGGCCTTAGAGAGCAGGTGTGAATGTCCAGGTTCCTCGGGAAGTATGGCATTTGGAAGGACCGTGAGTAGCCAGTGAGATGTGATGAATCCAGACCAGAAGGAGGACTGAGCAGAAGAATGGGATCCGCAGGGCCTGGAGCTGGAAAAGTACAGGGTGTGTTTGGGGATGCCACGTTCACACTGCTCTCAGAGTAGGTTTCCCAGAAGGGAGCAGAGGGAAGTACTGACGGCAGGAAAAGGAAGAGTCTGGCAGCGGGGAGATTTGGGGGTCACCCTGACCTGGTGATGGCAAACCTGTCGGAGGCTGAGTGCCCTGGCTGCAGCTCCAAGCCCACCTGTTTATGGCACAGTGTCAGCATGGCCATGAGCCCTGAATACTGAGGTTTTAGTTCAGAAAAATCAACTCATTCATTAATATTTGTCTTAAAAGAAAAACACAACAACAGAGTTTTCAATGATATAGTTTTTACCAAAAGGTAGTTTACATTAGGTGTCACTTTGCTTGTTAATGTGACCTTTGCCTTTGTGTGTGTGCTGCTCATTGGTCCAGCCTCGGGTCATGTGGCCACAGAGTGGGACACAGGGGATGTATGCTACAGGTTTGTTGCCACCAGTCTAGACTGGGGAGCTCGTGGGTCAAAGGATACGATGCTGGGAATGCCTGTGATGAGGGCGGTCTGGGTCCAAGCCGGGGAGACCATGGCTTGGGACGGGAGGCTTCTGTGGGGGCTCGCATGAGAGGAACAGTGACGGGAGAAGGTGATTGAAGCCACTGCCTGCATCAGATCTCTAGGAGTCGGCAGCGGGCTGGGCATCCTCACTAGAGGAGGGCTGGTCAGGTCTCGCTGACACCGAGAGGGTGGATCAGAGCTGACTCCTGGGCCCTGAGGTGCATCTGGCCTGATGCTGCAGCATGTAAAGCTTGTGCTTCGGTGTTAAACCTGGTGAGCAAGGCAAGTAACATCTGGCCTCTTCTGCCAGAGGCTGTCACCCACATCTCTGTGGCCCCCCTAGACCCACAAGTGGTGCCTTGTGGGGAGGAGTTGCTCAGTAATCTTGTTAAATGAAAGGTTAAAAAGCAGGACATGCACATGGTGGGTAGTTACACTCTCCCTGGGTGTTCCCAGACTGAGACAGGGATACATTCCTCCAAATCCCCAGTACACATTTACAATGTCTTCAGAAAAGCTGCAACAGTTCTTACACAGACATCATACAAGAAACAAGAAAGCATTTTCCAATAGCAGTGGGAGGGCCGGGGATAATCCACTGTCCTGGAAACTGATACACCGTTGCTGTGTATACAGTTGCTACCTGGGTCCAAAAGGTCCTTTATTTACACTTGTTACTCCTGTATAAAACACCAGAGACGCCTGCTTTTTACACATCTCTTCTACAGACAAAAATATACTTTCCATGTCTGTCTTTCATGCCCATTCTTAGATTTATTGTTTGTTTTTTGAGACGAGGTCTCGGTATGTATTCAGACTGGCCTTATACTCACTGTGTACTCCAAACTGCCTTCACTGCCTACGAAATGAGCTCCTCCTGCCTCTGCCTCCTGAGGTCTGGGATTCCAGGAGTTGCCACCACGCCTGGCTCATCCTTAGATTTCTACCCAAGCGTAGTGAAGCTTCGAGCTCCGGACAGCTGGAGTCAGGCTACACTGCTGAGACCACCGCACTGCTGGCGCATGCAGGCAGAGCCGTGCACACACACTGGGGTGGGGGGTGCACACACACTGGGGTGGGGGAGATGCGCCGATGGATGGAAGAACACTGTGGCAGGAGAGCTGGGGAGGGATCCGGGAACGCACAACTTGTTTATAATGGAAAATTCTGCAGGCATCATGCAGGGGATGAGAAACAATCTCGTTTCTCCCACATCTGTCTTTGTGGCATCTCAGATCAGGGGAGGGCTGGACGCACAGCTGGGCTTGCTCCCCACTTTTTCGCTGATCTCATCCCCCTCCTGCACCCCTCCTCCTGCCACCCAGATGCTGGGGAGGGGTGGGCCTGAGCTGAGGCCAGGAAGGCCAGGATGATACCAGCAGCAGCTGGACTGGTTCCACTGCCCCGGCCCAGTCCTGGCCCTGGCCTTCCGCCCCCTGTGCCCCTGTTTCCGCGTCCCTGGAGATCGGCCAGCATCCTGTTTCCTCCCATGGACCGGATGTCTCGGACTTGTCCCCTACCTCTTAGTTCTCCTTTGTTCTCTTCACAGCAATCAGAGAATTGCGTGTGTGTGTGTGTGTGTGTGTGTGTGTGTGTGCGCGCGCGCGCGGTGTGTTGATGGAACCCACACTCCTGCCGAGCACGCGCTGTGTGAGTGACTTTCAACCGCAACCTGTTTCCGATTCTTTTTTGCTGTTCCTTCCTCTGCCTTCCCAGATGCAGGGGTGCTTTGCTTCATTGGGCTCTTACGGCATCTCCAGGGCTTGGCCAGGGCCCTAGGCGGGATTTCACAGTCCTGATCCACCTCGTCCAAGGAGCTGAACTTCACTTCTGGAGGTGCCTGTGTAACCCCTCGTTCCTCTTCAAAGAGGAGGCTGCGCTGTGTGTATTGGCTCACTCCTGTAACCCAGCACCGGTAAACTGAGGCAGAAGATCGCCACGAGTCTGAGGCCGACCTGAGCTCCGAAATGAAATCAAGACCAGCCTGGGCTACATAGTGAGACTCTGCCTCAAACACAAATCAAGAAAGGCTGTGGAAGGGTGGGATCAGGAACTTGCATGCTGGAGACAGGCGCTGCCCTTTGCCCTGGCCAAGCCCCTGGCACAGGCGTGCTGCCCTCTGGAGGACTGCAGCGTTGCTGATCCTGGCTGCAGTGGGGGGCAAGAGTGGAGAAGAGGGGAGATAGATGAGGAGGGAAAAGGGGGTCCAGGAAGTGGAGCCCTTGGGAAAGGCCTGCAGGTGGGGAGATGGCACCCAGGTGCTAGAGCCAGGGACAGACTGCTGAAGGCCGTTGGCTGCTCCTGACTCTGAGATAACTCAGGTTTCAGATGGGAAAGAAGCGGGTGGCAGAGAGCAGAGTGGACTGCAGTGGTGTCCCGGACATCTGGCTTCAGTTCCAGCTCTGCTGTTCATTGGCTGCTGTACTTGCTACCCAGGGGTTACCTCTCAGAACCCCCTTCCTCGATGGACAGATGGACACCCTGGCCTGCAGGTTATGGCAGGCGCTGCTCTGGGTGCTCCTACCTGGAGCGGGGGAGGCAGAGGGCAGAAAGAGGCCTCAGTGCCAGCCTGACCAGTAGCACCCCACGTCTGCCACCATGCCGTCCCTCAGTGTCTCCTCTCGGCCCATTTTGTGCTCTTTGTTTACTCTGCAGAGGCTGGGACTTGTGCATTCCTGGTTCCCTTTCAGCCACCCTCCTGCTCCCTGAGCCGCCCAGCTGGAACAATTCTGGCCAGAGGCTTGGGACTGGTTCCGCTGCCCCACGGTGAATTTTAGCAGAGGTTAATCAGTGACCCTTTAAAGATGTTTGTTTAGGCCTGGGAGGGCTAAGCTCAGCGCCTTCTAGTTTTCCTTGACGCAGAAGCAAGGATCTTGGTCACAAAGGGCTGAGGCCCCACCCCGGCCACACTAGAGGCCGCAGGGGAGGGGGCTGGCAGCCTTCTGCCTCCTCAGCCTTCTTGTGCCTGCTTGGGGCCCCCAGGCTCTGGCTTCTCCCTCTGGCCTGTCCTTCCCTCCACCAGGACTTCCTCCTTGTT